ATTACTTATTACAAGTTGTATTTTAAACACATCTATACTGTAATCTTTTAGGCTCCTATTAACGTCAATAGTCTGTTTAAGAACTAAAGCTTTTCATATCAATGTAATATCTGAACTCGCACCAGAAAAGTGATTTTTCGAAGCGAAAAAAACGATTTAAGAAACCTAATGCAAACTAAGCAAATACCATAATCTTATCTAAATGCATATTTTAATAGCAATATTTGTAACAAAATTTATTCGTCCCGAAATTTACATACTTTATTCGTACCTAATCAGAAATATAAGTAATAGTATTAAATGTAGTATTTTGCTTAAATCGTGAGATAACTGTAATTTAATCTTGTATTTAACTTATATATTAGTTTGTTAACTGGTTACATGTGTGCCTTTGTTTATTATGTTTTATACCTAATTTTATTTGAATGGCGAATTATATATTATAATTGTATATTACTCAATATCTCATTGGGTTTAATTAGTAATTTTATTTTTATTTTTTGCAGTTTTTTTTATGTATACTTATCTCAATTTTTCAGAAAAAAACCTTTATGTTTTTAACCTTCTAAATTAAATACTTTTATATCAACTTTATGAAACTTTAATGATTACGTATTTATTTTATCAACTTTTTAAATCAAGAATAATATACTAATTTTTTTTCTGGATAATAATTAGCTTTGGATAATTATTTTTAAAGTTTAGGACGGGGGAGAGGTAGAGTGTAGTATTATTTTTTTCTGTGCACATTATTCAATTTTTTCAACTGGTATTATAATTTATAACATAATTATAATATAATTATAATATATTATAATATAATTATAATATAATTATATTATATTATATATATAATTATATTATATATAATATAATTATAATAATACCGTCATATTTTTTAACTATAATATAATTATAATAAATTATTCAAAAATTAGAATGTTTTGACCTAATATTTTAGATGAAAACAATTTTTTTTGCTCTTAAAAAACTATTTTTGTAAGTAATTACAGTAAATTATTTTGGTGGAAATTCCAACGTAGTAATTTATTGTGGAAATTAAAATTTGCCTACTATAATATTTCACAGCATAAAGGATATTTATATATAAATACCTGTATATGTACATAAATGAACAAATAGGGCATTTATTCTTTTAAAATTATTTTTCCTATACATCAAATACACGTTAAGACGTTGTACCTATCTATTACAGAGTGGCGAGTGCAATTAATATTGTTATGCAGTGGTGATTTCAACGTAAAGACATGTTGACACAAAACTGCGATATCGTTAATTCAATATATATATTTTTTTTTTTGTATCATTTTATATCTATATGCTCCGGTACTTTCCCTTTGGTCAGTTCAGTTGCATTACATCTATTACACAACTTGCATAATATAGGTTACCTTAAACTTGGCACCTAATATAACACATATAACATGTTATAAATCTATGTACAGGGTGATCCATTTAACGTAAGACGCTAATTTTCTTTGAAAATAGTAAAACAATTTTTTCAGTTTTTTTTTTTAACTAACATAATAATGATTTTAGACTGGGTGCCGACCAAGAAATTTCTTGAGATTTTTTGCAAGACATTTTTATAATATGTAAAAATATCTACCTTATCGTTTTAGTTTTAGAAGTCGATAAAGCTCTGACAAAAAACCCAAACAAAAATGGTTTCATACAGAATAACTATAAAATTGCAATTTTTACAGAAAATGAGCGTCTTGCGTTAAATGGATCACCCTGTATATATTATTTACATATTGAACATACTCGGCCAAAAAAAAAAAAAAAATATTATTTTAATTTTTTATATTTTGGATGCAATATTTTCAGACTGCGAAATTAAACAAGTTCTATAAAAAAAAAAAAAATTAAACAGTCGGTAAAGTAAATAATCGTTGTGGGTATAATATTATATGTCGGCTTGAATAGTTAAAAAAAAAATGTAATATAATAGACTGGTTTGTGCATTTTAAACCAACATATATAATATATACCTAGATATTATGATGTATAAAAGGACGTCGACATTTGATTTTCAAGATTCGTCGATACACATCACGGCTTGGTGAAAGTAGGACATAATTGATTTGGTAATATTGTGTGGTCAGCGCAGAATAACACACACACACACACACATGCGAGACAATTTTTTTTTCAAACCAACCTACTGAAACCATACGATATAGGTAATACAGTTATATCGGTGAATGTGCAAAAAAATCGTTACATTGTTTTTTAATGCTTCGTCGATGGCAAATAGTGTAAAACCAATATAGGAACGTTTCAGAATCTGCTGACCACGGTACAATTACAGTATAATATTAACCTGATTTATATTCAAATAGTTATATTACAACAACTACACTAGCCCTCTTTATTGTTCGCTACCGTTTTCTTGTTATCCAATTGTTGTTCAGAAAGCAAGCAATTAATTTATTGATATTTACACTTCTAAAATCGCGTACCATTTTGCTATCTGGGTATAGTAAATAATAATAATAGACTTAGGTATTTATTTCACAGGTACACTATATTAATAATACTTGAAAATTTGTTTTGCATAATTGTCTAAAAAATGAGCTAACATGTGTCAAACGATATTGTGTACATAATACAAAAGTCCTATGTTGTTCCAAAATTATGTTCTTAATTGTCCCATAAATCGAATATTAACTTATAGTAACGTTAAAGCGGACGGACAAATTTTCTAATATTAATTATCAAGGGAATTGCATGTGGTCCGTTTTTAAAGAGTTTTATATAGGCAACATTTAAGAAAAAAAGGGTTTTAAAAAATTTCGACCATGCCAATATATTTACAGATTAATTTGTATAAGCTTTAAGGTATACTTTTTAACTTATACAATTTTTGCAATAAATAAACGTCTCTTTGGTGGTGTTTTAGACTTAAACCCTGGCAAAATTACGCTTATTTGTGATAGTCCAATCTCAATTCTGTAAAAAAATCGAGTTACAAAAAACTAAATTTATTGTAATTAAATATATTAAATTTAAAAACTTTTCCATATTATAAACATTTTTTAGCTTCGATAAGATACTATAGAAGTATTTTTTTTTTTTTTTTACATAAAAAAGCATAAATCAGACCAACCTAAATAATCGAAATTTTGTCTAACTTTTTGGTCTAAAACATCAAATTTAAATCCTGCGAAGAGTTCTTAATAACAATTTAATTTAGTATATCATTGACTAAAATAATCAATATTGTTTTTTTTTTCAATTTACGAACAACCCAACAGTAGGATTTATCCTCCACGTCTCATTTTAACAGAGTATAAGTTAAATGCTTTTTCAATTATTGAATTTTCTATCACAGCTAATACTTTGTTATTGAATTATTGTTGAAAGTTCAAGGATCTATTGAGCCGGAAGTGTTTTTTTCCTTCCAATGTCAACTATACGAAGACGGTGTTTTTTTAATAAGATAAAAAAAATTATTACCGACATTAAAAAAAACTGGTCGACAGGAAATACAGACATGAACCATTTTAATAATAACCATGTGCCTATACCTACGCTGTGTTTTAATTAATATGAGATTAACATTGGACCAGAGGAATGCACGCGATTTTTAATGACATTATTGCATATTTCTACTGCGGTCATGCTTGATTCAGCAATGATATTGAAGAAGTACACAATTTTACCCAGGAATTTCCTATGCTAGAGGACACGTCAAGTTTATTAATTACACGGAATGATATGGCATTAAAAACGGTTAGTCTCTCAATCGTTGTTTAAAAAATGTACTTACCGTACACGTGTGTTATTGCAATAGTGTTTATTAGCTACACACATTAGTGTTTTTGTGAAGACACTTGCTTGACAAATATTAACTCGGACGATTTTTCAGACTGTCATCTGAAAAAATAATGACTAATAAATCATCAAAAGTTAATACTCACATCCTTATGTTGTTTTATGTAAATTTTTCTACAATTGATTATACGAATCAACTAATAAAATATACAATTAAACAACAGGAAGTGTACAATTGTATTTTTCAATATATTTGCAAGCGCACTGAAGTATTTTGTTTCGAAATGTATACAGAATATAATTTTTTTAAATTTATGTTTATATTGTCAAGATACTTTCCGAGTTGAGTTTTTAAAACACTGTTGAATTACTTTTTTAGTTTAACTATTTGAGTACCACTCATATACTTTTCAAAAGTATTTAGATTTTAGAATAATTTATAAATACCTTTTAAAAGATTATTACAAGAAACCCTATTAGGTGTAACATTCATTATTGAATTACCACTAACTCGCATCCAAAATAACCCAAATAATAATAACTTTGATAACTTGGGGGGGGGGGGCTCAGTTTGTTTATTATTCCACAAATTAAATTAGTCAATAACGATATTATCTTGTGCATTAGTTGCATATAAAAAATAATTAAAAACTACGTTTTTATTTACTCATTTTACACGGGTAATACAATAGTAGGTACCTAACTTATTTTCAATTTAGACATAAAACTATTTCTTTTATTTGCTTATGTTTTAGCAGGTACCTATGCCTATCTATTTTTAACGGTAAATGTAAAACGAACAATTAAAATAATTTAGTGTTTTTTTTTAGTTTTACTTAATATGTATTACTGTTAAGTTAAGGTAAACATAAGTATTAGAGCTTTTAGCATATTGAGTAAACAAAAAAAATAATGTTATTGTTACAATTAGATCTAGATTTCAATAGGACCTACAATTATTATTAAACTACCTACCAGCCAGTTGTCACAGCTGCTAACGCTTTATGCAATTTTACAATAGCTAATGGTTTTTAAGTGTTATTATTTTTTCTAAACCTAAAAATGTATAATAGCTTTAAAAATTATATTTTAATAGACTGTATTAGCATTGTTCGTTAGACAATTCTAATACATGTTTAATACTCTTGAGTGATATTTTCCATGTTATATAAAGTGGATTATATTTTCTAACATATTTAGTAATATTTACTTTATGGAGACAGAAAAGTGTTGTCTCAGCTCCCAAGAGTGTATGTACGAATAATAGACGATATGATGTATGAAGGAACGAAACCTAATGTTAAATGTGTATGTGGTGAAACAGAAAAATTCCCTACAAGAGTAGGAGTTCATTTTTTTGGGATACGGCGAAGGAGGACAAGAAGAAGAGTAGGAGTTCATCAATGGTTTTTATAAATAAATTATATATTTACATTGAAAATAGGTTGTATTTAGAAAATATCTAAAAATGATTTTATAAGTATAAACGAGTAAACGTATTGTTTACATTATTTGTAAATAAAAAGTGTACTGGTTGGAAAACAAAAAAAAAAAACTAAACTTTATGGTTTATCTTAGCAGGATGTGTAGGGAGGCCATGCAACCAAATCCTCCACCCCCGGCTTCGGTCGAAGTGCGGACTGCCTACAAGAAGTACAGTTCATCGTCTTTGGTTCTGAGAGGTACTTCGCTCACCGTTCGCAGGAATACAATGTATGCGTACAAAAAAAAATATATCTATATTTGTTATTAGTAATATACCTAATATAAATTATTATACATATCAATCGTTAACATGAATATGTTTTATGGCTGAAATCAGTAAAAAAATCACCAGACACTTTTCAGTAAGAAAAAGTCCCTTTATTTGCCGGTTGACTAGATTGCATTCAGCTGTTCAAACGTTTAAATGGTGTTTAATGTTCAGTTAAGATTAGAAGTGGGTCGGTACCATAAAACATATTCACGATTGGTATTCATATGGTTCTTATTGAAAAAGAGGGCATTTTTTTTTTTTTTTTAGTTATTTTGATAATAATAATAATTTTTTTATAAGGGTTCATTTAATTATTTTATTTCTTTACCATAAATACCACAAGTGCTTAATACTAATTTGGTTATGCATTTTTTTTTTTAGTTATGGTCTTTTGGGACCAAGCGGTTGTGGAAAGACAACGCTTTTAAACTGTATCGTCGGCAGAACGAAATTGGACAGTGGAATTATAAACTTGGAGTCGAACGGGATAGACGAGATTGGATACATGCCACAGGTGAGTGTCGATTTTGTTTTGTTTATTCGATATTCACAATGAAATATGTTTTAGGATTTATGTTTAGATCCTTTACTTAGCGTCGAAGAGATATTTTGTTATTTCGGCACCCTGTTCGGTCTGAGACGGGATGAAATAATCACTCGGTACAAGTATTTCAATGCCATATTCGACTTGCCAAATAGAGATATGTTGATAAACAACTTGAGGTAAAAGCATCGGGTTAAATACACATTATCTACTAACGCGACCTTTTTTTAATATGTGATATATTTTATAAAAGACAAGTTTTGTTAAATATACCTAGTTAAAAAAAAAAATACAACATGCACAACAAAGTCATGAATTAATGTCAGTTCTACAAATGTCTGTAGTTAAGTTCTGAATACCTCTTAAAACTTTAAATTTGTTGGTTAGGCTATATTAACATATTTTTGTTGAGTCAACTCTAACATGTATGCATATGTTATACAGCGGTGGCCAACAGAGAAGGGTTTCACTAGCAGTCGCTCTACTTCACAATCCAACACTCTTAATTTTGGACGAACCAACGGTCGGACTGGATCCAATACTAAGTGAAAAGTAATTAACTCACCATAGCAAATTGAAGGGGTTAAATTCATTGTGAAAATGTTTTAGAATTTGGTTGCATTTGTCTGACCTGTCTTCCGAAGGTAAAACTATTATCATCACTACTCATTACATTGAAGAAGCCCGGAGAGCACACACTGTGGGCATGATGAGAAGCGGACTTATCTTATCCGAAGACGCCCCAGAGAATTTGATGAAGTGTTACAGTTGTTCGTCACTTGAAGATGTTTTCCTCAAACTATGCATCATCGATACCTCTAAAATCATTCAAGTACTATTAGTTCTATTGCGTTGACCCTTAACAAATATCGAATTCTAAGTAAGCAATGTTTTTTTTTCCACAGAAGACTCCTTTGCCGATGGATTGCGTGCAAAAAAAACTGTTGCCTTTAGACAACAATAGAAAGTTTGAAACGCGACGGTTCCGCGCTCAAATGTTAAAAAATAGATTTTTACTTTGGAGAAATAAACAGTGAGTCAGTAGTTTCTGTTTTGTAATTAAATACAGTATGATATGGTCCATCCAAGCTCTTATATGCTAATCTCACACTCCTTTCACAAATGGCGGAAATGATCTTCTTACCTTAATATTCTTGTCGTTCCAATTGTCATCATTACAGCCCGTTCAACTCATCGGAGACTTTTCTCTTCCCTTTCCGGCCAACAAAACCAACAGATACGCCTATAATATGAATTGCTTTCAGAATGACCTATTTAATGCTCGGTTTGCCGATAATTATAACGGTATTTTTCAACATGGCCATCGGCCGCGACCCCAAGAACATTAACATCGGCGTTATTAACGACGAAATCGATTTGGGAAGCTGTGCCAACTTTACCAAAGTCAATAACAACTGTTTTTTAGACGAACAAATGTACGGCAGCTGTCAGCTAATCTATCAACTGCACAAAAGAACGTACAGAATCGTGAGTATCCAGTGTTCAGCACACACATGTCGCCAAATACTCTTTCTTTGCAAATCTCTATCAGTCACCGCCGTGTCTTTGTGCACTCCATCTTCAAAAGCGTGGTCGCGTCCTTTCTAAATGAAACTGCATGTTATAGAACGAATACTACGACGTGGAGACGGGAAGGGAGTCGATTAGGAAAAACCAAATTTGGGCGTTGTTGCGGTTCAACTGGAACTACACGGACGCGCTTAAAGAGCGGGTGAATTCTGGCCGGGACAGTACAGACAGTGTGGTGGACAACAGCTTTCTGGAATTTTGGGTCGACGATTCGGGTGAGTAGATCTACATCAGAGTCGACCTTGCGCTGGAACACCAGTTGGCGTTTAGGTGTTAAGAATTCAATGTGTTCCAGATAGATACATGTCGATTCTGATAGAAAGAGACTTGACGTTAAGTCTAGCAGACGCCTTGAAAAACGTGGTCGGCACGTGCAACGATTCGCTGGACAAAGTCATTTCGTATCCGATCAAGGTGACTTACTGTATTTTTAGAGTTTACCGATAATTTGTTACCTTTTAAAAATGTACTTAAACGTCGTCCCATGTGTAGATTCACGATGCATTGTACGGCACGAATTTGGGCTCATTCACGCATTTCGTTACTCCTGGAACAGTTTGCATGTAAGAATATTGTGCCGTTTTAACCCGACTCGGAACTTTCCTCGTTAAACTTAGCTACAACTAAAATATTGGGCTATATTTTTCCAGCTGTATGTTTTTCTTGCCTTTGATATACACAACGTTCGTACTACTCGACGAACAAAACGACGGTATACTGGACCGTGTCATAACGTCCGGAATGACGTTTCTGGAAATAGCGTCGGCCCATTCTGTCGTTCAGATTTGTTATATATGTATACAAGCGTTTGAAATTTTAATCATCATGTATGTATTTTATGACAATCCATACATTGGATCCATAGCCACCGGGTACAGCCTTCTCATAGTCATCGGAATAGCTGGAATGATCTACGGTAAATGAACGAAACGATGCCGTCGATGCGTTTTAACAGCAATTCCTTATTAATAATATGTTCTTCTTTTGTTTTTTAAGGATTCGTTTTGGCTTTGGCCAACGACAGCCATTTTGCTGCAGGTTTCGCGGGTGTCGGCACAAACTTCTTGCTGATGTGCGCATGCGGTAAATAATGAAACAGTATATTTTTTATAATAACTAAACTTTAACTTTATTAAATACTCTCGTTTATTTAGGTTTCATTTGGCCAACACAAGGAGCCCGACATTTCGTCAGATACATAAATCAATTTGTACCGATTACGTTAGCCATAGAAGCACTCCGTGGAATAACTATGCGAGGTTGGACTCTAAATCACACCGCCGTCTACATGGGATTCGTATCGATGGTGATTTGGGCTCTAATATTTTATGTGATATCATGTGTATTATATAAACTGAAAAAAGAAACGAAAAAGAAATTGTAGATTAAAACAAGAGGTCCAAGATCTCAAAAATATTTAATAATGTGTCAAGTACAAAAGACTGCCAGAATGCTTAATGGCAATCGAATCTTTATTAGGTTTGTTGATGAAATAATCTGTAAAGATGTGTAAATACAATTATATAGACTTAATTATAATATTTATTGATTAGCGACATTAAAAAATATTGAGTGTGACAAAATGAAAATAAAAACATTTCATAGTGAAAAATACTTATGTAATATTGAAAAATAAATAAATGTTAAAAACACACTATTGTTTGCATAATTATTTTGTTTTATAGTTATTAATAAGCGTAAACACAGATTTAATAATGTCTTTACAGTCGCTAACACGATTGCCAATTCCCAATTTCTCGTTGGCTTCGATAATAAACATATTGACATTATCTTCGATTTTCTCGCCAGATTCCATTTCCAGACATTGCATGGCTAACTGTGCCAATAATTTTTTCTCTGAACCAAGTATTCCGTCCAAATCAAACAGCTCCAAAAATGGTGACGGTAATTCTTGAAACGGCGGTGGATAGACCTACGAATTCAAACATGGCTTATTTTACACTTTACAGACTATGGTGGCCAATATTTACAGCAAATTGTAACATGGGCAACGTGTTGTTGAACGTCGGAGGAATAAGTTGCAATTGATTATGAGGAACATTGAGCAATGTGTACGCATTTAACGCGTCCAGCAGCATTGACGTGTTTAAAGAACACAATTTTGTATCAATTAGCGTGTTAATGTTATCGGCCGACAACAACAGGTGTCCAGTGTTATTCAAACTTTCTTGTAATTGTAAACACGTACGAACACGCGACGACAGCATTCCAATGTCTGGGATCATTTTGTAGTCTGAAGTCTAAAACATAATAATTATATTTAATTTAGTCAACGAGTAAACTAATAATTGAAAAAAAAGGCCTACCTCAGGATCGTTAGCATCAATTTCGTTCAGCGTAATGTTGTCAGTGATCAAAAAATCAAACAAAAGTTCACGTATTTTATCGTTTTCTTCCCAATTTATATATTTGTCAGTCAGTAAATGGCCGGAACCAATGACCGCTAGTTTTCCTCTTTTAACTGTAAAAAAAAAAAAATCAAAATCAAGTTATCCATAACATTTTTATACGCTACTATAGAAAATATAAATGTTGTGATTTTAAGAACTAAATGTTTATGGTATTAAGATGAGTGCGAATTGGAATTACAATACTGCTATTATTACAAGCATGTTAATACCAATTATGTGTAACAGTGGCCATCTTTTATCAATTTCACTAAAGTGGTGTAAATGTGAGACGTAAAAGAGAAAAAATAAAAATTACAGAACTGTTGGTATCTTTAGTTTGTGGGTACCTTCACTAGAATATTTGGAAGCGGAATAGAAAGCGCACAATGGTCTATTTAAAGGATACGCAACTGAACCGCTAGTAAGTATAGGCGCTGCTGGTTTAGCAACATTCAAACTAGCGCCGTAAGGAAATACAAAACTTATACATCTGAAAAATCATATTAAAATATACTGTAAAGGTACTATTCGATAAATTTTGTAACCTGCTAAACTTAACAGTTAATTATTTATCGTACCAAAACTCATTAGTAACGTAAAAAAATAGCTAACAAGGTAGTGTTGGAACAATTATAATGGTGCACGTATTAATTAATTTAATTTAAAATAAATATTGTCCAATAGCTTACCTGGATGTGCTCTTTTTTTCTCTTCCTAAGTAATTTGCGACAGCTTCGTTGACAACACCGTCTTTTACTAAACACTCTTTTGGATGAAAGTATAAATAATAATGTGTACGTAACACGCAGTCTGTAATAGATAAAATAAGTTTCACTTTAATAAGGGACTAGTCAAGCATGCAAGACCAGCAATTTATATACACATTTTTACAAAAAAATTCCGCTCTCGTCCCGATTAGAAATGGTATTTTGTGTTTATACAATTTAGTATCCTTTAAAAATGGGGAAAATATTACAAAATTGGATATTAAGTTAATTTTTAATGAGTTAAACATTTAGAAAGACTTAATAGGTGCTTACCACTGTTGACCATAATGCCGTATTCTTCTAATAAATAATTAATATTAGTGTGAAGTTCTTTTTCACCCCCTTCGGCCAACATGACCAATACGGATCCGCCAAGGTCTATGTATTTCCGTAAACAATTGAACTCGGATTCAGAAAACATGGCACGAGGACTGCCAAACACTATTAGTTGTACATCGTTCAATACTTCTGCTGTTATTTCATACTTGTTTCTAACGACATTAATTATAAAAAATTATTAACAATTAAAAATATATGAATATATAATAGATTGTTTTTTTATTGGTACAGCAGTTGATGAAAAAAGTTATTATAAACATTTACATAGGTGATAGTTACAGGTATTGGTGTTAAAGATTATATTCTAAATATATTATATTTTATTTAAAAATATAATAAAATAAACTCACATAGCGATATTGAATGAACCCTTGAGTTTCCTTCTAAGTGTCTTCAAATTGTCGTTGATGTTAAACATTTCGTTCTTTCCCAAATCGAACAGTATTATATTACTATTATTATTATCTGCCGTCTTCATGTCAACTCTGTTTATACAACGAAAACCTGCAAATAAAATATGTTCTGTGAATGAGAAAAAACCGACCGTGATAGATGATATTTTATGGAAAAATGTTTACACTTTGTTGTTAAACACAACAATTTTTATGGGAAATAAAGAAAATTAAGTACAGAGGTCAAAAGGGTTCACACTTCAGAGAAGACTTGAGAAACCACTAACACAATAATTGTTATTGTGATTTATGATTACCAACGTTATTATCAATAATGATATTATGCAGCATGGTGGATTTATACACAGATATATATAATAAACTATATTGCTGACTAGTGATAAGAATTGAAGTCGACAGTCGGCCATTTTTATGGAATTTTGTGTGTTATCTTTGCCGTGCCGTAAACTATCTAGTTTTCCATACCATACAAATTATATTTATAATAATTAAATAATGGAAAAATAATTATTCAAAATAGTATTCAATACCAAATAATGTATTAAAATACCTTGCAAGACTGATGTTATTTATCATCTATAATGGTAGTTTTTTTTAAATAATTATTATTCACTTAATATTTTACATAAATTAGTTTATATTAAGTTTAATTCTATCATCATAATAACATATTAAGAAGATTAGTTTACGATAATTCCCCAACTCAATTTTTTTTTTTAATTCTTGTCAAATAAAGTAAAAACATAATATATAATAACTTTGTATAAAGTAAATTAAGTTTTTCAGTTCACCATCGGCGTAAAAAAGCACACTATTTGCAAAAAAAAAAATTTGAAAAAACTAGTGGGCGCTAAATCCGATTAATGCCGTCATTACAAAAGTTGTACTTACCGTACTGTGGTTCAGTACAAATTTTGAAATAGTTGCCATTTTGTTGAACTATTATAAAATATAACTTGAAAATCGGAAACCAATGATGATGAGAAAAAATGCATATGGACGTGGACGCGAAAACGTGCCGGTGACCACTGCGCTCCAAGTTAACAGGTTCGCCAGAGACGGAACTATATATAGATAAAGGCGGGTTTTTCCGTCATTATAAAAGTCTACAAAGTCTAAAAATATAATCATTGGGCATATTGGTACTACGTTAACTCTAGGATTAAAAATTGTAATATTAAATTTAATAACTGAACATTTTTTTCATGAGGTTGAATTTATGAAATCATATATAAAAAAAAAAACATTTTTTTTTAAACAGATTTTGAATATGGTACAAAAATATGAAGTGATATTCAATTACATAGGTAAATATAGTTATAACGCATCTTCTATTATATACCAATAGGTATTTAGTATACAAGTTTCAAGGCTATATCGGGTTGAACAACACAATGTGTACTAATGTAGGACTTGAATGTAAAATAAGACTTGTTAAACACAACAATTAATCGTGACTGAAATACTATCATAATAATTATTTATTCAAATACATGTTATTCTATATTATATAATAATAAAAAAAAGAAGACGACATTTTTCACATAATTATGGCACATTATTTTCTTACTTTTGTATACATTTTATATAATAATTATATTTTTTTGTAACGCAATAATAATAATCACAAGTCAACTTAAAATTAAGGCGTATACATTACATCTATCAACTAAATTATAACCTCCTAATAATAAAATAAAAACAATGTAAAATTAAAAACAGCTTATAAAACCTATCACAAGAAGTAGACGTAAAGACTAGTCGTATGAACATTTAATTATAAATTTAGAGTATACAAAAAAAATATATATAAAATTCATTTATATAAACAATTACACGACACAAATGGGTTAACATTTAAAAAACAAAAACCTTAAAGCTGTTGTGTAAAATTACAAACAATGTTTTTAATAATGGAATATTAACTCCATACAAAAATAGCAATTATACATACAATCAATCATATCAATCAAAATAATGAAACTTAACTTACTATGTTTGTTTGCTCTTAAAATATAATATTCAACACTGGTCAAGACAAATAATAATAAGTCAAATTAACACAGATAAACATAAAATTCTTAATAATAATCTTAGTGTAAAGTTGTTGAACAGTGCTCGATTATTATAATAAAAGATATTTCGTTGAATATTTATTTCACAACCAATAGGATATAGGATTATTATGTTAAGAGAGTGTGAAGTAATAATTATTCCAAGTAGTTTTAAGAACACAATAAAAATAAATTTGAGCAAAAGTAAAAAAAAAAAAAATTATAATAAAAAACTAAAGTTATGACTGGAAAAAGGTAAACGTTTTAATTTTGTCAATAATATATTTTTTATTACTTTACAATTAATTTGTTTACGACACACGACGTGAGAAGTTATAGATTAACTAAGAATAATTGACTTTCGATAAAAAACTAATGAATAAAATTAAAAAAAGTAGTCGAGCGGCGATAATTAATAATTGTACGAAATTATTTTTTTAACAAAATTCACAAACACAACAAATTAGCAACATTTTTGGAAGAGGCTCTCACAAAACATTTGACGAGGAATTAAAAAATTTATTTTCCACAAATTTTATAATTAATTATTGATTTACGATAAAAAGTTTACCTTAAGAAAAACATTAGCTTGATCATTAGCAGCAGTCGACCATACAATGGGTGGGGACACAGGTTAGGGATACATTGTTTAACAAAATATTTATTGCACTATTAATTAACATTGTGTATGTTTGAAAACGTATAAAATAACACTCTTAAGGAATACAACACATTACTTTAATAATACAATTTATAATACTACTTTGAAGACACATGAGACTATACATTTTGACACAATTGAGAAGCACTCGTTTTTATTTTTACAATTATTATTATTAATCTAACTAAAATCACAAATTGACTGTTTCGGTAATTATAATGAAATTATTTTTAAAAAAAGAGTGATGTATTTCATTGGCTCACAATTAATTATACGCCACACACAACCATAAAATGTTATAGCTAAATAAAAAACATTATGAACATTAACACTTACTAATAACTGTGTTTTGTATTAACAATATTTCAATATTTTTTATAGAAAAAACCTAACAGGCGAGCATATACAATACAGAGGGTAGGAAGTAAAAATTTAGCGATATGGAGGAGAAAAATATATATTCAATAAAATCGTAATTTTGAAATTTAAACATATTTATTATAAGAATTTTTTTTTTTTTTTTAATAAATTGTAGTTATTTTTTAAGGGTATTGTTTGTAAGTTACATGATAATAATATTATATAGTTTATTACAGCTTTGCAATCGGCTTGGATAAGACAAATGTTTACAGCATGTATAAGTAGTTATAAGTAGTAAGGTTACAACGATAACAGAAATTATTGTTGAATTGGTATTTGTTTTATAGGAACTAATATTATTAATCAAAGGGGATTATTATTTTTATAAAAAAACATAATAATAACTTACTTCTATAAACATTTTTTTTTAATAACGACATGGTTTAAAAAAATGTTATTCGAGTCCATCAAGTTCTTTGTTTAAATTCGTTAAACAAGAATGTATACAAATTAGCAGTGATGTGATTTACTTTTATGTTTCGTCATGGCTTGTTTCTTGAGTGAGATTTTGGTTTGTCAAGTTAGTGCTTTGAAGCAATCCTTTGCTTTCTTCACTGCCCGTAGCAGACACACTGCTACACGCGCTGTATACCGAATCATAAACTGGATTCCCAAAGTTTCCTCCACTGGGCTGTGAACAATTTTTTGAGTTTATAACAAAAACACTAGAAGAGCATTCATTGGTCATATCAGATACCTTTTCTTGTAAAGGAAAAGCACGATCTAAATGTACGTCTTCTTCATCTATGTCGTCTTGTATGTACATTGGGTTGTTTACTTCAATGTTTTCTTGCATACGTACGTGTAAGAAAGAACGACCTCTGAAATAATAACAATTCAATTTAAATTAGCAAATATAAAATAAACCACTAGACATTTTGTTAAATTGCGCTTAATCTTAGTTCCAAGGAAAGTGGCTGTTTCACCATTAAAATTTCTTTCTTTAAACATACATAGTTGCTAATTAAATTAATATTTTTTAAAATTATTTTGATAATATGGACTAAATAAAAAAAATTGTTACACGTGTGAAGTACTTAACCCTTGATTTGTAGCAAGTTTTCGTCAGAAAACAATAAAAATATTTTTTGTTCATTAAACAAGTATCTTGGATTAAAGTATGTAATACAAAAATGCGGTCAGAAATCTCCAGCAATTACACGAAACCTTTCTTTGTGGTTTTGGAATTGAATATATATTTTGAATATTCAGACAACAATTGGGGAATAAATGCTTCTGATCTTTCATTAAAAGATTAATGTTTTTTCAACTACACCTTTTTCAGCTACATAATTTACCATACTGAGGCGTTTGACAATGTTTAGGTCATGCTTGAAAAGTCTCTATCAAATACCAACATTTCATCACTAGGAATCGAATAAATTCAACCAAGCCCAATTTAATGGACAGTCCATTTTAACATTCATCTATTTTAAATTACCGTCTTCTAAGTTTCGTGTAATACGTAATGGAAGTGATGATTATCAACACGACGACAATGAAAAATACTATCCAAAGAGCGTCAAGTCCGTGTTTGTTTTTGTTGTGTTCCGACGATGTTGTATGATCTATAAATAACTGTTTTTGACATCTCTCTCCTACATACCCTTTTCGACAGCTGTGAAACAAAATGTATGTTAGAAATATGCACAAAACATGTACAAACAATTGTCTTACTGGCATGTGAGGCTTTCTGTGGATTTTTCTGGTTGTATACAAGTGCCCCCGTTTAGACAATAGTTAGAACAGGTGAAACGATCAGTGCAACGTTGTCCTGTCCAACCTGTGGCACATTTACAATGGGCTTCATTGGTTTCTAAGAAACACGAACCACCATTATAACAGTAGCCTAAACACGAGCCCGAATCAACTATAATATTACTACAGTCGGAGAAGCCCCACGGACCAACACACCTAAAACAAGTTAGTAATATTTTAAATACAAAACCTAAAAATAGGCACAATTAAAATAAAATATATTTTGTGATAATAATGAAATTTACGTCACCATCTGTTCACTACATAGTTTGATAGTCAGCGATATGGCAAAAAGATGTAACCAACTTTTAAATATTTTACAAGTGGAAAAAAAATATATGTTGAAAATTTAGTTCAATAAATTAAAAACAAAAATATGACTCTTTTAAAATAGCTTCATTTTGTTTTTAACAAGTAGTTCCTACTTCAATTAGCAATTTTAAATGTTATCCATTGTGTGGTGACCTTTAGTTGGAAAGTAGTGAAAATAAATACAGGTATTTCATTACCTGTACTTTGTATTTATTAATTTTTGTTGTTTGGCGCTTAGTCGAAATCATAAAACTGGATTTATATACTATGGATAAATATTTATACAGATAATTATGTAATGCAGTTGTACTTGCCTACACGTGGCTCGACCATTTTCAATTATACAAGTGCCGCCATTTTTACACTTGCCGGGATGACACAAATTTGATATTTCATCAGACTGATTACACATTGGATGTTTTCTAGTGGGGCAGTATGTTTGACATAAATGGTCGTCCACATTGCACTTACAATCACAAATATTAATGCCGCATTGGGGATCTCTGAATTGAGGAGGACACAAGCAAGCAGTATGATTTTCTTTGATGTAACAAGACCCTAAATGTATTTTACATTGTGTTAGAATATAGTAGTAACAAAATGAAATGGAAAATTAAACAAATATTACCTCCATTCAGACATGTGTTTTGAGTACAGCTAATCAAGTCACAGCGTTGACCTGTGAACCCTTTGTGGCATTTACAATGAGGTCCATCGGTGTTTAACATGCAAGTACCCTAAAACATAACAAGTAATGGAAATTTATTTAGAAAAAAAAATTGTGTTTTTGCCCTTACCTGAATGCAATAATTGTTGCAATCTAACTCTGTGCACGACGGTCCTCGGAAACCGTTGGTGCATTTACATTCGAAGACACCATTTTCTAATTTTACGCACACTCCTCCATTTTTGCACTCAACGTTAACACATTTCTCACAATTTTCACCTGTAGAAAAATTGTTGTTGTCATATTATGGTAAACAATTTTAAAACTACTGTAAACGTGACTGACCCGTGAACCCAGGTTGACAATCACAATTATTGTCAATACAACTGCCACCGTTTAAACAACCTCCCGGGCAACCGCCTTGTTGAGGTATCGGTATATCACATTTTTCACCTGACCATTTAGGAGAACATTTACACTAAGAAAAAAAAAGAATACCTTATGTGTTAATATAATACAATAATATCGTTTGTAACAATAATCAAATTAGCTTATATCATAATACCTTAGGTATGGTATCATTTTCAGGAGTCGGTCCAGGTTCAACATAACATATACCTTCGTTAAAACAAAATTTATGACACGCGTACACATCACAGGTATCTCCAGTAAAGAACGGATCACACTTGCATCGCCCTAGAGGCGATGTACCATTAGAAACACACACACCCAACAAACAAGGAGGTTCACAAACGAACGAAGGCGTTTCTTTAGCCATACACTTTATATCCTAAAATAACAAAACTCTATCAAATACAAGTTTAATTAATTATAATCCGGTACTTACAGTTAACGTTGATACTTCCATTTGATTGTCGGCACACATGCAAGTACGATTTTTTGGATTTGTACTTGGAGTGCATAAAGCGGTAGGATGACATGGATTAACGGTGCAAAAATCAATCACTGTAAAAAGTATATATTCAACATTAACTTGAGAACACCAAGCTAAATGTAGACGTAGTACTTACAGTACTTGGGATGTTTATTTTCTTGCATCATCACTAAATCAGTCGCTCTAAATATGTTTTTAGCCAAGGTCGTCATGTTCTTGTCTCCAAATTTGTCTATACGCACAATTGTTGTAAGGAGCGTTACATAAATTGAATCTTCAAACAACTCGATGTTAGTTGGATGCTTGCCTAATTAACAGGGAAAAAATAAAAATCTCTAAAACAGAAAATAAATTTCTAGGAACATTACCTTTAGGGAATTTGTGTATAACCCTACGTCCTTTTCCGTCCAGTGAAATCGATTCAACTGTATATGGTTTTGTATCGGACCAATATAAACGACGAGCTGCATAGTCTATTGTTAAACCGGCTGGACTACGAACAGAATCACTAACAAACGTTCGTCGGTTATAACCGTCCATTGAACAAGTTTCAATATGGGGTTTACGACCCAGATCGGACCAAAACATTGATCTAAAAGAATAATACATTTATTTGTTAAAAAAATATTAAATTTGTAATCATTTTTTGACTCTGATAGTTGGGACTTAGCTAATAAAATTTTATATTTTAATTTATATAATATTTTTCTTATTAGCAAGATATTTTTTTTTTAAGTTCTTTTATGATTACAACAAAACAATTTGGTTTTATAACATTGTATTATAAATTTTGGTAAACAAATATAAAACTATAGTAAAAAAAAGTATACCCCGATTGAGGATCCAATACAATGTTTTGTGGTTTGCGGTCGGCTTCAAGTTTAATTAATGTTTTGATATTTTTTCCATCTATTGTTGCTACTTTAATTACTTTAGTTCGTACAGAATTTTCAATCCAATACAAATTCTTTGATATCCAATCCACAGCGATACTTTCAGGACTTCCAACGGTGTAGACCTATATAAAAAAAAAAAAAAAAATTGATTAAATAAAATAAATTAGACAAATAAAAAATAAAGAGAGCACATTAGTTTGTTTGTTAAGGACGTACAATTGTTTTTACGGTATTAAGATCACGGGTGATTGTACTAGGTTTTTTGACTGGATTGTCCAAAATGGTGGAATACAACGCTTTGGAATTGTGATCGCTCCAAAAAAGATACGATACATTGGCTGACCACAATATGTCTATGGAGTGTATTTTATGAGCTGGCAACGTGACAGCTGAGTATTTAAAGAAATTCTCGTGCGATTTGTATGGATCGACAAAATATATATCTCCTTCATTGCTGGCGACAACTAATAATGCAGAAGCTCCTAAAATTGTATAAAATATTGTCCAGATGTAAATACAAGATAATATAATCATAGTTTGATGTACAATATATTTTTCAAAATTAAGCTATTAAAAAAAAATTACATACCAACTGCTTGACATGATTTGTTTGGTAACATGGCACTATAACCAGGTGCACAATGACAAGAAAAAGTTAAATTTTTTTTGGGTATGCAAATTTGAGAGCATGTACCAAATTGACACGGCGCTTTAGTAACATTATTACAAAACAACTCATCTGAACCATCTATGCAATCATTACGTCCATTACAATGAAGACGTCGATTAATACATTGGCCATTTGCGCATTTATACTTATTCATATCACATATTTGGCTGGAACTTGCACCTTTTTTTACAATAAATAAAAAAGTCTATTAATATTACCTTTTATTGAATATTTGACACATATATTTATGTTTTATTTTTTTATAGTATGTAATATACGTAATATGTTTACTTACAAGCAGTTTTGGTTTCATCAGAACCATCACCGCAGTGATCAATTCCATCACAAACATTTGTATTGAACACACAGTTGTCATTATTGCACCGATACTTTCCTGGTGGACAAGCAACCTGTGCACACATTGTACGATTTTCATCGCTACCATCTGCGCAGTCTTCTTCGCCATCACATCTCGATCCCAATGATATGCAGTCACCATTGTTACATACAAACTGACCATTACGGCTGATAGAGCATCCTTTTCCTATTTTATCTGTGCAATTCCACTCGTCCGAGCCGTCAGGACAGTCTTGGTCTCCATCGCACCTCCACTTCCTGATAAAAGATCAGTGAAAAAAAAAACTTTTAAGTGAAAGTAAATTATAAAGTTATTTTAATTTATTACTTTAAACCTTTGCCAATGACCTCGGAAATCAAAGCTTTTTAAACAAAAATATTAATAATTTTTTTTTTTATAATCGATACTTACGGAGAAATACAATGGTATGAACCATTACAGTGGAAATCGTCGCTGCCACAGGTTACATGAGCTTCACAATCGTTTTCATCACTATTATCCGAACAATGGGTTTTTCCATCACATCTTTGTGTAAGTAGTATGCATCGACTATCAGAACACCTAAACAACATTGAAATTTTAATACATTTTTACATAAATGAGTGATGAAAGAAAAAATTTAATATTATAATACAATAAAATAACAAAATTAGTTTTATAAACAAAATATAATGTTGAAAATACCTAAATTCAACATCGGTACAATTCCTCGGTGAACATCCGGCTTCATCCGATCTGTCGCCACAATCGTTTTCAAAATCGCATCGCCAACGACCAGGAATACATCTATATCAACAATGATCACAAATTATTATTCAAAATATTTATTTATACAAATTGCGTTTAAATTTGTAAAGTGTTACATACCGTCCGTTAGCGCACTTGAAATAAGTGGGATCACACGTAGTGTTAAAACAAGAAGGAGGTTCGTCTTCACTGTCGGGACAATCTTTTTCTCCGTCACATTTCCACATTTGGTGAATACATCGACCGCTGTTGCAACGAAATTCATCTGGGGCGCATGTTCTCGATGTACAGTTTAGTATTTCATCTGAATCGTCGTCTTTACCACAATCGTTTTCTCCGTCACAAACAAATACTTTTGGAATACATTTTCCACTAATTGCACATTTGAACTGAAAAACCCAAATATTGTGGAATGTGTTGAAGCTTTCATGGATTGTAATATCATGCCGATGAGTTTCAGATATATCCATGTCCATAGTTTTAAGGCAACGTTTCACTCTTCAGAGTCCATCTTCATGGCTGTGATAGTCACGACTGTTTGGCTGCCGTGGCTTTATGAGTATCGCCATGGCAGCCGAACAGTTGCGGATATCACAGCCCTGAAGATGGATTCTGCAAAGAGTCCGAAACGTTAGCTTAAAACTATGGACATGGATATATCTAAACTCATCTGCACAAATTTTTTTATTTTTTTAATTTTAAACACACAAATACAAAAAACAAGTATTACTTCTTTAGTGGCACAAGCTTTTGATTTACAATCTTTTTCGTCTTCACCGTCTAAACAGTCTTTGTGGCCATTACATTTGAGTTGGTTCGATATACAAGAAGGATTTGACGAAATATTTGTACCTCGTTGACATTTAAAGTCCGTATCCAGACATGTATACTAATTAACAAATAATTTTTATAGTCAAAAACAGGTTACAAGAAGTACAATTTTCACTCTGTTACATTTTCACAATCGTCTTCATCAGAATTATCTTTACAATCAGCTATACCATTACATATTTGCATTGGATGTATACACTGATTATTATTGCACTGAAACTGCCCAGGTGTACAATGGAAATCAGTGCAGTTGGCGGGCTCATCTGATCCATCACCACAATCATCCTAATATCATATTATAGAAAATTGTTGTACATATATGTATATAAAAAAAAATCACTACAGGTATTTTGTAAACATACATGCTTATCACAGTGCCACCAAAATGGTATACATTTGAATGTGTTAGCGCACACAAAATGTGATGATGTACAATTAGCAATGCAATTCATGTTGTCCGGAGCTAATATGAAATCCTGTGGACATGCACATGTTCGACCCAGAGAAGGTGAAAGAAGACATAATGCTTTACAGCCACCGTTATTTTTCTCACACGGATTATATGCTCCTGAGTTATACACAATAGTATTTCATATATTATTATATATTTCATGTGTTATTTCAAGAGTTAAAAAAATAGAAGTTATTCTCACTCGATGGCTGCAATAAAGGATGTACAACTTTGATGTCCATAGGCTTATAAACGAGTGTTGTAACGTTTTGACACCCGAGACCTGAATATTTATGACACTTGTGAATAGTTTTGGTTTCCCAGTCCGACCAATAAACATAATTTTCGAACAATGTAATTGCAAATACGTGATGCAGATTCACGGCAGGATTCATTTCTGATAAAAACAACAAAAATTCCAGTTATCAGAATTACAATTAAATTATTGTTGTTGATTAAATTATTTTAATAAACCTTACTTCTACTCATAACTACACGCTTGTTGTTGCCGTTTAGGTCGGAATAGGCGATATAATCTTCTTTAGCATCAGCCCAAAATAGTTCTTCAGTTGCTAAGCTCAAAGCTAAAGCATTTGGCCAACCGAGAGATTCATTCAATATAACTCTGGGTTCACTACCGTCCATTCCAGCTTTACCAATGTGAGGCACTTCGCCCCAATCAGTCCAGTACATGTATCCACGGATCGGATCCAGACTGATGGCTCTAGGCTCTTGGAGACCTTTGTTAATTAGAACTTTCCTAAAATGACCATTCAACTTGGATACTTCTATAGTGTCTTTGCCTTTGTCACACCAATATAAATTTTTAGCAATCCAGTCAACAGCAATTCCGTCGGGGCTGTAGATTGCCGGCCCGTGCAAACGCTAAAAATGTAATAAATACTTTAAATAGACGATTGTACAGGGTTGGAATTAATTTATGTTATAGTAAAACATCAAATAAAACCTACCTCTGAGGATTTATCTTTGCATAGTCGTTTTATTGTGCTACCTTGGTTGGTGACGTCGGACCAATAATAACAGTTTTCAGCAAAATCGTAATCAACAGCAACGGCATTTGTTAAGTTATTGGCTATCATTGAATTTTCCGTACCTCTCAGATCAATTTCTTTAATATAGTGAACATTCGCAAAAACCAACACGGGTTTTATGTCTAAACAAAAAATATATGGATAAGTAATCAATATATGATACTATCTTAATAGTGTCTAGAAGACGTGATATGACAAACTGTTTGATTTCAAAACAATCCAAACCATTTGAGTTATCAAGTACTGGCAAAAATTATAGCGGATTATTTAACTGTTAGCATATATTGTTTCCGAGCAAATCTTTTTCTTAAATAATGTAGCCACTTGACCTGCCAAGTTTTATACGTCAATCACCAAGGACAAAAATTAATAACTGTTGTTTTTAACAAAGTTGACAAATGTTTATTGCTACTCGGTTCTGTGCATAAAACATACGGTGGTACTCAATAAGTTTGGTTTTTGATACATTCAAACTATAAAATCAGGGTTCGTCACATCATAATTATTTATGTATTTTTTTACTCGTTGAAGCTTTGCAAGAGTGACCGTCCGGTAGTAAAGTATACCCAGCAGTGCAGTCACATTTAAAAGACCCGATGGTATTGTAGCATATTTGACTGCAAGGCTTTACAATGTCAGTAGAGTTGCATTCATTAATATCATGACATAGAGAACCGACAGATTTGTAGCCAGAATGACACTGACACTCGTAACCGACTGAACGATCTATGCATATATGCTCACAAGGGCGGAACATTAGAGTGACATTTTCTAATAAGCATTCGTTGATATCTAATAAAAAAATGTTTTTAATTACATTAAGATCAAAATTGAAAAATGCATTCATATAAATATTTTGAGTATGCCATTTACTGCATTTATCTTCATCGCTAAAATCTCCACAATCGTCTTGACCGTTGCATGTGAGGTTTGCGTTAATGCAAATCTTATTCTGACAAAAGAAGTTATCAGGCCATGAACAACTTTCGTTTTTGTAATGTTCTAAAAAATTAAAATTTCAAAAATAAAATTACGATTTTACTGATGGTTATAATTCAATATAATTCTTACTGCATTCCTCTTTATGTAAGTTTTCGTCTGAATTGTCACCGCAATCGTTTTTACCATTACAAACATCAGACTGCAAAATACAGACACCGTTTTCGCAAATAAATTCTTTGATAGGATCGCATATTTTACAATTTTCAGGTTCATCTGAATTATCACCACAGTCGTTATGTCCATCACAATAGTATTCCTGTAGATTTAGAAATTGGATAATTGTAGATAACATTATACTAGAGTATTAGTTTATTTCTGAAATAACACAACATATTTTACTACTCACGTGAAAGATGCATTTTTTGTTAACACATTGAAATTGATCAAGAGGACATGCTGTACTGTTAATAAATTTACATTTTTCTTCATTTTCATCAGAACCATCACCGCAGTCATTGTCTTTGTCACATACCCAAGTAATAGGTATGCATCTTCCAGTTTTGTTACAATGAAAATCACTACTTGAACAATTTCTACTCACTGAGGGATAAAAAAAAGACTAATTTTTATTAACCTTATTATGATAGTGGACGGGATTAAGATAAAAACTAGAATAGTGAAAATATTTGATATCGCTTAAACGACTTATTCTTACAACAGTCCTTAGGTTCATCGGCTCCATCAATACAATCAGGAGTCCCATCGCATTGCCACGATGCAGGTAGACACTCATAATCTTCAAATTTTGTTTTGCATTGGAATTCGGATGGTTTGCATTTAACAGCTTAAACAATAAAATTGATTTAATTTTTTTTGTATATGTTGTAAAATCTTATGTTTAGGAACATTTTGATGGGTAGTCCCCAATCACTTAGCAGTACCTTGGTGCCTAACCAACAACTGACAATATTAGATTATATGAAAAGTATCATGTTTGCAAACATGCTTTTAGTTTGATTTTTTTTTTTAATGAAAGAAAATGTTGAAAAATGTTTATGTATCATAAGTATAAAGGTTAATGACATTTTCTTGTTTTTCACTGTATATTGGTTGTAAAGAATATCATCCCTCCCATTCAAGTTAAGAACTAATTCCTAGTGTTAAGTAATTCTCAATAGTTATAAAAAAAAAGTAATTCAAATGTATATAAAAAAAACTTACAGCAATTCCTTTCGTCTGACGAAGGTAATGAAGTTTCATATGAATCATCACAATCGTCGTCACCGTCACACACCCAAGATTTGGAGACACATTTACCGTTAGAACATTTGAAATCACTGGGCAAACAATTATTTTTCGATGGCAATGGAGTTTTTGCTAATGTTAGTAAGTTACAAAACATTACAACAGCTATCATAAAATTAAAAAAAAAAAAAATTTAAAACCGTTGTCCTACTTGTAGGGCAATTTTCTTCGTCACTATTATCCCAACAATCATTTTGGCCATCGCAAATCCAAGATGGATGTATACAAGCAGTAGTTGAATTACAGCTTACTACTGTTGCGCTGAGCACTAATTCTTCACAATGTGTTGTTAGCCCTTAAAGAATATAACATTTTTATTAAAATACAAAAAGTTTATACACCATTTTTGAATTTACCACATCCAATTTCGTCACTTGCATCACTGCAATCGGGATCTTTGTCACAGCGTAAATTTGGAGCAATACATTCACCAGATTTACAACGAAAATAAGTAGTATTTTGACAAGTGCATCCCAATTCGTCAGAACCATCAAAACAGTCTATGTGACCATCACATTTACGTTCTTTCGGAAAGCAACGATTTAGCAAATCTTGACACGCGAAGAAATCATCAGGGCAAGACCTTGTGGCTGAAATTTAAAGTAATTCACTCAGGATATAATTTTCTCTTCAAACAACTAACTTGAAATATTTATCCTACCACAATATTTAATGTCTTCGTCAGATTCGTCTTGACAATGCGGTATATTATCACAAGTGTTTTCAAACGGTATACAATCAAAGGAAGAGCATGTGAATTCATTACTCGAACAATTTTTTCGCCCAGTGCTTAAACTCTCGACACATCTTTTTTTATCAGGCAAAAGCACACGATTTCGCTGGCATGAACATTCTACGTTGCCTTTGATATCCAATCTACAAATATCTTCGCAACCACCGTTAAGCACACGGCATGGATTCTTAGAACCTAATTGTTTAAATTGAACACATTTAATCTTGATCAACTATTTAATGACAATAATTGTAGTCATACATTCATTTGTGTTATTTGCAATAACTACTATCCCCATTGGCCTGAGTACATCTTTTCTTATCCAAACCACATTTTTACCGGTGTATTTATCAGCACGTAAAACTGCATTTAACATCCAATCTGTCCAAAAGAAATAATCGCCATAAACAGCAATATCAAATGGATGTTGTGCATACACGTCATCCAGAATCTAATCAGTGAAATATGTTATATGTATATTTAATATCTGTTTTTTAAATTTTTATTCATTTACATACCACTCGATTTGATCCGTCATATTCACAACGTTCAATTTTGTCTAATTTTGCATCACCCCAATAAATTTTCTGGCTAACATGGTCTAACGTGAGAGCATTTGGAATTTGAATGTCTGTCATTATTATTGTCTCTACCATGTATCCGTTTAAGTAAGATCTTTGAATACTGGGTTTTAGATTATTCCAGTTTGTCCAATACATTCGGCTAAAATTTAAATTTAAATAAAATAAATATTTAAAAAAGGAAAATAGGTACGTATAATATATAAACTTACGAATCACAACTATCAACGGCTATTCCGCGAGGCCTGTCGGATTGTCCTAATTTTAAAACCATTTCAGGTGTAGCATTGGATTTACTTAAGTTTATTCGGCTGATGGACGCATTACTACTCGTCCAGTAAAGCATATTTTCCTTTGCTTCGTAATCAATTCCTTCTACAGAACCTTGATCTAAATTCCAAAATACAAACGAGTATATAACAATAAAATAACTAATAAGAATAAGTAATTATATCATTATTGTAAACTTGTATACATTCAACGATAACCCGATGTCCTGTATCATTGAAGTGTATGGCATCAATAGTACCACGTTGAATATCCGAATAAAATAGTAAAGAACGCACATAATCAAATGAAAGTGCAATTATATTTTGCATAAATGATTTTGACTGCATGACTCGGAATGGTGTGGTAAAAATAAAAGGATTTTCTGGTACGTTGATGCTATCAATTTGTTTGACTCGAGAATACATAACAAATGTTTCATAGTCTAAAAAATTTAAATGAACATGTGAATCAAGTTAAACACTACAATGTTTTTAAAACTTTCAGTGATTTTTATAAAAATACGAATGACACCACTTCACACTACCTTCACACGTTTTTCCATCAGCGCTAACAATACCATGGGAACAGGCACAAACACCATGTGTTCCATTAAACAAACACAATTCCTGACAGCCTCCATTATTTTTAGCACAAACATTAGATCCCTGATGCCGATCTTTGGAAAATATTTGTATATCTTTCGGATGTTCTCCATACTCGTGTATTAACTCTTCTGAGGCAGAAATATTGTTTATAGGTGACACCATCAGCGAAGACGAGCCTTGTATTTGCATTCTATAAAAATATTTATGACATTAAGATACAATTTGAAACATAATTTTTATTTATAATGGGAGTTACATACAGGCCAAACCAATAGATATATCCGTTATGAACAACAATACTAGCTGGATTAATATCTTTATCTTCATATAATATTTCATATTCAGTGCCGTCATAATTACAACGACCAATTAAGCTTTGTTGACAAAAATACAGCTTGCCATTCTAAATCGGAAATAATTATGATTAACGGAAAATAACCATTTCGTCTTAACTTACCAAATAGTCTAATGTGATATCTTCAATGAACGGTTTATTTTTATTGTGTACAATATTTTTGATATTATGACCGTTCAACGTAGAACGGAATATTCCATGATAGCGTCTAATACTCCAAAAGAGAAACCCAAACACAGGGTCCACGGCCAAAGAATTAGGTCTTTCCATGGTCTCTCCACCATCTAACACTACATAAACATTAGTCCCGTTCAAATTGGCCACTTGTATAATATTGAATGTTGGATTAGCCCAGTAAATGTAACCAGTAATCCAATCAATTGAAATTCCTGAATAATACCATGAAACACTAAATGAGCGAATTTAATTTACACAAAATGAAAATTAAGTTTAACGTACCTGACACAAAAGTTCCTAGCGTTATCTTACTAGAATGTTCGTGATTTACAATAGTTTGTCTACCGGTTCCATCACGCTTAATTCTCATAATGGTTCCTTGTTCGTCATCAGACCAGTATATATAATCTAAAATCATTTAAATATATTTTTTTATTATTTTGAAATACTTTAAGAGGCTATGACAAAGTTTGTGTGGTGCCATCACTATTAATTTGACGGCTGTTACCAAAGGAATTATGTTTTCTTATTATACGCAATAATATAAAATTAGGTTAGGTAACAAACGCCGAGTTGTTTTAGATTCATTCAGTCTAACTGTTATCTTTAATGAACTTGTTGTAAGAATACGTAAACAACTAAACTGTCATACCTTCATAAAAGTCAATACTAGTTGCCATTGATGTTTTTGACAGTGGACTTAAAACTTGGCGGCTATCATTTTTAACCAAAGATACGCCTTTGATTTCAGACTCCACCGTATATAATAAGAATTCATTGATGCCTAAACATTTTGTGTTGTCACTAGGGTCTATCACGTAGCCAGTAGCACATTGACAAACTCGATCTTTAGCCGAAATCGTTAAACAAAGATGTGAACAAAATCCTCGATGTTTTGAACAAAAATTTGAATGTGAACGAACTTTTGCATCAGGTTGCAATGATGGATCGTAAAGGCTCAATGCGTATACATCTAAAGTACATAAATAATAACTGTTAATTTGGATTTATTATTAATTTAAAGTTAGAAGAAAGAAAAAATAATTTACCTCCAGTTAGGTTGCGGAACACAGTATTTCCTTCACCTGTTATTTTGTTGGCCACTTGAATATTCATTAATTTATTGTCTACATAGTATATATCATTTTTGTACAAGGCGATGGACGATGGGGTACTTTCTTCAGGTAATTTCAATGGAGGATTTAATTTTAAATCTCGAATGTTGTACGAATGAATCAAATGTTTATCTAAATTCACCCAATACAGTGTGTGTGTTTCTTGATCAACAGTTAAACCTGTTAAAAATGTTTATATTAAAAGATTTTTTTAAAAATAAAAACTAGATGAGATGTTAAAACATTTAATGCAAACTATTGTGAAAACTTACTTGTTAGGCCGGGTACAAATGGAATAATTTTTTCTGAAAATATTATAGATCTAGAAGAGACATTCATATCGGACATAATAATATTGTGATGTCCACTGGCCATAGCTTGGACCCAAAATAGTTTTCCTTGTTCAGGAAACACAGCTAATGAACCTAATTGCACAGTTTTATTATTCTCTAGATCGGTCCAGTCACTCGAGTACAATGTAGTGAAATATTCTCCGTTAAGATTGCAAGCGATTATAGTTTTGGCTACAGTGATATTTTCTTCAACAAGGGAATGTTGATCTGTGCTAACTGCGACAAACATATTTCTAGACATCCAGTCAATAGCAAAGCCAAGTGGTTGATGTATTCCTGTATTAAATCAATCAGGTAAGCGAGTATAAAGTTGTATCAATTAAAAATGACTATAATACCTAATTACCTGTGTCTAAAATTACTTCTATATTTCCACCAGATAAACTAGACCTTTTTATTTCGTTACTAGAATAATCGGACCAATAGATCTGTTTGTCAGCTGCAACGTAATCTATTTGTATATTTAAAAGTGGTTGAGAGTCATATGAGAGCAATGTGGGAATTGTATTGTAATAAGGTTGTTCCAAGTTGACTCCTCGAATCTCATTAATTTGCGCAAACAACAGCACTATCTCGTTGACTAAAAGTAAAAAGTACCGTCACATCAATATGGATAATATTTTAACAGCAACAGTAATTTACTCTATTACCTATGCAAGTATGGTTATCTTTTGATAATCTCATTACATGTGGACAATCACATTTGTAAGTAGAATTCATGTTTAACAAACACAAATGAGAACAATTTCCATTGTTATTTCCACAGGGATTAAATTCAACTATAAACATATAAATATATAAATATTATTGCTGTTAAGATGTCATTATTTTGGTATAATATTAGTACCAAATAAAAATATTATATTTATTTTAATACTGAACATTAAATAAAAAAAGTAAATTAAAATCTATATATCGCTATTTATATCAATATACTGATAAATCGTAAATTATATCAATAATTTAAAATATATACAGATTGATTTTTTCCCCCTACGATTTTTTCTCTAACACACATATAATAAACAAAGCTTGTGCTAGATAGGAATGGACAACATCTGCTTAGAACTGAGCGTAAACCAAACCGAGTACGTTTAACATACCCTGTTTAACAACCAAAGAGAAAATAATAATTTTTTGTGAAACATTTATTTCCTCAAACGAAAAAAAAAATGTCAAGTAATATTTTTCTTTCAGTAAACAAAAAATAATTATTGTTGTGCGAAAAAAAATTAATTGCTTAAAAAATACAAAACTATTTGGAAAACACAAAATATTGTAAGAGGATTTTGCTAGAAATATCATAGAACAATTTATTTCTGTTTACATGATTATTGATGGAATTATAAACAAAACACTATATTTTATTATAGTCAGTAGGGTGATAGTTCTAAGAGGGCATATTTTATATTTTGCATACATCGAGTATTAAGTATTTAGTTATTGTTATTGGGAGACAGTCGCCGTTTTTACTTTTTTTTATTTGTCACATTTATTCAACCATTTTATTTTTTGATCTGCTTCTGTAAATACATTTTAATCCAACATTTAATTTATGCGAAAAAATTGTATGTTTATTTTTTTCTTTAGATTTTAGATAACAAAATTCTAAAAATATATATATATACATTCTGAACTCAACCCATGAAATACTACCTCATATAGAGTGACGTAAACGATTCACTCTGTATAAAAGTAAACAACGATTTCTCTCAAATTACCGCAATATTGATTATAAATTTTTATCCCACAATATTGTAATTAAATTATTTAAGTAATTTCAACAATGTCACTATTGTCGAAGTCCATTATTTTTAAAACATTATTAGTAAGTCCATTATTAATAAATCATTTTTTCATTGTCAACTATTACCTTTGGGCTGTCGACTAGGATGTAAAACCTTTACGTCAAAAGGTTGGGTAACAGTGTGTTGAACAACAGTAACATTAGATCCAGTCCATTTGTTTGCCCTATTTACTGAATTACTTCGCCAATCAGTCCAATATATATCATTTTCATAAAGTGTGATAGCAAATGAATGAGAAAGGAGTTCATGACCTTTGAGCACTTGATGGTGATCATGACCGTTGTAATCCACTGTGTGTATTGAATCTGATCTATATTTAGATGAAATATAATTGTACAATCCAAATAAGTTTAAACAGTATATTTACTTGGCATCAATCCAGTAGATTCGATTCAATTCATAGTCCAACGTCAAACCATTGGGCCATTCTCCGTATTCAAACATATTCACATAAACAATAACTTGACGGTGTTCACCAGCCATACTACAACGCTCAATTCGAGGAGCAGACGAGTCCCAATCGGACCAAAACAAATAACCAAATCTAGGATCCAATGCAATAGCTCTAGGACTAACCATATCGCCGGCAATCAGACTTCTTCGAAAGCTGCCATTTAGTTTTGCCACTTCAATTTGATCTAAGTTACTTTCGACCCAGTAAAGATTACCAGCTACCCAATCAACAGCAAGACCTTCGGCTGTAGTCAATCCATTTTGTACCACAACTTCGATGTCACTTAAAGCTAAACAAATGTACTCTCTTGTATTTACAATTGCAATTAATCACACATAAAACAAAAACATATGATTAACACTTACAACCACCGATCATAGTGCCTTTGAAAATTTTATCATCCATCACATCAGTCCAGTATAATGTGTCGGTTCCATCTTTTGCGTGATAAAAATCTAACGTAACAGTATTTTTTAAATTAGAAATTAACGACTTGACATCTCTAGTAACTAAATTGATTCCACGTATTTCATGTTTATTGCTAAATATTATTTGAGGCGTAGATTCATCTTGAACACATAAAACATTATTATTAATAAAACTGTATAATATAACTCTACAATATATTAAGTTTAAAATTATTTAAACGAAAATCAGTGCTTGATGTAGGTCATTGGTGCAACACAATTACCAACAAAAGGTATATTATTGTTTCTTCTTCTCCTTCGCCTTCATCCCAACTATTTGGGATCAGCCACCCTAGTCCTAAACCTCTACTTAATACATTCTCCCACATCATCTTCACATAAACTACAGTCCTCATATAATTTGTAATCAAATCTAACCATCTTTTATTCAATCTTCCTCTTCCCCTCTATCCTCCAACGTTTAGCAAGTTGTTAACTTCTGCCAATTTATCTCCTACCAAAACAATATTATCTTAAAACATTATACATCATGGTACCTCACCCTGTATTTCCTTCATAACTTAATTTCTTAGAACAGATAAGGGCTCAAAGTAGAACCCTGATTCACAGCTACTCTAACACAAAAATGTTTTATTATCCCTCCACGCATACTAATGATACTCGTGTTTGAACTTTCATAAATATCCTTTATCAAACTAATATACAATTTTGGAGCTCCTTTTCTCATCATCGCCAACATCAAAATCTCTCTGGCCACTCTTTCATACACCTTCTCTAAATTTTATAAAAACCATACATAGGTTTTTCTTTTTCTCTCTATACTTTTCTACAAGCTATCTCACCCAAAACACAAGTTCCATCGTTGATTTTTCAGCTATATTATTATTTAATTTTAAAATTAATAAGTCAACTACAAATAAAAAAATAAAATTTTTAGCTCACCTGTGCTTTTACACGTAAATCTATCGGCAGCTAATAAATAGCCGTGGTTACAAGCACATTTATGAGCATATTTGCCAATTTCCAAACATTTTTGCGAACACGTACCCCATACGGTACATGGGCTTGTAATTGAACACGTTACTCCATCTAGTTGAATGCTCATATTTTCTGGACATAGACATAAAAATCCACTTGGACTGTTTTTGCAAACGTGTGAACATTCTGATGCGGTTTCGCATAAATTTTCAACTAAAATTGTATTTATATTTAATTAACTAACAAGCAATAATAATGATAATAAATTATTTATAAATAAAAACGTAAGTTATATGTGTTAATACAAGGCCATTTGTAAAGAATCTCTAAAATTATTGAAAAGTTTAACGAATAAATAAAAAAAGTAATCGGATTAAAAAGTTAGTTTTAATTTTAAAAAAGTATTTACCTCCGTTTTTAACACATATATTTTTTTAAATATGAATATATTACCACATTGTCCACCTTCGTCCGAACCATCTAAACAATCATTTTTACCATCACACAGTAAGTCGACTGGTAAACACATTGTATTATTGTCACAGGAATGACTAGGATACGAGCAATTGGTAGAATTATTGTCAATACGATTGCATAATTCACCAGTACAATTTTTGACAAATTCTTAGACAAAAAAATGTGTTTATTACTTTACACATAACATAAATAATAGTCAAGTACTTAACGAGTTAATATTTATTTTTAATAGTTTGAAATTACAAAACAAAATTGACTTTGTAGTTAAAAAAACTAATGAAAAATTCACATTCCAGAGACAGATTATTTAAATACTTACTGCAATCTTTCTCATCACCACCATCAGGACAATCTGGTAATCCATCACAAACGTAACGTTTATCGATGCAAAATCCAGATGAATTTGAACACAAAAATTCTCCATTTGAACAAATGTGTTTAGTAGTATTTGATTCGTTACAATTCAATTCGTCCAACGCACCTTCACAATCAATTATTCCATCACATTTTTTCTTCAAAGGTATACAAGTATTATTTTTAGCACAATAAAACTAAAAAAAAATAACACAACATAAATAATTAGTTAATCAAAATCCTAAAAGGTTATCTTTAGTTGGGCTTGAGTAATACACAAATGATTAAGAATACACGTTATAATTAATAATTAGCTAATGAAAAACAATGTATTAGTTGACTTTCATTAATTAATTTTCTTTCTTACTTGTCCAGGACAATCACCACACATTGCTTCGTCTGACCAATCGCCACAATTGTCTTCCATATTGCAAACATAATCATAAGAGATACAGTGGCCGTTTTTACAAGTAAACTCCAAGTTTTCACAAACATGATGAATTTCTAAACATAATTTATAATTAAAGATACCTTGGGAAGTGAATAAAATTAATTCTAGTTATGTTGAGCTCTAGGCAAACGCATTTTGAGATATTAAAAAACTAGAGATACTGGTGTATAACATAACAAATATCTGTTGTAACAGGTAAAATACAAAATAAAACAAAATGAAAACTTTGAGTTTACCGCAGAACTGATGTTCATCAGAAGTATCTCCTTCACCACAATCAAATGTTCCATCACACACCCAAGAATGAGGTATACAACGTCGCGTAATAGCACACGCAAATTGGGATGGCAAACATTGGGCACACAAATCAGGGTTTTCATCACTTTTATCATTACAATCGCTGTCCCCGTCACACACCCAAAACTTTGAAATACATTTATTATGGTCACACGAAAAACTTTCTGGAGGACATGTGACATTAGCTAAAAAAAAATAAAAATTGAAGCTGGAGGCATATTTAATAGTTTAAAAGTTTAAATTAGTTCATACAACATGGACCAGTTATGGTATCTTCATCCGAGCCATCTCCACAGTCATTATCACCGTCACACATTAACTTTTTCGGTATACACTGTTTAGTCTTGACACATTGAAAACTGTCTTGACCGCAAAGAGTTGGTACCGAATAATTGCTAGATTTTACACACTCTTTCTTTTTATTGTCGGTCGCTTTTAACGCGTAACCATCATTACATAAGCAAACAGGCCCCTTCGGTGTAGACATGCATAATCCAGAACATTGGTCTGCTTCTTCACACCAGTATGACAATGTCTTTACTAATAAATAAAATATAATTTTTGACAAATTGACCGATTTATAAACATTTAACATTTAAAGAATTTGTTTTACTTTGCGCTTCGCTATTATACACTTTTAATGTAAACAATGGCGGATTTTCAACTCCGAGAGTCTCGTGAGATTTGTTAACTAAATTATAACTTTTAACCAATCCTTTTGTGGCATCAGTTTCGGTCCAAAATAATAAATCATTGTACACAGCAACGCCGTAAGGATAAGGAGCAGATCGCTTTAACACCTCTCTGTTGTTACCGTCCAAATCTATGCGTTCTATTCTATCGTGATAAACATCGGACCAATATAATCGTCTGGTAAAAAAGTCCAGAGTTAATCCAATAGGCCACTGAACATCGGCTTTCACAAAGTTTGTCCGATTACTGCCATCCATCCAAGCTTTTTCAATACTACCCCCTGATCTAGCCGAACTTTGAGGCCAATTACCCCAATACATAAAACTGAAATCAAATAAATATATTTTTTATATATCAGAACATATTGTATACAACAAAAATTGTCTAACCCATTTTTAGGATCTAGTACAATAGATCTCGGATGATAAGCTTTATCCGTGATGAGTACTTTTTGTCTAGATGGATCATCCAATTTAAATACATTCACTGTACCCAAACCTTCATCAGTCCAAAACAAGTTACGACCAGACCAGTCAATGGCCAATCCTTCACAGTTCATGTCCGGTAACATTTTGACCGATTCACTTCTTGTTCCGTTTAACCTTATTCGTTCTATTGCATTTCTTTTTCCTCCCGAATAATAAATTGTCTGTGTTTTAACATCATAATCAATGGACGTTGGCATTCGTCCGTCATTCAACGGTAAAATGATTTGTTCTTGATGTTTCTTTGGATTCATGGAAATCCCTTTGATCATGGGAGGATTGCTTTTTCCAAATATTAAAAACGCCGATAATTTTGATGCTACAAAAGAACATGATAAGAATAAATAGACGAATACATCAACTAATGGCACATTTACGGGACACATACAAACGCATTTTCCTGAATTAAGTCTGTAACCAGGTTGACATAAACAATGAGCAATTGGCCTAGAATCTTTGTAGGCGGTGATACAAATGTGGTCACATCCACCATTATCTATTTTACAAGGGTGGATAACTAAAAAAAAAGTAAAAAAAATTTATATTAAGGTGGTGTTAATTTGAGTTAAGCCCAATACTTGAACCCTACATGACAAATTGGTCTAAGTCTTCTTGTAAATACATGCAATCTTTCTGAGTATCAACTTTATAAAATAGCATAAAGTAATCAGCAAAACATAGCAGCTTACAGTAGAGACAGACATTTGAGATGCTGTTTATGAACAATACAAAAAGAAAAGGAGATACATGATGTCTTGAAGGTTGCAAGATGTAGCTGTAAATTTTAACTTATCTTTAAAAAAAGAGTAGCTGAAGACATTTAAATAGTAAATTTTATTACGTTTTTGTTCTTTTAAACTAAATGTTCATTTAATACTTTTGAAAATTTAACACATCACAGATGTGTTTTCAAAGTGACATATGACAAAAAGTTAACAAAAAATATTAAAATATAGTCGACTACAATTAATTCTAACCCAGCCAATAACTCTTAAGATTCTATAGTTTTAATTTTTTCTTATAGTATGATTTCTGACATAATGTAACTTAAGATTTCCAAATAATTTATAAAAAAAAAACCCTCTCCTCAACTATGAATATGTTGCCATCGATCTTATAAATAACACTTAACAATTTTCTATAAATAAATAGCTGGTCGAAAACCAATTTTGGGTGATTATTTTTTAAGTTAAAGGCTTCTAAAAGTTTAAGCGAGAGGAGCATATTATTATTATTACTCGCCTCGCATTTATTATTTTTTTTTTTTGCTTAAAGGACTATCAAAGTTTACAAATACATACTTTCGGGTTGCTCTTGTCTGTGGTACACATGAATTGTAAATGGGCGACTTAAGTTTGTCATTAACGATTCGTATGAACTACTGTTGAATTTGCTCAATTTTATAACGCTTTGTAATCTCCAAGATGTCACATACAGGTGATTTTCGAACACTGATATATCATATAAATTTATAACCTAAATAAAATAATCAAAGATTTAAAAAAATATATTTACTTAAAAGTTATCTAAATTTAACTATACCGGAAATCCTTTTTGTATAGTTCGCCTATTTGAGCCGTCATAGTTTATTCTTTCCACAAAATCTAAGTATGTATCAACCCAATAAATGTGTTCCGATGGAATATCAACAGTCAATCCGTAAGGATATACTATTTTGTGATCAACTAAAGAATGTCTTCCTTGACCATTCAACTGAGCTCTTTCTACCATAGCGGGGAATTGTCCCCATTTAGTGAAAAACATATACCTGTAACATAAAGTGAATATTATTTAATTTAAAATAATTTATTTTTTCAACATTTATTAATATTTACTTACCCTTTGGTGGGATCGAGAGCAATACTTCTTGGTCTATTTAAATTTACATCAATCAAAATGCTACAATATTGCATTGTAGGCGTACACATATAAATCATGTCTCGGTCATCATCAACATAATACCAATTTCCTGACACCCAATCCAAAGCTACATGCGTAGTAGCTGAAAAAAAATTTTAACTATAAAAACACGTTTTACCACTTAAAAATTCGGAATAACAAACCTAGCAACGGATAAAATGTCGGTGACGGTAAATCCCAAAATACCGAAAGGTTGTCAACCTTAGCACAACTCAATTTGGCCCCGGTCTTGTTGTGTTGGTGAACAAAACATATGGTTTGATTTTTGTGGTCAAACGTCAATGACAAAGCTTGTACGTTACATTTTGGACCTGGATAAGATGTACCGTTGAGATACATCCGTCGAATATCTTTCGACGTGCTAACGAATATTGTGGCTGGCTCAGATTCAGGAACTGCCAAATGAATTATAATATTTTTATTATTAACATAAGTTGTTTTTATAATATAACTTATTTACCGTTTACTGCTTTACAGGTAGAATTAATTTGAATGTATCCTGGCACACAACTGCAACTATAAGATCCTTTGTTATTGGTACATTTTTGATCACAAGTGTAGTCCAATACTTCGCATTCATCCATATCTAAAAAAATTGATTAGATATGACAAATATGTAAGTATTTAATAATAATTTGATAAATATGAATGTAATAATGTATTACCTAAACATTCATTTTTGTGGGGTTGCATTCCTTCGGGACAAAAGCAAGCAGGTCCTTTACCAGTTGGTCTACATCCGTGTGTACAGTTTAATCCATGACAAGGAGCCATATTTTCTAGAAAAATCATTCGAGTATATTTAATTACATTTTTAAAATAGACTTTTTTACATCGACTTAGTTATTTGTATTTATTTACCACAGAATGTGCCTTCGTCGGTACTGTTTTCACAATGAGCAGTGCCGTCACAAAATATTTCAATATATTCACATTTTGTTGAATTACCGCATCGAGCCATATTTGGTGGACAACTACCTGGTTTTTGACCTAAAACAATACAATGATTTAATGACAATGAAAAATATATCTTTACATCGATCGATAAATACATTGCAATGGATCTTCATCTGATGCATCGGTTTCCGTAGTGGAATTTATGGCCATCCCGCAGTCAAGTTCGCCATCACATATCCATTCACGAGGTATACATTTCTCGGATAATGAACATTGAAACTGTGTATGCTTACAAACTGGAGTACCTAAAATATATTTATTTTTGTAAGCATTAAATTGAATAATAAGCAAGTTTAAAATATATCATATAGACTACTGAAACTCTGTCAAATAAACTAAAAAGATAATCTAAAATTAAAATGTTTCTATTGTTTATAAAAAATGTGAAAATATTATTTTACCACACGATTGAATTTCGTCTGAACCATCAGAACAATCAGGACTGAAATCGCATTTCCATTTTAATGGTATGCATTCTCCAGAACCACACTTAAACTGATTCGCTTGACATGAACTTATAGATTCTTCTAAATAAAAAAAAATAATGTATTTCATGCATAAATAAAGTAAAATATAAAACATTTAGACCTGTTCAAATTTTTTTAAAAAGTAATTAATTAATTTAAATAATTATTTCTTAGTTTTGTAAGATCTTTTATAAAAATATAATCTAATCTAACCTTAAACAGAAGGCTAAGTTTTATATCTTAATCGGAAACCTACATCTTTAATAATGTAAAATTCATTTACAAGTTCAAAATTCATCAGTTTTTTTTTTTGCTGGTTTATTTTTTTGTTTATTAATTATTATACATATTTTTGGCTTCCAATCATTTGATACTATTATTGTCCATTAATACCATCATTTAAAAATATTGCAAATACAAAATTCAATTGATGATGTATATCAAATTATATATTCAGTGTAAATAAAATATATAAATCTTAGTAATTGTAAAACTACTGATGATGTCAATTGGCTTTTACTAGATTAACATTGAAGCAGATTTATCAATTTAGATTCCCCCTTGGAGGGACTCTTGACATAGAAACATACTATTATCCCTATCATGTACATTAATTGACAATTTCCTGAAAGTGTTGTTAATTTAAACTTGCACTCTCTCATAGTTCATTGATCTCTACTGCATAACAAATATCCTTAGATAAGAAAAAAAGTACATAGTCAGTAAAACTATTTTTTTTTTCATGATTAAGCAAGTTATTTATTTTCTATTTAGTTTTAGCCATAAGTTATTACGCTTCAACAATTATAACAACAATAAATAGTTTAACTATATCATCAAGGTGATTTATTAAAAAATATTGTTATTATAGCAGCCAACAATAAATATGCATAAGTAATGAAATACATAATACAATAATTGTAAAAGAATAAGAAAAAATAAAATAAAATTGTTGTTTCACAAATATAACATATTATTTGTGTGCTATTTTATATTTGTAATGCATTAACATTTTTAAAGTTAATGTTAAGAGTTTATAATTAAATTGTTATAAATATTAATTAAAAAATGATGATAAAAAAAAGTTACATTAATATTAGCATTACACTAGTTTACAACTACCAAATCCAAAACCCATTTAGTACATTTATCATGTTTTATATTGCCTTTGAGAAAGATACATTGGAGAATAAAGTTTAATAGACAATTAAATGAAAATCAATTTTGCATAGATAGCAAAAAAATGGAATTTTGAAGATGTTCGATTCAAAAAAGATAATGTTTGACTTTAATTGGTAAACATTATATTATTCATTTTCTTTAAGGATTTAAATTCAAGGAAACATAATATTTATGAAGTACAGACAACATTTATAACCCGTTCACTTGATAACATAAAATATACTAGTTTAACTGGTTTAAGTTGTATTATTAATGATCATTTCAATACACTTATTAGGCTTATTATTTTAAAAGTTAAATGTGAAATCGATTCAATTTTTATAAGCTATGTTAGATAACAACAAATTTCAAATTGAATTACTTAGAAATTAGAAGTCTATGATTTATGATATCCGTAGGAATTTTATAAGAGAATGAATATTTTTACTTGATTATCTTACCTGTATTGAGATTACTTGATGTATAGGACAACGAAACATAGCAGAAGAAAATTAAAATTTCCAGCAAGCAAAACCGCAAAATCATTTTGAAATTGATTATAAAAAGTCGAACATTTTTATATTTAATTTGGCACTAAGTGTTTAAAATACACAATTAAAACTATATTTATAATATTAATACTACACACTAAATGACTGGCTTTTCGACAATAACTATTACTTAATTTCTAATATTTTCTATGTTTTATTAAACATGAGTAGAATTAGAGTAAAGTAAAAAAAAAGAACTTGGCCTTTTGTTTATTGCGCCATTTTGAATGTTTACTGGCGCATTAAATGATGTTAGACACGATTTATATAGTGTTTCTTCACTGATTAGACTTTTTTTAAAAAATATGGCACTAGCTTCATATTTCAACGCGCTTGAACAACATTTGATAACTCAGTACTCACTATAGTCAGTACTCGGTACGGTATTATTCAAAGAGGAAAACATTTCACAGAAATAAATATACTTTTTATTATTAATTACTTAAATCTTTTGGCAAAAAAAAACAGGTACCTCGGCTACGTGGGTTATCGATTTTCCCAAAATGGCTGTTAGTTTTCTTCTGTTATAAATACAAGGCTGCCCAAAATATGGGCAGTCGTTTTGCGGCTATCACAAATTGTTGGCGTACCTGTTTCTTTTATTATGTTTTATCTGTTATCACAGACAACATTTTTAGGGCTATGATAAAAAAATGTCTACCTCCATTGAAGATTAAATTTAATTAATGTTCTATTAAGTGTTTTAATAAATAGAGGTCCTATATTATTTACGAATATTACCTATTTGCTCTTTCAAGTATAATTTCAAAATATGTATTTCGGATAACGAAGAATACAATATCTAATGATAAAATGTAAGTATTTCAAAATTAATTTACTAATCAATCAGTTTTTTAAAGTTATGCTTGTGAATGTTCCTTCAATATTTTTTCCAGGGAAGAAGATAATTCGTGTGAAAAAAGATCTTCTTTGGGCATAAATGAAACGCATTTTTTGAATGAGACAATAGGTAATGAAGTGAAAGCATCTATGGTTGAATATCAAAACACTGTTTTATTAGGTAAAGCTAAAAGTTTGCACAGTACAACTCTACAATTATGCAACATAGAAGACGAACCGTGGGAAGTTGAAGATAATATAGAACGTTTTGATGACAATATCGACTACCAAAATGTACACGAAGTGTTTGAAAAAAATACTTCAATAGTTCATCTTAAAGATCGGACAAAATACAAAAAAAATTGTAGCGCTTTTTCCAAAATCAATAAGTTTTACAATTCTGGAACAAATTTAGAAACCACAAACAATAGTGTAATACATAACAATCCCCAGTGTGATAATATTACAGCTGATCAGCAATTAAAGAATAGCAGAGAAGTAGAAAATTGTAATGCCGAATCTGATTCCAGTTCTGATACGAATCCTAATGAATTGAAATTTTATGATTGGGAAAGCGATAGCGATGATCAACAACAAACTGACTCTGAACAAGAAACTGATAAGTTTTTTTTTTTGGATACGGCGTTTGATGCTGTTAGCAAACTCAAGGTAAACATGGAAAAAGAAAATGTAATTACTTCAGCTGTGGAATCCAAAACGTTTAATGTTGTTGAACAAAATTTAGAACACCAGCCTACCCGAGAAATAATAGATACTTTGAGTCCAAAATTTGAAACTAGCCACTACGATAAATCTCCAGAAGACGGCATTAATATTTTTACTGATAGGGAAATTAAAGAGAAACAGCACGACCATTTAAATGTCGATAACAATTTGGAAATGTTTGATGAACCAATGGAAACAGATTTACCCATCGAATTTCATAATAAACCAGAAGACGACCAGATAGAATCTAGTGAATGTGTTCAAGAATATAATTTTGAAGAAAAATCAACATTACAAATCGAGGAAGACGTGAGCATAGAAGACTACAACAAGTCGCAAATTGATTTTAACACACAACTGTTATCATGTAACGATGATGTAGAGATAATAGAAGAAGAGCCCGATATTGTTGATCCAGACATAAAATATAATATTCAACTTAATCAACATTTCAAAAAAATGGATCTGTTGGTTCAACGGATTGCGTATACTCCCGACGACTTAAGCGTATTAGATGAATGCATGCAATTACCTCCAATTCCCGAAATGGAACAAGAACCGAAAAAATTTACAACAAAAGAACGAATTGACTTTTATGAAGGTGAATCGCATTTAAAATATCAAATTGATAGAGATGATTGGAATAAAATACTGGTCAAACGAGCGGCAGTGTTTACTGCTCATGCAGGATTTGATTTAACGTCTGAAGAAAGTTTATATGTTATGGCGGACATCAGTATTGATTACATTAAAAAATTAGCAAAAACACTGAAAAAGCATTTTGATGCTCAGCATACTGACTCAAAATCTAGTCTTTTAAATCCAGTCGAAAGGAGTTTAATGGAGGTAAGTGGTAATTTTAAAGTTAAGTCAATATTTAGCACTTAAATTATAACATAGGTTTCCTCGTTTTTTTAATTTAACAAGGAACAATGTATATGTTATGGGCAATGTAGAAAAATAATATATTAATTACAATCTATCGTTTTAGGTTGGTATACAAGGTGGTCCAGCGAAATTAATTGAGTTCATTAGAAAAGATGTATTTGAAAGACGAAACCGTTTACGGTTAAAATGCGAACATTATCAATTGATTATTGACCAATTTGTGAAACGCATGTTGATGAATACCGGGGTCAATGTTTCGGATAGCAATCGGACAAAAAATCTTACTACAGGCGAAGGATCAACACAAAAAGAAAACAATACGTCGATAGAACAAGCGCCTGTCGACAGCATTAATGACATAGGTGAGGTGTTAAATAACGAAACTGATAATATAAAAGCTCATTCTGTTTCTAACAATGCTTCTGACCCCGAAATGGCAGACATGTTGAACGCCTTTTATAATACCAATACCCAAGAAATTATAACTGATGATATCAATGCTAAAAGAGTTAAAACCATAGACGACAGTACAGACACTGAAGTAAAAATGTCTACGTATTCGGATACAAACGAAATGTTACCATCAATAAATGCTAGCAACTTAACAGATACTAAAGAAAAAAGCTCAATTTCTAAAAATTTAAATGAGCAAAACATTTGTGCCAAACTTAATGATAATGTGGTCGATCCTGTTGAAAGAAAAAAATATTATTTACAAGAGGAGTTTGGTAATTTTGATTGGCCAGAGAATAATACAAGAAATAATTCTAATGCTACAACTGAAGATGTCATGGATCAGTCAAATCAACAATTAGATCAAAATCAAAGTAATTCGGCTGAGTCGAAAGATCTTATGGATGTAAATCAGTGTAATTTAGATCCTTTTGAAATATGTTTTCAACGACCAAACCTAGTGCCCGAAGAAGAGAATGAAATGCTATTATTGTTTAATACATCTAGTTTTTCTCACTACAAGTCTAATACTATTTCTGAACATTCAATGTGTAACGACAATAAGTCGCAAAATTGCAATTCTTCTGTTAATGACAATTATTCAGGTTCCACTTTTAGTATCAACGATGAAACTGGAAGAACGGCTGTTATTACACACACTAACACTATTTCTAACAAGATTAAACCAATATTCAGTGGTAACATGCCTCATGCGAACACTATTAATTCTAGTGGAAGTCTTCCTGAATTATATAACTCAAATAAAGAACACAGGGATATGACAATACCTCCTACCTCAGTTAATCAGAGAGATTCTTGTATAATATCGAACATAAAGAATTAGAAAATTTGCTCAAAAGAATGGCATGATTAGTTAACAAGATTTACGTGAATAAGATTAAGTACATTTTTATCAATATTATTTTACTAAATATTAATGCAAAATTTTAATTTTTCTTACAAAACTTTTTATAAAGATTTTTTTTTAAATCCTAAATTTGTTTACTAACTCCGTGGTTAAATTAATTTTTAAAATGTTTTATTATATACAAATTAGTCATTATATTGTTGAATTGCATTCTAGAAAGTCTCCACCTTTTTTTTTTATTAATACACAATAGTCAATAAAAATTGTTGTATTCGTTATAATGCTAATTTGTAAATTTCTATTTTTTTAAAACAATTTTTTTTTTTAGAACTGTTAACAATTTATAATAGATTAATAAATTCTCTAAATCTGAATTATATAGTCTTTACATCTTAATTTTAAACAATGACTGTTGCTGTTGTCTGGATTACAGGTATAATATTGTTAAAATTAAAAATTGTGTGTATCCAAACTCATGTTTTGTATTCGTTTTAGCTTGTTTGCGCCACACACCGTCCGTTAAGTTGAAAATGTACTCGAAGATCGTAGACTATCCAGAAAGATGATGATAAATTATCTAAAGGGGTACAAGTATTTATATTTAGTCAAATTTTAAATGTATAATGTAATTTTTATTAGGTAAATTGAATGAAAATTTACAAATTTAAAATATTTGTGTACGTACCTAAATACGTACCTGGTCCAAATGTTACCGAATATGTTGATTGTCTGTCTATAATAATTTGTTGTCGTTGTTATCTGTTTATTCTAATAACTAATAACAACATAATGGTCATATTTTCAGATTCCTGTTGACTGTTGATTTACTCTCACATAGCATTCTGGAAATTGACTACGGTCAAAGTATAATTTTCCACATTTTTTGGGTTTTCCTTAATAATAAAATATTTTACTACAGATTTTTTTGGAAGAAGGAGTTTTTGATTTTTTTTTTTTCGGACTGTATATCGATAATCGGATAGACTGTGTAGATCAAACTATATACTAGACTAGGTTACATATTTTGATTTCGTTTATTATATTATGTAGAAATTCTGTAGAGACATTTAAGTAAAAATCACACCGTATTACGATGTTGTAAACGCAGAAATAAATATATTTATGACTGTTATGAGAAACACTCCGAGGACCACGTGGTTGTTAAGCTGATCTCTAGTCATTTTAGTGTTTTCCACACCACTGCAATGTAACCGGCCTTTGAATATAAGCATCACGCCGACTATTACCTGTTTTAGACGAATGTCGGTTTTATATTTAGTTGTAATAAAATAATTTTAATAACCATAGGGTCATTTTATGCGAAATCTACACATAAATTATCACTACCTCCTAAAATTTTGAATATAAACTACTAACACTTATACTTTTATAATTATGGATTAACATAATTTCCATTCCAAATTAAAGCAATGTTTCCATGTGTTTATATTTTGGTAAAAAAAATTCATCTCAAACCGTTCCAGAGTAATAACTGAGAAAACATGAATAGTAATTTTACTGTAACATTCATCGATTATGAAAAACACCTATTAAATTAGGTGTAATATATAGAAAATTGAGATTTAAAATGCTGAAATTGTGCTGTTTTGTTATTCTTTATGATGGTTACAGAGTTAAAAACTAGACATTTTTATTTATAAGTTTCATTCACTTATTTAAAAAAAGTTGTATTAACTAATTTAATAACTTTTCACCCTTTTGTTAGGTTACGTTGAAGCAGGTTAAGTAGGTGGTTTTATTGAACCTATCAGTTAAAATAGAAAATATTAGATTCAAAATCTTATGTTTGTTGTTACATATTATATAAGGGAGGGCCTAAGTCTTTGCAATGTATGTAAATAAAGCAATAAATGTAGGCCAAATGGCAAACGGTATAACTATATCAGAACTAAAAATTGTTAGTCATCGAAAATTACAATTATTCTTATTATTTAAAGTCGCCCAATTTGCTATGTCGAGTCGCACTCTCTTTGGCTAAGCCTTGCGCTAAAAGTAGGGTTGCCAACTTTCAAATTGTGTAATGTAGGACAATATTTTTCATATCCAAGCCGGCAGCGGGGCCCCATGGTCCCCTGCCAAATGAGGGCCTCACCCAAATAGTAAATACTTATTTTTTGTTGATAAGAAAATGAAATTTATTAATATAAATTATCATAACAAAAAACAATATTAATTATGAAATGCATACTGCAACTAATGAGAACAAACAAAATAAAAAATAATATACTTGAGTCTTGGTCCAAGACTCAAGAGTTATGTCTAAGACCGTGGTATATACAAGCATAGATGATAAAATATTTTTGAATTGTCAATGACCTTTGTATACATAATACAAGACGTGATTAACCTAAATCATAGATACAATTAAAAATAATTTATAATAATAATGAAATATAAAAAATGTTTTGTAATTTTTCATAGACTAAACTATATTATTGGGTACATTTATTGAAATGTAGGATAGTCCTACAAAAAAATTAAAACGTTGTTGGACGTAGGACAAATCATACAAATGTAAGACTGTCCTGGCCAATGTAGGACGGTTGGCAACCCTAGCTAAAAGTTGATTTAGTGTTAATTATATTATTTTTTGTGTGTACCTTTGTGTTAACCTTTCTTTGTTTATTAAACAAAGTGTATCCCTTATCATCTCTTTGAGGTAAAATAAACTAAGAGTCTTTATATTGTTAATGTAGGTAGGTACTGTACTTATTGGAGACATCTTATAGTGTAGTATATAGGTGTGGCACACAGGTTATGTTATTGGTATTATAATATTGTCAGTTTAGGATCAGAGGAATAAATTAACCAAATAAACAATTTTTAAATTTAACAAAAATTAATTCATTTTCTGTATTCACAAAATATAAGACGACCGCCTAGAGCTTTAACACTTAATTCTATTCGCAAAAATAATCGAGCGCTGTTTGAGATGGCAAGTACTCGTACCTACTCTGATTCTAAACCGACGACATATACTAAGCAAAGCCTCACTTTGAGAGAAGTGGTTTATAATTTTGTACCTAGTGTGCCATCCATATTGTTATAAGTTTGGCAAATAATCAATATTTTAAGAAATAAAAAAGTCCATAACTCATATTACAGGTGTTATAAAAAGAAATATTTTATATGTTTGAAAAAATTGTAAAAAGTCACTTATTATAATGACATTTGGTAATTGGTCACCTAAGACCTTTAAGCACTTCCAGTCCTGTGTATTAGGTATGCCTATTGAAAATATCGAAAATTGCAAATTCGAGTTAAAACGATTATGATGATTTCACGCATGCAATGACCCTTTTATTTATGTTTAAAAACATTTTTTGTATTATTCATATTTACTTGTAATACGAGACTGCAAGCTATTAACGTCAGTAAAATCACAATATTGGTAGATTTGTCTTTGCGAAGCTCCAAAACGTATCGTAGTTGATTGGCGTTGGCCGTTAGGAGTGCAATATCCATCATACCTTGTGCCATTGTTTTTTTCGTATCGTAGTTTGCATTGCTCATTTTACTTATGGATCTCGACAGCAAAGACGTTTGCTTCTTCTCCTCCGTACTCTCCACGTGCAAAGTCCCATCGACGGTAATGTCGTTGTTTTCCGACATTTTTTAAATGTATTATACAAAAAAGAATACCTTGAATTAACTTGTTCAAGAATATAAATAAATTGCCGATTCGATAAATAGTGTGTACAGTGTGTTGGCGTTGCTGTTTATAAAGCATTTATTTAGTGTTTTACGTCTTTTACAAATCATAACAGGACGTGGGACACCGCAAAAGATATGTGAAAATCGATGCGGTTGAAACCTATCTTAGGAAAATGGCACGAGGTCGGTCGGTTATCTGTTTAGTGACAATAAATGGAACAAACGCAAATTGTATGCAGTGTCGTGGTTAGGGCCCACAGTGGGGTGTATTGCATTTTCCCAAATGATCCGAAATAATATTAATAATAATAAAAATAAAAAATAAAACAATACAGAAAGTTCGGGATATAGTGGGGACGGAGCATATTGAAACGGATGAGGTCAAAGGTCTACAGGAATTGTTATAACTGAATGTGAAAAAATCACTTTAAAATAAAAGCTTCGTGTGAATCTGTTAATGATAAAATCCCAACACAGTTCAAAGCAAGCACAGTAAGAAAATATTCAATGGTAAATTTGAGATTTGGAGTTAGGGGTGATCCCAGTTAATAAGTACTTCTATAATGTATGTAAACCAAAATCAAAGGTAATTTAAAATAAATAAAGATAAGTTTAAATTTGGCTTAGTTATGAATTTTAAATTATAACTATTTAAAAAAAAAACTCCTTAAGGTAAGATAATATATTGATGTAAAATGTTTGGCTGAAAATAATACCTATCAAGTACGATTTCTGATTTATAGACTAACTACATGAATAAATCGATTCAGCTGTTTAGGAGATATCGTGCCTTGAGGGTCTAGACTCTAGACCAATAAAAAACTATATCTTTTCAACTCCGTAATGAAGCTACAATGAATACAAAACAAATTGTTCATAAATAAAATATATATGTATTCTTTATTTGTTATCAGTTGTACATTAATTAATAAAATAAATCTTATCTTTCATCGTAAACACAATTATGTAATATTAAATATTTAATTTTAATAAGACAAATAGGAAGTTAGGTACCAACCGCCGACCGAACGTTAATATTTGCTGTTCATTGTTTTTTCAAATTTGTATCCGGTGATGAACTAACGTCGAACCCAAATCCTGATATGGTTATGTTTATAACGGTAATCAGGAAAACCATAATGACAGAAACGTCGTTTAAGATCAGACATTTCCATTGATCCTTCGTTTTTTTAATGTCCAGCCCTCCGACAATTAAGAATATCCCACCGACAAGCACCTATATAAATACAATAAAATATAGAACAGAATTGTTTAACCGACTAATTAATTCGAATGAAACATGTTAAGGCGAATAAAAGTGGTAGTTGAAATATAAGCAATTTAAAATACGCTTAAAAGGTCCAAAATTAACTCCTGAAAAACTGTAAAACAATATTAAATGTAATTTAGCTCTTAAGAGAATTGAAAATTGCTTATTTTTTTTTTTGACGCTTTAAACCAAAAAGGCTGACGAAATTTCGACTACTTAATCGGTGCGGTTTGATTTCAATTCTGTTAAGACATCTGGTATACGAGGTTCTTGGCTACTTTACTAAGTTATGTTGGAAACTGATTATTCGATTTAAACAAATTGTCAAATTTTTATTATTTTTTTAAAATAAAAAATGGTTTCTAACATAACCCCAGTGAAGAGGCCAACAAATGCTTTTATTTTTACTCAACTAAAATTCGATCAGCGAAAGTTTTGAAATTTAAAAACTTTTTCTTGTAGGTATATTGCCTATATAAAACTCCTTAAAACCCGACCGCATTGAATCTTTTTAACTATCCACTATAACCAACGCTTTGTACATACTACAATAGCGTAAAAGTAATACTTTTATTTCATTGGGTTTGCAAAATCCAAATTAATCAAAGAATTAATTTTCAACAAAGTCATTCACACTTTTGAAACAAATAATTTTAACTTCAAATCCGTCAAAATCATGAACCGGCTGCCGGTGGTAGGTACCTATCATCCTGTTGTTTCAGAGTAATATTTTAATATAGTATCAAGACTATTATACCTATTAATAATATCAACTTAGTATAATAGCGTTTAGCTCTTACATATTTATTTTCCCACTTGGCCCATAAATCATCACAAGATATAAACAATATAATTTTAGGTGCTATTAATTAAAAAAAAATAGGTAACATATTGTATTTTTAATTTCATGATCCGTATAAATAACAAACAGATTATTATTTTGAACCCAGTGGAATAGCCGGAGCGTTAAACGTGCCCGGTGGGGTTATGCTAGCTAATCCTGAATCGAAAGCTCCTATGACAATGTTTATGACGAACACCATAAAGGTACAAACGACCGGCACTTGGTTAATGAAAATCGACGATGTCTTGTATTCGATCAAATGAAACCGGCAGTCTCGCATTAAGTTTAACGACAAAAATATTACTCCCATGAAAACCTTTGCACATATGTAAAAAAAAAAATATGTATATATGTCATATCAGAACTAATCTTGTATTTCATTTATTTTCACTCACTTGCAACAGTATGGAAGTCGCGATTAAGACCAGAAGCGGTTTGTAAAATTCGTGTTTTTCTCCAACTTGCAGTATATATTTCAATTGATTAGCGTTGGCGGTCAATAATGCAATGTCCAACATTCCCTGAGCTATTGTCTTTTTGGTCGCATATCGATTGACGTCCAACGGCTTGGTCTGATAAAAATAAGTGTAATAAATTATTATTATTAAAAATAAAAGCCAGTAAATGAGAATAATAAAGAAAAAGTTCGAACCCATTTTGGGGAAAGGGGGTTTTGATACATGCATAGTTTGTCAACGTATAATAACACTCAATCTAAAGAATATTTTATTATTCCATAAAATCTAAAAGGAGAGCGGTAATTTTTATTCATTTTTCGCCTAATAAAGTACCATTCAGCTACGATTTCTAATCTACAGACATACTACATAAAGAAATAAAATAAAATCACATCATCAAAACAAAAGCTTATCAACTACACATGATTCTTATGCCTGGCCACCTTGTGGTCACTGAACACTACTGCTGCCTAATTTCAGCTAATCCAAGCCCACTATTCTACTCACCACATCTTCATCAAGCTATCCTCATATATAACTTATCCCAAACATGTATACTTTGCTCAATATATGGAAACGAATTAGGCTATAGGTATATTTGCATTTTAAATTTCGGTTGCATGGAAACTAAACATCATAACAATGGTTTTTTTTGCATTTATTGGCATATAAAACCATATAATAATAACTACCTACCCTATAGTTAATAGATAAATAGAAAAGATATTATCATAGAGCATAGCATTATTAGATTATCTTATTTTTAGTAATAATAGCGTTGTTTCTATAGGTATACTCACTATTTAAAGTTTACAATTAAATATATATTTTATGGTGATTTCCTGTAAGGGACAGAGAGTAGAAACTTTAGTAGCAAAACGATTGTGTTTATAATAATTACGGTTGTGCAGTTAAATCGAATAATGCGAATACATATGTATTTTAATAAATACTAAAAATCGAAATATTTAAATATCACATAATGAAAAAGTATTGGATTTACAATGATGTGTGTTTGATTCTTCAGTGACTGTAATAATACTAAATACTTCACACTTAATTTTAACTTCTTTCGTCTAATCCTAATTTATTGGATCACAATTATTACTACTTAAACACAATTCTTAAACACTATCGACATTTTAATTTATTAGTATTTGCTTCGTTTGATTTTCAATCCGCAAAACGCGTATTAACAAATCCTGATTAAGTTAGTTAATGCGACCGTAATAATGTTTCCATTATATTATTCTTTTCAAGACAAAAAACCACTATCCAAAAGGAGTAAATAAATATGTGTTTTAAGACAATAATAGGCGTAATTAATGAAAAACCAGACATTTAAAAATTGACCAAATAGTAAAAGTTTATTATGATTTAGTAAAATATACCATTTTGGTTTTGAAAAATTGTATACACAATTTGATAATTGATTATAATGGATTTGAAAAAAACTGGATACTTTTATGATACCTTTAGATCCTTTCTAAAAGAACACTAATTAATCTGTAAATCATTTTTTACAATAAGTATTAGAGCTAACAAGAGAAAAGAACATGATAAGCTTGTGTGGAGCAACCAACCATGACTCGAGGAAATTATCTAATTGAACTTCGAGTTGGTTAGGTACCAGATTAAACGATGGTTTTAATTAAATACAAATAAAAAAATCACAAGAAATCTGGCTATCGGCGTAAATTAAATATACAGGATGATCCACTTAACGAAAGACACTTATTTACTCAGAAAATAATTAAGTTGTGTAGTTATTCTTTTTGAAAACATTTTATATTTATTTTTTTAAATATTTTTAAATTTACTAAGTTAAGAATATTTTCATTTTTTTTTTAGTGTTATCCAAAGCGCTATCAACTTTTGCAAGTCAAATGAGAACGTATATATAATTAATTAGTTTCTTAAAATGAAAATAAATTGCTGAAAATGTTGACCGGTCGATAACCAGTTTTGAATGAATGCTTTTAAAGTTGAAAATTTAGGACAGGAAGAAAGGCGGAGTGAAGTATTATTTGCATCTGTGCCTTACGTCGAATGGATCACGACACACTTGTCTACTTTATGTTTTTGAAAATCCGTATCAATATGTAAGTCCTTACCGTCGCCAAGTTGAGATCTCCCGTGGACATGTTGGACGATGATGTATAAGGATTAAGAATTGTCTTATAGAACTCTGCAATTGTCACTCAAACGCAATGGAAAAACAAAACAAATTGTTGAAACGCGACTGTGTACGATAGCAACGAACCAGTATGGAATGAGATATTATTTTAGACAGAGAACGCAACAGATACGGCAACAGCACTGCTGCAACGGGTTACGTCACGTTGTATTTTCCAACGTTCCCTTTTTCACTCTTCACGCCCGTCTGGCTACATTGCGGCCTTCCGCATTGTACCGGGGCCGTGTCCAATCGTTTTTATCCGAAGGCATCACGGGCCGTTGAAATTCCCAATGTCCCATGCGCAATTGAAGGACGGGACAGTGTAGTACAAGCAAATATACCTGGGGCGAGTAGAAAATAATATATAGGTCATTTATTGATTAATGAATTGGCGCCCAAAGGGCAAAGAGTAGATACAGCCGCCACAAATTATACAAGTTGCATTAACAATGTAACAGATGCAACTAGCAAATCCAAAATCAGAAGCATTATACACATAATAAAGTAATAGGAATATTAGCAATAGGAAGTTAAATTATAAGCTCACACAGTAAAGGACATTATTAGGATGTCAGCCATTCAAATCTTTGCTCACCGGGGTAACTTAAACCATGAATAAATGTTCATTCTATACCCACGCCAAGTACACTCTTATTTTCATTACCATTTTATTTTTATTTTATTGATTTTTGTTTTTATTAAAAAAGTCGACCAATTAGTAAAATGTATTTTAAGTGTTTTCCTCGATTATAACGGCGAGGGAGTGAAAATGTTCAATTTTTACCACACAAAGTACCGATTAGATTATCTTCGTGATCTATAGAGGTGTATGAATAAATTGGTCCAGGAAAAAGAAGTTACAGTGTATACACGTGTAGTTAAAAAATTAATGCCTTCTCAGCTCTGCATCAAAACTAAAATTATTTTTTAATTAACTTAAATTTTCTGGACGTCGAGAAAACTTCTCCATCCAAACGATAGTAAGCAAACGATACAAGTGTTAGACATATTACTTCCTACTTCTACGTCAAACCCAGTTCATTACAACTGATGAAATAAAATTATTATAAGATTTCAATGTATTGTGTTTTCGTTTTATTCGTACATAATAAAGAATGTATAGATCTTTAGTTTTTTCGATCCTATAAACAAGCATAACATTTACATACCTTGATATTTTCATTTTAAGTTTCATTTTATATTAGAGACCATAACATAAAAATTCAAAATGATTACTGTTTTCTAACTGAAAAACGAGAGAAAAAAAACACATAAAACAGAATAACAACATTTAATTTTTGTACTTAATTTATTAATTTACAGAAAATACTTAAAAACTGTTTATATCCGATCTAAAGTATTTTGTTGTGTTTTACGGTCACTGATGATCGGCAACGACTCTAATCTTGATGGTTTCTTAACTGTACTCTCTGATGATATCCTATTATGTCCTAAACAAATAAAAAGGGCAAACTCAACTGTTGTACACAATCGATTGAAATTAAACTATATTACCTTTCCATTTATGAAACGGCCTTCCGGATTCTTCGTGGGCTTGTATCAGTAGTTCGGTGGCTCGTTTCGGTTTGAAATAGTTGCCGGCAAAATCGTCTTCTGCGGACCGTTGGAATTTCTAAAAAAACCGGAAAACCATGAAACCACACGTGTTTCGAATGACAATAATTAAAATACAGTGCGTTTTCATTAAACGTTTATTTTGGAATAGTGCCCAGCAAAACAAAGATGGAAAAGTGATGTGTGCGTCGCTTGTTTCACCTGGTCGTGTAGTAACGGCATGTCCGGCGATGACGACCGTCTACTGCTGTCCGAACTGGAGGATTTGTCAAATGACAGTCCAGCCAATGTGTTGAACACACCCAGGGACATTTTTCTCCGACCGTTATCAAAAGTATTGAAAGCAGCAGAACCGTTAACGGGCTGCATCAGCGTGCCTAAAATATAGTATTAGAGTGCACTAAAGCGTCACCATAAAGCCAAGATAACCAAGCGACAGAGAGTACCTAACCTAGTTACACTGTATAACACAATTTTACCATTTTTTTTTTTTTTAATTAAAAAACCAAAATGCATCTATTTTCACAATATATAGAGGAGAACTTCATCCATAGGGTAGCATTTTTAGTTTTAAGATATCTATACTTGATATTTTTTTATAAGCAAATGAAAAAAAGGGGGGGGGAAATACGAATCTTCACGAATGAACAATTTTGATTGTGCTTATGTTGTCAAAAAACTCAAAACTCTACACCGTAGATAACGTTCTTCTCTGTCCAAAGTAAACATTTTATACGGTTACTGTAAATGTATCCCTTACCTAGTTATAATTATTATTATTTCCTCGAGTTGTTTATTAGATTTATTTATTTATTTTCATCCAATCAAAGTTATATTGTATTTTTGTTTTACGCGATGGGTATAAAATATGTTAAACTATAACTAATTTTTTTTTTATTAGCGATTATTGTAGGTAACTAAATGTTTACAGTTTAATAATATTATATATAATGGATAGTAGGTATTGTATTATAATAATGATTAAAACGTTTAACCGTGAAGGTTATGTGGACCCCAAATGCCAAAAAAATAACCATGATTTATTATTTTTCCGTAAAGTGGAGAAAATATATTTCTTTTGTGTATAAAAAAAATTGTTTAATTCTACACTAATTCCTAAAACAGCGAATTTAGCAAAAAAGTAACGGAATAAAAAAAAATTATCTTAAGAGGATTGCGTGTGGTCTGTTCTTTTGACGTTTTAAATAAAAAAGCCAGACAAAATTTCGACTTAAGTTAGTCCAATTTCAATTCTGTAAAGAGATTCTAGTTCTGGAGCTACTTTACTGTGTTATGTAGAAAGCTGATTTGTATTTAAAAATTTCAGTTTCTTGTAATTAAATTAATTAAGTTTACATAAAAAAAGAAAACTCTGTTTCCTACATACCTAGTAAAATTGCCAAAGAATTCGTATATCTTTACAGAATTGAAATTGGACCATCTAAATTAATGTCTAAAATTAGCCAAAATGACTTTTACTCATAGAAAAAATTATTTAAATTAAAAATTGTACCTTGAGCTTATACAAATTAACCGGAAAATTAATTAACATGGTCTAAATTTATTAAAACCTCTTTTTTCCTTAAATATTGCCTATACATAACTCCTTAAAAACGGACCACATGCAATCCCCTTAAATAAATATTAGAAAATGATTCAAGCGTACGGAATTGGCTAAAAATACTAAAAATATGTTTATTTATACAACATTGGAGGCGGTCTAAGAAATATCTGGACAATTCTAAAACAATTTTGAGCGGCTAAACCAATTTATACATTTTGGTTCTTATTCCAAAATCATTGTATACAGCGTAATCATCTACAATCTTTCGAGCACGGTATATAATAATAATAATAATAATAAACGATTAGATGCCAAAGCAACAGCGAAAAAAGAATAAATCAAAAGAAAACCCCAAAGCTAATCGACCAGAAAAATCTCACGGTTACCACCAAGTTAACCTGTAAAGGCAGGAACGTGTGCACGGCCAACGAACTAATTGAGTTTTCTAATCTAGCCGGAGCTGTCAGCGAGTTGGCAGATTGTCGGTTTACCGCTGTCGCACCTACTCACATATTATGAAAATCCATTGTAAATAATGGTACCGTTGACGTATGATACTTACCAGAAGCCGGTGGAAGTTTTATCCTAGTCAGCTCAGGCAGAGACCAGCTCTGCGTGTCTTCGTCCCACTCGGCGTCTTCTTTCAGCCTTTCTATATTGCTAGAAAAAAATTAATAGGATTGTAATTATCATTTTTTTTTTTTTGTAACATGAATATGTTTTATGACTAGGCTCAGCTTCAGTAATAATGTAAAAATCTGTCCAATTAAAACATTTGTTTTATGCTTTTATCGATTTATTTACTTGTTTCGGTCACTTTTTTATTACATTTATTTACTTATTACAAATAGAGTAAGCACTTGTTTTGCCGACTGGTTTACATCATTTGTTTACTCGATTCATTCACTAGTTTACTCCATGTGAGAGATCATGTTGGGATGAAGGCGAAGGAAAAGAAGAAGATTAATTTTGTAGTTCACTCGGTTTATTGATTTGTTTACCTGATCCTCAACAAGGAGAAACATTTGAATCGTGGGAAAATATGTCCAGTTAAGATTCCGAATTAGTGGGTGCCACAAAACATACTTACATGGTTCATATTATGTTTATCTTCGAAGAGGAGGAAATATATTTTGTTTTGCTTACGATGATAACAAAAAGTACCTGTAATTACATTCTTTTGATAGGGTTGGCACAATTTTGTCTAGAATTTGACTTTGCAATTTGATCAGCCGCTCTTGTTTTCTAACAGTTTCCAGGTAGTCCGTTCTCTCATTTTCGAACTCGCTCTGGATGTCTGCGATCTCTCGGTCGGACGCTTTTAGCTAAGAACATAATGTAAACACAACCGTGAGCTTTGTCCGGTGGTCAACTGGTTTGCCGTCATACTTTCTGTTTGTACTTCTTCAGCGCTTCGTTTTTGACCCTTAGTTCCTCTTGGATATCGTCGTACACGTGTAACACCAAGTTGGGACCTTCTTCGGTCTCGACATTTGCAAATGCTCTGGCCAACGCGTTCAGCCGTCTCTCGGCGGCTTTTTTCTTGCGCAGCCGATGTTCTCGGAGTTCTTTGTCGTTTACTCTTTCTCCTCCGACCATGCTTTCTTGGAGCTTTTTTAACCTTAAAAAAACACAATATTAAAACTTGTACGAGTAATTTAAAAAAAAAAAAATCATGTAAACCTTTTAATTATTTCCTGCTGCGTTGCATTCAACTCGACTTTGTTGTTATTAAGAGCTTTTTCGACAATTTGCTGCGGTGACGGCGTCCTGTTATCGCTCTAGGACATACAATTTTGATTTTAGTCTTACGATTTAAACCGCTTAGTGCGGTTGTCTTTTACATACCCGGAAATCGATTTTTGCCAAGTTTTTATCGTATTTTTCTTTCAGCGCTTTTAAATCCGCTTGCATCTGACATTTAGAGTTATATTCTTCTTGGTATTTATCTCTTAATTTTACCATTTCTTTTTGGTACTCCAATCGTAATTTTTCTTTTTCCGAAATATCGTTTACGTTATTGCTGCTAGGCAATTGAGCGTTGGATGCGTCCAACAATTCTTTAAGTTTTTTTATCTGCTCCTGGTATTGGCGCAACATCGTGTCCTTGGGGTCTTCGTTCACGTGTGGTTCGTTGTAAATGTTCTTAGCGCGGTTAGCGTACCTCAGCGTTGACAGGGTTTCGTCATAATTGTTATCGGCGGGTGATAGACAAGCGATCATCAAGGTCTTTGTGTTGCCGCCAAGTGAGTCCTATTATAATTATACAAACTGTAGTTTTAATTTTACCAACGGTTTATATTATAGAATCTCTAGACTTACTTGAAGTAACCGGGTTAGCTTGGAGTCTCTGTAGGGTATGTGTTTGGCTTTTCCGTCGACTAGGGCCGAAATAACGTTGCCCAGAGCCGACAGGGAAAGGTTGATTTTGGTGGCTTCTTTGAGTCGATTGCCCGAAGCACCGGTCTTTGCTTGTCGCTCGCTGCCTGCCAGATCGACTAAACTCAGTTTACCACGTTTAATCGATTTGACTTCTTCGGCGTCGTGTGACATTGACATCATTTCTACAGATAAAGTAAAAATCGAATGGCTCCTAGAAGAATCAGCATTCATCATGGTGGCTCCGGTAGCCCGGTTCCTCCATCCTTGTTCCATCAGTTTTTGACACTCAACTACGTTGTGCACAGCGTGATGAGACAGTTCTGTGTTAAACAAATATACACGTATATTATGTACTGTAAAAATACCCCAATATACTGTATGAATAGCTAAAGTAATGTTAAATAATAACAATTACATTATACTTTACTGACCTTGTACATAGACTCCTCTTTCGGAATTTTCTTTTAGCTCCAAACGCTTTTTGGTGTCTGCGCTCAAAAGGTCTCTGACTTCTTCATTGTATATCTCCATGTAAGAAGCAAGTACCAAAAATTTTACATCGTCCGTCACCGATATAGCCTCGAAGACGTGTTCGAAAGCTCTCGGAATAATTCCCCGTTGACTTGGTGGTGTGTCCACTCCCTGCATTGAAAAACTTTTTCCGCATCCTGTTTGTCCATAAGCGAACACCGTACAGTTGTAACCTTCAAGAATGCCCTGTAAAAATAGAATACCTCTCCAGCAAAACTTCCTCTAAATGAAATGCATATTATTATACAAAGGCTTTAGAAATGAATATTTCTATGCAAAAATTGTTTTAGCTAATAATGTCGCACATAGAATTTAAAATGTTCAAGTTAGATTATTTTTTTAAATGATATTATTAGAAAGGCCAAAAATGAAAAATCCCTTAAGGGGGATTATCTAACGAAAGAACTTGATTTTTTTAATTTCGGATGATCCAACATCGAGTTATGAGGGACACCGCAATTCTACTTTTTTCCGAGACGCTTCCGAATAATTGCTGCCATTGCCGTATTTTGTAATATTTCTACATGAAAATATTACACAATATCCTCGAATGTTATACTTTAATTTACCATTAGCTTTATAAATAGATTTTAACTGTGTCGTCAAAAAAATTCACAAAAATTTGCCGTTTTTTGTACGAATTAACTTTACCCCCCCCCCCCCCCTTAAAAATGTATATATTTTCAGCTAAATCTCTATAACTTTTCGAATAATATTCGAATTAGTTCCAAGTTTGTATAGGTATGTTACACAGAGAAAAACTAAGGAAATTATAATCAACCCTTTCTCCTGGAAAGAAGAAGTTCCTTCTTTAACACTTTAAGTGCCAATGGGGTATTTTTGAGGCGAAGTTTTTGGACTTAAGGTAGATCAAGTGTGGTTCAAAACATAAACAATTTATTTGAAAATTATAATAAGGTAACCCATTTAAATCGCCTTTACCTCTACCAATGGATATGCAATGTCGTTGTATATTTGCTCCGTACTGGAATCGCAGCCGTAAACGCCGTCGAAAGTAAACGTTTTTGGAGGCGCCGAGCTGTCTGTTGGATTTACAATCGAGCAAGAACATTTCTCGGAGTCTATAAATACTACGTTCTAGAAACACCATTAAAATTGTATTAGATTACTTTGCTAGTAGTTACAATAAAGCATGAACTACTATAGTAAAAGTGGTATTCTTTAGAGTAAAAATACATATTTATTTTTGAAAACTTATAGAATATTTAAGCCCTATCCTTTAGTTCTATATCATTACAAGCCGCGTTGGTCATTTTATTTATAATTAACCCGGTGTCTGACGACCTTGTGTCTTTTTTTTTTTTACTTATAAACACCGACACAATACAAAGCAACATGCTTCGACCATTGAGAAAGCAGTGAAAAATCATATGCAAAACAAGCGTACACCAGTGTTAGATGTGCGTATCGCGTGTTCGACATATTTATATCGTTATTGCTATATAGGTGTGTTTTCTCACTAGGTTTATAGGTCAGTTTTTGTGCGTGACACCACATTAATGTGTGGGCATTTACAATGGGCAATACTATTATTCTAACATCCTAATAATAATAATACATAAGATTATCATTTCACAGGTCTCACCTTGCAACTGAGAGCTCGCTCTCTTGTGTTCATTGGCCGACATCTTGCTATGACTTTTACGTTTTCTGACGTCATACTACATTCATGTCCTATGTCATAGATGTAAAAAAAAAAAAAATACAGGTTAGATACGCAAAAAGTAAAATTAAATTCAAAGGCGCAATTTGGATTTTATACTTGAGAGGACTAGTATTCACTGGAAACTTACCATAATAATTTTCACCACAAATCAATTAAAATACACGTGATTTTTCAAAATATCAATAAATTTTAAGTTGTTTAGTATTTATTATAACATAATAATAAAATACATAACATTTTAAATCTTGAACTCCCGACGGCGATTACATATATAGCAAATTTGTTTAAAATGTCTTAATTTTTACACAAAAAATGTCTGTTTCTATATAAGGAATATTAAAAAACATATTTGTTTAATGTTTTAATGTTTAAAATATAAATTAAGTTTAAAAAAAGACAATATTAATTTACTTTATAATGATTTACTCTATAATGTTTGATATGGTAATTACTCTGATCATAATCTAGTTTATGAAAAGTATTATCAATAGCTAAGGGTGAAAAACAAAAGAACTTTTTATATTTTTAACTTTTGGAGACACATATTTATGCTTTAAATTATAACGTTAAAGTAGACATAAAATATAACTGAATTTAATTTGTATGATTATTTAATAGTTTTTGAGTTAAATTGACCTAATTGACCATTCTTGTTCTCCGTGTGCAAAATAAGTTACCTACCTCCTTTAACAACACCAACTTTTTTCTTATTATATTTTATAGCATATTTGTAAAAAACAACAAAATCCACAAAACTCCCAAAAAAAAACCAACAAAATTTACCGATAATTCTATCTATTGTGTGTTGTGTACACTGATTACTAACTATAATTATTGTAAATTAGGTATAATATTACCTGTTGCCACGCATGCATAGTTAATTATTAATAAAACACATATTCGTGACGATGAGCATTTCGATTGTCATTGTAAAAAAATATCCCTTTTTATTTGGTTAACCTAGCACGAGACAGTTGAAGCAATTCAACAATTTTTCAGTTGATAAAATATACTAAGAAATGTTTATCATAATTTGAACCAGCTACACTAACAGTAACTACCTTGATCAAACAAGGACAATGATCTAAATAGATCCCACGGCCCATCCTGTTAGGAAAATATTATATTTTATACAAGCATACGTTATAAATTTCGTTATGTACTGATAACAACAAAATTATAAAAAAAAGAACGTCTCCCAAATGGACGGAGTACTAGGGCATAGTTACATATAGCGTGTATACCTATGTCCTAGATAATATACATACACATACCACTTATATATTTTCATAGTTACCTATAAAACTACAACAGTAATGATATGTTATGACTGTGGGTGGCATATATTATATCACGGGCATTATGATGACTCTCGTTTGACTTGGGAAATCAAATGGGAAAATTATTATTTATGAAAAATACCATTAGAACCATCGATTACAAATTTAAAGCGATTCTAGAGAAAAAATATGCGTTGTTAGGTTACATAAACCTAATCTAACTACATGAAATAATTTCTGTAATAAAAGTGCATTTTTTTCTATATGATTTAGTAGGGAAAACCCTGTTAACGTCTTCCAGATCAACCAACCAAATTACAATGTTTACTGTAAATTAAGATGAGTGTCTTTTTTTATTGTTTGACCTCCGGTCCAACATTTTAAACTCTAATAGGTCTAAAAGTAATTTTTAAAACCGGTTATCGACCAGTCAACCTTACCTAACCTAAACATTAAAGTTTTAAAATTGGAAGGAACTCTGGAAAAAAAAAAAGAAATGTGAATATTGTCTAATATTTTAAAATAACACAAACTTAAGTGTCTCCAAAAAAGAAAAACTACAAAATTGCAATTATTTCTCTATAGATGATCAATCACCCGCTGTAGATGACAGGCATAAGTGCAACCTATATTTTTAAAATCTTAGGCCGACGTATTTGGGCGACATTTACAAATTACTCTATTTTAAGTGTAACATTTTCGACAGCGTTCTGGTTATATAGGTTTTGCACATTCGATTGGTGGAAATCAATAAATTACGTTGGTAGTATTATTATTATTATTAGGCAGGAGACACCCTCATTTGCCTGTTGTACGCCTGTCAAACAACGCCACACACACACATTTATTTACTATAGATAACACCATTTACACAACAGCCCTTTCCCGTCAGCAATAATGATCTATAACAAACCCTTGGGTATCAAGAGTTGAGACTTTTTAAATGTGTAACACTTTACTATATGATACTATGATAAAAGTACAAATATACAACGAGAAGTCGACATTTTTATGAAAAACTACACACACTCCCTAAAAATATTATAGTGGAAGTACTTATGTTTTTTTATTTAAATGTTAGTGATGAACCCAATCTTTGTTTTGTGTGTTCAGTTTTAAGTATAATACATGAATTAATATTTAAAAATTGAGACAAAAATTGGAGAGTAATTAGTTAAAGTAGCAAGTTGTAAAATTAGCAAAGAAGTTTAAGTATTTGGGATTAGTTATGCAAGAGGATATAGACGAGTTGAAAAAGATTTGACGATTGGAATACTGTGTGGTTAGTTGAACGGGAAATAAAGATATTGTGTTATGTCATATTATGTGACAGAAAGGAGTCATATTATAGAAAAATCAAAAAAAGTATTATGCGGCGAAGTAGTTGAAATTCTCCAAAAGAGGTAGAACATTTTTGTTTCAATTTTTAGGGTTAATTATAAAAATTATATGCTGACAGTAGATCTGTAACATATGAAATGTACAGGTTCGCGTTAAGGGGATTGCATGCGGTTGGTTTTTAAGGAGTTTTGTATAGGCATTATTTAAGAAAAAAGTGGTTTTAATAAGTTTCGATCATGACAATTAATTTACCGGTTAATTTGTATAAGCTTCGTAACTCTAATGACTTTAAAAGTATCCAATCAAAACAAGTTATTAACCAGTCAACATTTTCAGCAAATTTGTCTAAATAAAAAACAAATGAATTACATATACCAGATGATATTTTTAACTTAACCTAACCTAACCGCCCTAATCCAATTTTCTCTTATCATAATTAATAAAAAAAATAATATATATATATATATTTTGAAAACATTTTTGCTTATGCTATATTATAATATTAGACAATTTTCAAATTTTCTAGAGCTTTGAATGATTTGCTGAAAAGTTGACTGGTCGATAACCAGTTTCGAATAAATCTATTTAAAGTTTAAAATTTAGGGCGGGAGGAAGGTTGAAGTGTACAGTTATTTTTATCTGGGCGCACTACTCAACTACACTACACTTTCAGTCCAAATTTTAAACTTTAAAAATAATTATTAAAGAAAACTGGTTATTGACTGGTTTCAGTAAATTATTCTTAATTTCAAAATTAATTTAAATTTTAAATATATGTGTTACCGTTTGAGTTTCAAAAGTTGCTAAAGCTCTAGCAAATACTAAAAAAGATAAAAAAGTTGAATATTGTTATATTTTACTTTAACATAAATAAAAATGTTTTAGAAAAAGAAACACTACAAGATTGCAATTATTTTAAGGGTAACCTATCGAGAGCGCTTAAAGTGTCATCGCGTGTATACCTGAACTACCTATTTAATTCATACTCGTTGATATAGCTCTGGAAAAAAAATTAAAATGTGAATATTGTCTTATTTTGTAAAATAACATAAATCAGTGTAAACAAAGAGAAAACCTAGAAAATTTCAATTATTTTAAGCGGTATTGAGTGTCTTGCGTTAAACGGATCACCCTGTATAGTTAATTGTTTTACAAAGCCTCGTTGGAGTTTGCCTATTTTTTCCTCGCGAGCACCGCTATTAAAATTAACAACCGAATAATATCAAAAATGAAACATCACACGCACTTATTACAATTGTCATTAACACGTTTACAAATAGAACATAGCACAATCGAATAAAGTATAACACTTACATTGCAATTAATACTCACACGAAAAAATCATTTGAACGACGTTAAGCAAACCGCGAGATAATGTGATCCAGATGGAAAAAAAACGGACCAAGCGATTTATTACATTGTCGTTTATTGGCAATAGTGTTATTGCTTTTAACCATGCGATAAAAGCCTTTGAAAGAGCGACACACAAACGTTGAATCGAGCGGAAAGCTTTTTTTGAACTACAGGTGGTGTGTCTATAGGTGCCACTGAAACACCATAAGGCGTATCCACGGGTTACCTACCAGAAACAGTATTAAACATAATATAATGTATAATATCTAGGTGGTGTAAGTACATGTTATACATTAGTTTCTGTTAAATACACGTACCTACCTCTTGTAATACTACGGTTTACGGTGTGCAAAATTATCGAGAATAAATAAAAACCCTTTAACGAGTCGGAGCTAAATAGTAAACACACTAATGGTGAATCAATAGCTTCTTTTTTATGTAACAGATTTGTTTTTTTACCTATTCAGTAAATTACTTATTAATTGTGGGGTTGTTTTTGTCTTTAATGATATAGATATAGGACATTGTTTTAAAAAAGAACTCGTTTAGTTCCCCGTTTATTTTCAAAAATAATACAAATTCGTTCCAGATGAATTATTTTAATATTAACATTTGATTAATAATGCTGGATAGTATATAAAAGGTTTCTGGCCTCCGGTTTCCTTTGGTCCTCTTTTCAACTGATGTATCACTGGTTTGCATGTTTTGCTTGATTTCCATCCATCTTCCCGGTTGAAATTTGATGTGCATTTATCTATTTCTATCGCTTCTCTCGCCATGCGTTTTGCGAAATGGGATTCTCTGGACAAAATCTAAATTTCATTAAAGTTGACGGTGTGGCCTTTTTGACCTACGTGTTCTGCTACGGCTGACTTCTTGGTCCTATTGTAATCCACATCTTTTTCATGTTCCTTGGTCCGTACTTCAATGGGTCGTCCTGTTTTACCTATGTATGAATGACCACAAGAGCACTGTAGTTCATATACGCCTGATATATGTAGTTTTGAAAGTTCATCCTTTGGACTCCGGAAAAATTCTTCTAATTTCTTCACTGTTGAGAGATTAGAATGGGTGAAGTAACCAGAGTATATTATTCAACTGACTCAGTAGAAGATTATTTCCGTGTAGCTGTACAGGGTGATCCAACTAACGTAAGACACTCATTTTCTCGGAAAATATGAATATTTTGAGAATTTTTTTTTCCTAAACTTTAGGTACATATTTTACTACATTTTTCAATGTTTAGAAATTTTTTATCTTCACCCCTTTTACGTTATAGAAGTAAGAAATTCGTTTTTTTCAAATGGAAACATATGCTTTTAATTCCATAAGTATGTAGACAACTTTTTTTTAAAAATGTTAGCGTTTGAATTTTCAATTTTCAACTATCTGTTCGTTTTCTATGACTTAGTAAAGATTTGAAATTAAAATCAATATTTGTTCGGTTTTCAGCAGTATTTTCGAGTAAATAATAATAATATTGGACCCAAAAAGAACTCATATTATAAATATATAAAGGCTATAAAAAATATATATATAAATATAAAATATAACAAAACAATTATATTTTCAAGATGTGTAACGTACGCGATTGCAATAAGGATGTTAAATTTTAACATCATAATTTTTTGTCTCGAATAACAACTTGTATAAGCATTTTTATCAGTACCATTTAATGTTAAAAATATTAGTTTCTTTTACTCAAGTCACTCTATAATTATAGTTGACTATTCAATGTTTATCGGACGAGTAGAGGTAAAAACGTGATTAACGCATTAAATTAAAAAATACTGAGAATAACAGCAGATAACTATCATCACACCTTTACCTAGAAATATATTTGAATATAATTTTTATATCAATTCACAATCTCTCATTAGGTAGCTAATTAATAATATATTATTGTTATTTTAATAGAAATCCGTTTCATACTTAATAATAATAATAATAATAATAATAATAATAATCATAATTTTTAATAAAACCTAATCCAGATTAATACATTAAAACTCCATAAAATTAATATAAGTAGTAAATTGTGTTACCGTGGAGGTTATAAAGTTGCATGTAAACAGTTAAAAAGTTAAACAAATTATATTATTGAATTGAGATTTTAGATGTTTAAGCTTTTCTAGGATTTGTTCGAACCAACTGTTGAAATTGGCCACGTACATATTCTCCATACGTTCTTAACTTTAATTCTAGTCCAAATTCTTTACACGTTTCTTCAAAAACGTCGTAGATGTGGGGTAATAAACTATGGTCTAAACCCGGAAACAGATGATGCAATGAATGATCGCCAAAAGTTATCATCGAAATCACTACGCTGTTGCCGATTATTTGTCTTTCTGAACAAGCATTTAATTGGTGAAGTCCAAAGTCAATATCTTGTTGGCTGAAACAATTATATATTCATGTAATTAATGAATAATTGCCACTAATCCAACAGCATTGAAATAATTAATGATGCAGAATGAACAAGAATTATTAAGAGGACGTCACCCCACCCATTTTTAAGGAGTAATTTTTTTGCAAAATCTTAATTTAAAGGTTTACTGTGGTGTAATTATGTGATGTGTAATTATTAGTTCAATAATAAGGACTCTTTTTTTAGTAGTTAATTTTTTTTCGGACTATTAAACATCTTTGATAGTTATTAAAAAAAAAAAAAAATTAATCTTAACTAAATAATAATCGTAGACATTTTTCTCTTTCATATTTAAAATAACGAGAACTTTGTCTAGGTTCTCTCATCGTTTTTTTTTTATATTATTAACCCAACATACACAATTTGTAAATTGATTCTGGTTTTTTTTTAAAAATTGTTTAGTGCTTGTATTTAAGGTAAAGTTATAAGTTTTCTAAAAAAAGCCGACCAGAAAACCTAGTTAAAGTTCTTCTCTTTTAACGATATTAAAGATTTTTTTTCTATCACCATTTCGCTTCGACCAACACACTTTTCCATAGACACGTTTTAACGATTATTTTTAAAGGGTATGACGTCGTCTTAAGGTTTTAAACAGAGTGACGCTATAGTGAAAATTCTAGAAGTATAATGTGATCAATAATAAAGGTCTTACCTAATCTCATCCCCATCGTGGAAGTTGTCGGGGTGATGATGTGCTCCATTGAATCCCAAGAAAACGAACACAGAACTCATTGTCGTGATTACTAGAAGCCATATGGTCAACACGGAACCCAAAGACAAATTACCAGCTGACATCAATACTATAGGAATGATGAAAGATAGACAGTCGGCTTTTTCGTTGTTCAGGGTGATAGTTCTGAAATGAATAATATGAATGTATAATACCTCTTATATTATAATGTACTATCATTTGCGTTTACCTTCCGAGTATCAGGTAGATTGTAGAAAAAGGGTAAGTCAGAGGAGTTAACTTTGAAAACCACAATACGGACCAAGGCTTATCTTTACTAGGATACCAATGAATAAAAGGATAAGGCAAAGTCATTTCAAGATCGCAAACTGTATTTGCATAACAGTGATGACTGACGGTGTGTGATATTCTCCATTCTCTGAAAAAAAAAAAAAAAAAAAGGAAATGCAAGTACATATTTTTAAAACTTGACTCTTAAGAAGCAAAATAAACAGGCAAAACGCTTACCTTACGGAGAACAAACCCAGTTGGATGTAGTACATTCTCCAGTTGTCTTTAAGATGGGTGAAATTGTGATTGGCCACTAAACCAAAGGCTAATGATACTCCAGCTAACACAGCAACATAATAGCTATTTCTCCGCGCAGATTCAGCGCAAAGCAACAAAGCTAATAAAATAAAAGTGTCTACTACCAACTTAGACTTGAGTAAAATATTGCTGTGGTTTATGGTTGAAATCTTTTTGGATACTCTCGATTTCAAAACTTTGTAAAAACCATCCGGTTTAAAAGTAAATGGTGACGACCTCGGAGTACTTGCATTTCTGACATAAAATGTACGAAGCTTTTGCGTTGCTACGTCTCCTTTCAAATGATATGTTTCAAATAACTCTGTGATGTCAACTCCCTATATTATACGATAACAAACTATAATTATAAAAAACTAATACGACTTTTTAGTTGAATCATATTTGAATAATAATCATTTGTACCGATTATTAGTTTGAAAAAGAAGAATAAATAATAACCTATTTTAATATTATAATACTTGAATAACTTGAGTAATTTCTAATTTGTAGTAAGTAATTGAGTATATTTTTTTAATAAAATTAGTAGTTGACAAATTTATTGAAAAATTTTTTTAATTTTAAATGTAATTTGTAATTTTCAATTAAAATATAATTTTTAAATGTATAGACTTATATTCTGGTCAGGTGGCACTTCTGAGAGCCTTTCTATTCATACATTATTGTCACTGTATCTTTGTCATCAGACTTGCTGATTATACATATTTTGTATAGATTGTAAATTAAAAAAATATTTTAAAATTAAAAAAAAAAAAAAATGTATAGACTAAAAAACTATAGGTAATTCACAAAATGTATAACATCTTCAATATTCGATATCGATGAAAGGGTTGACATTTCAGGTTTTTAATTTAAAGGTAGATGGAAAAACTGATATCTAAGCCATTATAAAACTATTATACAAAATAAATCATTCTAACAATATTTTAAAACAACACCAAAAAGCTAAAAAATCATAATTTTTAAATTTTATTTTGTGTTGAAGGTTAAAAAAAAATGTTAATGTTCAATTACGTAACTTTCAAGTTTGCTTTAAATACACACTGTATTTATGGAAATTATAGTTAATTATTAATTTTAACAATAGTTTATAAGGTTATACACAGGTGCGGATCCAAGGGGGGAGAAGGGCATTTATGTATAAATTACTGGAAAACCTTAATACTGTATACAAGCCCACATTATTATGTTTTTTAGTGGTAAGTCTTCATCATAATTATAAATTTTATATTTGAAATGAAAAACGTCAAATTTTATACAAATAATTGACTAAAACACGAAGTCACTTTTTGAAGTACCTACCGAACGGCTTTAAACAAAAATTGTTTGTTGTCAAATTTAACATTTTCTCTATGGGGGCTAAAAAGCTCATTTTTTGTTTTCAAAATTTTATTATAACATAACTTATAAGTATTTATATTTTTACTTCATTAAAGTTTTTTGAAAATAACAATTTTCAAATAAATCTAACTCATTTTCTACTAGCTCAATAAAAATGGGCATTTTAGCCTCCATACAGAAAATTGTAGATACGCCAAAAATTTACTTTTACGAAAATCATTTTTACTAATCAATATGATTATTTTTTAAGATTAAGTACCTATTCTTTTTTACTCTGAACATTTTACCAACCCCCAAATTTTATTTCTGGATCCGCGCCTGTCATAAAATGTGTATAATAATATTGATTAATCCTTTGTAAAATTAGCTTTAAATAAGTTACTTTTGAGTATAAGTGATAACTAATTAAATCCATTTCAATGCCTTATTCACAATTTGAAATTTTGACTATAACAAACGTTTTGCTCAACTATTTGCGTTGTGTTAAAAAAAAAAAATTATTTGGAAGGCCACTAAAACATATTTTCAAAATGTTCTTATGGCTATTGTTTGTGCATCGTTTATAGACAAATAGGCACTTATTGCAAATACTAAAGTTTGAATACAATTTTAACTCTAAGAAGCTTTAAGAAGATGTTACTATAAGTATTTTTTAACGCAAATTTTTTGCGTTAAACATAAAAAGAACAGTAACTAATAAAATAAATGCCTCTAAATTTAATTATTAATTAGGAAAATAATACTTAAAAACCGATTGTCGTTTTATAATTGATCAACTGTTTTTAAATGATTTTGTTTTTTACATAAATCAAATACTGGTGTGAGATTTGAAACAAAAAATATACAATACTAGGTATAGCATTGTTTTTATATCACCTATAGTTTACATGCCTTTGTTATTTCCAACCATTGTGATCCTCCAGGGTGCTTAGGTATCCATTCTTGAAGATCGTACAGGCCATCGTGTACTCTCCATAATCCTTCGGCGCCATCTTCCTTACGGCGTGCATTTATCCAACCATCCACCCTTTTGATATTTCTGTCAGTACTTGGCAAATTGTTCAATGTCGGCCAACTGCTCGTTCTAGGGGCCATTGTACGATTTTTCGATCAAGAACAATAAGTTCTTAGTGATACTCGTTGGTCGAGTTGTATAATACTAAAATAATAATACTAATTTAATAATACTAATTTGGGCAACTTTATTTATGCGCGTAAAATTAATTAAATTAACCAAAAATTACCGTGCAAAAAAACACTACAGTACAGGAGGGGAGAGAACTTAAGGAAGGGTATAACACATTTCCTTTCGCTGTTTTTTTTACACGTAACACGTTTTCGTCTGTTTATTTTTACGGGTTCACAGTAAAAACTATAGTCGTCCAGTCTGTATTTGTGTAATATGCAGACACCCCTCCCCCATATTACTAGGAGTGGATTCGAACGTCAAGCATTACTCGCTGACCTCGCCGACTTTTGGACAAAATTTGTAATTGTTTTGTTATAACTTATATTGCTATTAAATATACTTCTGCCTACTTAGAAACCGCATTATTTTATTTAATTACCCTCTGATATTTAAAAAAAAAAGGGAGGTAGGTCCGTATAATACACAAGTACCTAAATAATAATAACACATTTACATAGGATATGCACATACAAGTTAAAACAGCGATTTTTCGTAAAAGCTATGTAGGTAATATTTGAATTGGATAAAATGTATAAATCATTAATATGGCCTATTGATAGTAATATACCTGGTACTAGTATATTGATAATTATTTTTACATAATTCTCACAGACGTCACATTATAACCTTGATGTTGTTTTAAACACGGAGGAACTTGCATAATAATATGTATTATTATAGAAGTGTTTTTATGGGTTACGTATCAACGTTATTATAACCTTGCATTTGTTAATTTCGTGATTCAGGATATGTAAGCACATAAGATAATTATTGTCGTTATAATCAAGTTTTTAGTTTATAATTAACGTAATTACCGTCATATCAATTACCTATTACACCCATCCACAGACGGAATATCAGGTTGTTCTATTTTCAATTACATTACAGTGGATCTTACTTATTCCAATCTGGATATTTGAAAAAAAAATCCAGGAAACCGTTGTTTTTTCTTTCCTCTTTGAGGAAGCAACAAATAAAAGGTTAATTATTAACAGTTAACATTGAACATATAGAATCTAACAGCATCGCACAATAAACAAATTTAAATAACAACGATATTTTTATTTACAAATCACGAATAACACGAGAAAGAAAACACCAAGTAGAGGTATTTTATTTATTTGTGGTGATCTCTGCACCTCATCCTATTAAAATTATTATAAAACAAAAACGATAGCCTATTGCTATACTATATATATTTTAAAGTTTTAGAGCAGAGCTTAGAGTTGAAAAATAAGACAGCTTTTTCTCAACTTTTTAGGGAAAGCGGTAAATTGTGTACATTCTTGGTCCATTAAAAGACCTTACATTTACGATTTCTGATCTATTAAATTGCTTCACAAAAAAAATCGTTCCAGCAGTTTAGAAATATTGTGGGTTAACACACACAAAAAAAAAACATTAAAAATTCCTAAAATATGACATATTCCTCAACTCTTGCTAGTATTAAGTGGGTCACTTTCAAAAGATCACCTTGTAAATAAGACTGTAGGTAAATCGTTTAAATAAAAACATTTTTCGGCCGAGTCTGCAACCCAGAAAGAGCATTTTCATGTCTCATTGAAGTACCAAAAAAAATTAGAGTAGTGGTGTAAATATAGATAATGAAATGTATATTAACAAGCAGTAACAAGCTAGTATCCAAGATGGCTAGTACATTAAAACATATCAAGTTTCTGGCTAATATGTTAGTGTTTTCATAATATCTGGCCTAAGACGATTCGTAGAGAATAAAACCTGTTAAATTATTGAATTTATTTTTCAGTTATAGTTTAATCGTTGTAAATCCAACACATAATTAAACAAATTTAACATCCCCATCCCCAACCCCAGCTCCATGTGCCAGATCCAAGACATGAAAATGTCAAAAAAAATAAAACATCGTAAAAACTAACCGATGAATATTATCACACTATTTGCAATAAAGCATTCCGAATAACTAAACTCGTCAGTTGAAGTTTTAGAGCACACGACTATTGGCCAGGCTGAAAATAGTAATTGGTTCGAAGCTCGTAAAAACCGTTTGACCGCATCAAATTTTGGGTCCATTTGTAAAAGGCTAAAGACAACTAAACATGGTCCAACTGTTCGTCGTATTTTGTATACAAATATAAATGACGATTTACTTGCGTTGCAATATGGACGTCTAAATGAGTCGGAAGCAATTAGGCGTTATGAAAAGAAAAATCCGCGAAAGTTTCACCATGTGGTCTATTTGTTGATTCTCGTATAGGATTTTTAGCTGCAACCCCAGATGGCTTAATAGATCCAAATGGCATAGTTGAAGTCAAATGTCCTATGTCTATTCGAACTCTTGGAGTTGAATTTGCAGTAAAAAATAAAAAATCGTTTCATCTTAAATATTGCGAAATTTCTCATAATCCTTATCTCAACAAAACACACGATTATTATTACCATGTACAAGGACAGCTTCATATTTCGAAAAAGGATTTTTGTGATTTTGTAGTATGGACGCCCAAAAGACATGCATATTGAACGTATGTATTAAGCGAGATGATTTATTTTGGAAAAATAAAATGGAGACACAATTAATTTCATTTTACCATGATGCTCTTCTTCCCGAAATCGTCGACCCAAGACTTTGTAGAAATATGCCAATTAGAGAAAATCCTAAAGCAAATAATGTATCAAAAAAAAAAAATTAGTTTTAAGATATTTAACATAATATTATTATTGTTAATACTATTATATTGTTTAAGATAATAGTTATAACATAAGAAATACATTTAATAGATATTTCAGTTTAAAAATCATGAAAATTGTGTCTTGTATTTTTTTTTTTTTAATTTATCACATGTGTACTAAAAATGTAAAAAAAAATGCAATGTTAATTACTGTCAGAGTAACCTTCAACATATCAAAATTGAAACTAAAAAGTTTTACATTGACAACGAGGTCAATAACACATGCAAGTTTATTTTCACAATCTTTATAGATAGTATAGTTCGTGCAATACTGTAATGTTGTGTTTACTACTCCAATGAATATTAGATAAATAACCGGTTTCCAATAACGAATACGACCGTGGTAATTTTAGGAAACTCGATTTTTGTTTAAAAATAAACACAGCGGCCTGTGGTGTCTGAATAATTCATGCGAAATCTATTGACAGCAAAACATACTACACGTTCGCGACCTTCCCCCTTGACCGGTAAAATTATACAGACATTTCATTACAATGAAACTTGAAAAAAATTAAGGAATAAAAAAAAAAATAGCTATAAAAAATAATGGCAAAAATAAATATATATATTTTTTTAATTAAAAAATAATAAATTTAATAGTATAATTTTGTAATAAAATTGTTTTAATATAAAAAAATATATATGAATAAAACTAGAAAGTAGTAATTTGTTATTAATCTACAACATGGAATGACAACCTGTATAGCGTATAATTCAGCATTCTATCTTAAACAAATTTTTATAATGTAAAAGAAAAGTAAAAAAATTAAAATCAAATCAAAATTACAAAGGTTTACAATATACAAATAATTGAAAAAAAAAAAAAAAAAAAAAATAGAAAAATATATTAATGACTTGTATACAAAATATTAATTTTATAGTCACAAATTATAAAAATTAAAAACCATAAATATACCTAACAACATTTTTTTATATTCTAATGAGCAATCAAAATTATCTAAGTCTGTCTTAGTAATATATCAGTCTGTCGTGTATTTTAAATAATATAAATTTCTCCTAAAATTTTTGGTATTATTTGTACACAAGTTAATTAGAACCTAAAAATAGGTCTACAATAATCGTAAGTCTAGCTCCACAGTCTCGTCTCGAGTGAATCGGGATCCGACTATACTCTCGGGTGTGTTTTGTCTCACTTAGTATTATCGAGAGTATTGAGCTAGCATTATAGATGGTTTGTCAAAGTCTTGTCAAGAATCCTGTCAAGAAATTATTCTCGTCTTAATCTTAAATTAGAATTACAAAATGTGTTTCACTTAAAGGCACTAGATAGTCATTGATAATAATTTATAAAATTACACTAGATGTTTTGATTTATCGTCAAAAACAAAAAAAAACCTAATTGGCAAAAACACCAAATGGTCTTAAAAATTGATTAAAAAAAAAAAAAATGTTCCTGTGTAAATTACTTTCTACACAATTTCGATATGGAGTGGCAAGACAACAATCAAACTAATAATGTAAAAAAATATTGTAACTCTTAACCTAATGTTTGTAGGAACCCATATTCACCCTGAAAACCCTAGTTATTTAGGGTTTTTGTAAAACTTGCACACAATAATTATGAGTTATTATCGTTGTAGGCAACTTGATAAGCACTGTTTGGCACTTGATTTTGATTTTGCTGCTGTTCATCATCCTGAAAAAATAATACATGCTTAATAAAATGTAGCTTTTAATAATAAGCACAAAATGCAAATTATTCTATAAAAAATTGTATTATTGATAAGACAATATTAAATACATGCGTACAGTTTTATAGAATTTTTTAATTATGAAGTTTAGTTATTAGTTATTATTCTATAAGGTGCCTAACAGAACTTTTTTCTTTTGTCAAAAACTAATAAAGAGCCTCAACATCTGAATATTTTTGGTCAAAAACATCTCAATCTTATTTTAACTATACATGGAAACGCGTAATTCAATAGTTTTAAAAACAGAAATTATTAGCTAAAAATTATTTCACAATCAATATCCACGTTAATGCCTGAAAAATTCAAATGTTTTTTAAAAACTTTAATCGGAATACTCTAAGGAACAAATATTGTTAGAATTATAAATGTATCGACCCCGTTCATGCAAAACATATTATGTGTAAAATCATAATTTAGTATAGAAAATATTGTAAAAGTGTCTTAGTTGAAATAATTAAGATAATTCTTTCAAAATATATTACTTATTACATTATAAGAAACTAATTTTAGTAGAATAAAATAACACCATACTTCACTTTGTGCCGCTCCCATAATCGAACCCGGCTGTGGTTTTTCAAGTCTTGGAATAGCATAATTGTTTTTGGTTCTATGCCTAAACCTGTGAGTTACCAAAAATTGACTAGTGGCGAAGCGTTTTTTACATATATCGCAACTGTATGGCAATTGGCTATCGTCTACATCATTATGAGTTGCCATGTGCATATCATAGTAATGTTTCACAATAAATGATTTTCCTGAAGAAAAAAAAAAGCAATAATATTTATTTACAAAGCTCAAAAAATAAAAAAACTTGAACAAATAATTTTTTGACCACTAAATATTTGACCTAATGACTTGTTGTTATCATCAACTTATCTATAATCGATTTTTTAAATATCAATTTAAAATAAACAAATTCATCTTTGTTTGAGGTCACATATATATATTATACAACAAAAACTTTTTTATAGAACACTAACCACATATTTCACAAACGAGAGGTCCAGTCACTCCATGGGTGGTTCGATGTTTGTGTAGATTGTCCTTACGGCTAAAATGTTTATGGCATAAATCACATCCATATAATCGTTGGCCTGTATGGCTTAACATGTGTCTCATGAGGTGCTCTTTACGGCTAAACGACTTTGCACAGGTTTCACAGCTATAAGGTCGTTCTCCTATGTCAAAATCTTATTTTAGTACAATATTCTAGAAACTTTGAAATCAATTTAATAATGTCTTACCGGTATGAAGTTTCCGATGCTGAATTAAATGCTCTTTTCTTTTGAATTTCTTCTCACAAACGTCACATGGAAATCGAGGTGGCATCGTATCTCTCGTACTTTTGGCAGGTAAATGAGGAATACTAACATTGTTTACCATTGCTCTACACATTTGACTGTGCATTACAATTTCTTCTTCGCTTTCTAATACTTTTCCACAAGCAGTGCACGAAGCTAGAGCACCTTCCGCTGATAAAAATCCATTTATATATGGTTTCTCGTTATCTGGTACATCAATTTTACAATTTTCTAGATCAGAATCTGGATCAGTACTTCTAAAAGAAAAGGTTATCATTAAACCATGAATACTTATCACTACTATAAGAAAGTTATATTAATTAATTACTCACTCAGATTTATTAAATTGAAAATGTAGCATTTCAGGCTCTACAGTTAAAGGAGTTACATACGATAAAGAATGTGCATTCATTTCAGAATCATCTTTTTTCGGACTAGGCATATCCTATATACAAAATAACAACACACAATTTAATAAAATACAAATAAATAAAATTATAAACAGATATTTAGTAAATGAAATGTTGTAAATATGTGAATGTGCTGTACAAAGAAAAACATTTGGGCGACATAGTTAAAAAAAACCGCTGCCAAATTATTGACAAATAACTTCGTTAAAAATTAATTCTAAAATAATAATAAAACGTCAAGGAGAAAGCAAAAATGACTCTCGTTGGAAACAGAAATCAAAATCTACTTAAGGTATAAATAATAAAAATGTTATAAAAAAATAAGTAGTATTATGTTAAATAAAAAATTTGTGATATCCCAACAAAAACGCTTTACAAACTCTGTGAAAAATATCGCAAATTAAAATAACAATTAAATTACTAAAAGAGTTTGCAGTGTTTTTGTCAGGATAATAATAATAATATAGTAAGCAAAACTAATCAAGTATACTAACAGGTACAGAGTAAATTGTTTGAACATTTTCACTAATATCGTTTTCATCATTAGAAGAATCTGTTTGAGTCGATTGATGAGGATTGTTGGCCATAGTGTAATTATACTTCATAGATTCAACGCCAGGCGTTGTGCTCGTTATCACTTGCTAATATATCATAAAAATAATGAAACATAGCAAATTTTAGTTTTAAAACCATAATAACAAACAAACCTGCATATCATATTTATTGAAGTCCTGATATCGACTATTGATATCATTCACTATTTGTATTGAGCCAGACTGAACAAGATTTGATAAACTTTGCATTGTGAGTAACGACGACATACGATCATCATCATTTTTTTTAGGACTTTTGGAGTTTTCTCTGGATTGAGCTTCTATTGGTTCTCGAACATAAACCTAATATGTTTTGTCTATTAATACATTTCCTATACTCCGCTCAGCAAAAGAAGACATCTGACCAGAAGTAGTGTTTGGTCGAATAGAATGCTGTACAATGAATTACACAGCGTAACAAAAAATGCAACTTACTTTTCCTTGACATTTCATTTGATCAGATACACTCAAAGTGGCACAATAACTCTTCAACATAGATTCTGTATTAACACACTGATCTACAAAGTCAAAGAATTCTTCTACTTTTGCTATGCAGTTTTCGCAAATGCCTTTGGGTAGTGAGTCACTTTCTTTGATCTGAATAAGACACAAAATGTTAGTTAACAATTGGTTTTAGATACAAATACAGAAAATCAATCCTATAATAAAACTCATATTTTTAAATGAAAACTAATTTTTTAATCTTAAAAGGGCTTTTACCCCTGTGTATTTTTGATCAAAAACAATTCATTATAATTTTAAGGGTACTCTGAAACGTGGGATATGACAATAGTTTTAAAAACAGATTAAGATTTTTCAATACTTGATCTAAATCTATTTTTATTTTTCATTTATAATGTTATTGAAAATATCATTAAAAATTGTAATTTTTCACATAGAAATTGTTTATTGACTAAAAATAATTTTAAAATTATGCCGCGATTGGTGCCATATAAAAAAATTACTTTTAATAAAAAAAGAAAAAATAAGTTTAAATCCATTTTTAATAAATCAAATGTTTTGTAAAATAATAATTTTTCTAATAAGAACAGACAAAATGATTATTAACTCCTGGGCACCCACAGTTTTTTTGCGGAATCTAGCACCCGACGCCTGATAAACAAGCTACAAATTTGGTGAGGCGGTGATAACGTAGTCTAATAGTTGTAGAATGATACCTGCAGGTTATCTAGCGTTTGCATCATATACTATGAAGCAGTCTCAGTTTTGGGGAAGACATGGGGCATGAAGTAGCTTGTGGGTGCCAGAGGGTTTTATAAATAAAAAAATAAAAAAACCATTTTACAAAGACATGTAATTTTAAGTGGCCAAATATACCTCATAATCTATGTACAATAATATTTTTCTTTCTAATCTGTGCACCTTAATTTTACAGAGTAATTTGTATTATGTTTTTATAATTTATTTTTTATTGCATTTGTTTTACACATGGAGCTAAGATTAAAATCCTAAATACAAGTTCTAATAAAAAATTGCACGCAATTAGTAATTTTTTATACGCGTATATAATAAGGAAATTAAAATTTTAAATTACGTTTAAAATATTTTTCAATATTTTAAAAACAAAAACATTTTTCCTAAAGAATTGGTTGATTTTTTAATTTAAACATTACATCTCTACATAATATATTAAACTTATTTATACTATTTTATTATAATAAGCCGCATTATTTATTTTTAAATGTACAAAATTGGGGAACAAGTCTAATAAAGATTTAATTTTAGTGAGGTTTTTTTTTACATGTAAAAGTAAATTGCCATGTTGATAAGTGTATGATCGATTCTAATCATAAAGTAACCTCAGCCCTTTACATACCCACATAACTGTAAACAAAGTAACAAATATTTCATTAGTAAAATGTCCTATTCATAACAAAGATTAAGACTTAATTGAATAACTTGAATGACAGTTTGAATTAAATACAAAGTAATATTATCAGTAATCGGTAAATTATTTTAGACATAACTAACCTATGTTGAAAATAAAGAAATTGACGATTAGTATATAATTATACATATTTTTTTAAACCCTTATTGATATCTACCTGCAACGGGATGCACTTCTGCAATTTCAATGGCAACTGTCTATCACAGCTTTCTCGACTCTTGAAAAGATGTTGTTTTTGACCGCCCACACACATGCAAAGCCTGCACAGCTCGTAAAAGTCCACTTTTTTGTAAATACTCATTATACGACAGTCGTCTACTTGGTTTTACATTTAAACTAAAAAATTTATAGTTATGACATTTTTTTAAAAAAAATGGTAAATTTCCGACCACGCCATTTGTGAACGTTGTTATTGTTGATGTTTGGCACTGTGTGCACTACGGCTGATAGTACGACCTAGACGCCCGCGACAGCTGATGGTGCTGCCATTTTGTTTTGTGCAAATTTCATAATCGGAAAATATGAATTCACCGACATCAAAAAAGTGTATTATAATATTATATTATAATTATTAATAATGTACGTCTATTAATATTCGTTCTATGTGATTAATTCCGTAAAAACGTATTTTATTAATTAGACAAAAAATTGATTTTCGCCCATTTTAAATAACTTATCAAATTCAAAATTGGTGTTGGCTACACTGAGTTATCGTATAAAAGTTATCCCCTCCACGTTATGTCACCGTCGCCCGTCGGTAATTGCCAATTGGTAATCGGTGTTTAACACTTTAACGCAATGGCAATATTACTATAAAGTTTTACCGTTTTGTGTTTACACAGATATTTATTGCTATGTACATATTATGTTATTATACAGGTATCTTTCGTGTACCTAAACTCTAAAGTCTAACTTAATCCTAACCTTAAGTGTAATTAATAATTATTCCCAATTTATGATTTGTAACAAAAACTAAAAGTACAATTGAACGGTTTTCCTCGATTTTTAGTCATACCTACTACACATTTTATACTTGTTATATACCTAGTGTACATTCATAAGTATTTGTATGTAAAGAATTTTTCTGTGATAATCCACGTATAATAATCATTTTAAAATATGATAATTTCTTAAATTTTACCAGTGACATGCCGCAACTAATATGGTTTTAATTGTACCTGTTGAATAGTGAAGTTGAGACGTAAGAAGTTGTCCAATGTCTAGCGACATGTCGTCGAAGGCGGATGTTGAACCGTTAGAGGCAGCAGCAGCTGGAAAAGCGTTTCGAATGAGTGATGGCGATTGGATTTGTCCAAACACGCAATGTGCAAATATTAATTTTGCTCGTCGGTCACACTGCAATCGTTGTAATAAGGAACGAGAAGACTTGCCATCCAAAAAGAAACCTGGAGCCGAAATCGGTAAGGCAGCAGCTGAAAAAAGTAAAGGCTTATTTTCTGCGGACGATTGGCAGTGTAGCAAGTGTGGAAATGTAAACTGGGCTCGTCGTTCTCAATGTAACATGTGTAATGCACCTAAATTGGCCGATCCAGAAGAACGCACCGGTTATGGTGGCGGTTACAACGATCGAGGAGTTGTTGAATATGTAAAACGTGATGAATCTGATGACGAATATGACGAATTTGGCCGTAAAAAAAAGAAAAAGCACCACAGAAGTGGTTCTATTAGCGAAGATTCCAATAGCCAAAATGGAAAAGATGAACTTTATAAAGAAAAAAACAAACTATGGTCGAAGTTAAACAAAGTAGTAGACGAAGAAGAAGAAGAAGAAGAAGATGATGATGATGACGATGATGAAGACGGAGATCTTTCAAAATATGACTTGTCTGAATGGGATAATTTAGCTGCCGAAGCCAAAAAAGATAAGTCGAGATCAAGATCCAGGTCCAGGTCCCCTATTAAAAATCGTTAATTAAACATTATGTAAGTAAATCCAAACATAAATAACAATTTTACAATCTGTTATCGCATGCCCGATTTGTATTAGCAAAATTCCTGTTTTTGATAATTAATCTTTTGTTGAATTTTTTTGTCTCAATTTATTATTTAAAGAAGTTGGTTGTCGTTTTTACCGCATTGTTTTTCTTTTTTTACATTTGATTTTGATTGACACTTTAATTTGACTTGTTTTGAAATTGGACATATTTCCAAATTACCTAAATATTTGTTTATAAACTTAATTTTTATTGTATTATTATTATTATAGATCCTTTTTTATTGGGCTTTATTAATCATTTTATATACTATGTACTATATACTATTTTTTATTCTATGGGTCAAAACGCCAATTGAGAATGAACGTATGGAGCGACCCCCCGTAGATTTGGTTAAAAATTACACTGCATGTCTGTTACAATGAAAAGAATTTTCTCAAATCTTTTTGGATTTTTTTTTTATTATTTGGCCATATTGTAAAAAATTATTTTAGTTTTTTTCTTGACACGTCTTTTTTATCATTTTTTTTATAATATCCATAAAAAAGAATTATTAAAAATCAGTTTCTTATATAAAATAATCTGAGCTTTCTGAAAAAATTTTTATTTATTCGAGTAACAGAAAGTCATTGAATTTGAGTTTAAAATCTAGTAAGTTTGTTTTTTGTGTTACCTAAAATTTGAGAACTTTTTAAATATATTTTTCAAAAAACTGAGGTAATTTTACCTAAAATGTGTAAATTATAAACTGGGTTCTCCATAAAAATGCTTAGAAAAACAAAAAAAAAAGGTGAAATTTCATTGATTAGTCGAAAAAATGAGAGGGATGGGAGGCGGAGTGTGGTAGAGTAAGCGCATAGAGTAATTATCTAAAACTAGTTGTCGACCAGTCAAAATTTTCAGCAAATTATTCTTAATAAAATGACTTGAGTTTTTTTTTAAATGTAAAAAAAAAGTAAAACCGTGGTGTTTAAAGCGCAAACGAGTATAAATTAATTAAAAAAAAAAATCTTAAAAATATTCAATAACAAAAGTTATTTCATTTGTCGGGTCTTTGTAGGACACCGTGTTTATATATATATTATAAAGTATAACCTAATTTTTGTTTTTATATTTTTTTCAGGTCAGGTACAGTCCAGGTTTGATATTTTCCAACTAAATATCAAATACCAAATAATAAATATTTTGGTTTAGCAATTAGTTTATTTATATTTCATAACGCGTTATTTATTTTATTCACTGTATTTTTTTTTTTTTTTTTTGTTCAATCTTTCATAGTTGTATTTACATTTAATAAATTTACTGCTGTAAAAAAAAAATATATATATATATATATACATAAATTAGTCATTTCACTATTTAAGATAGATATTAAATTTAAGCCTTTTTCCAATTAACATGTACTCGACTTTTGTCTTTGCAAAATGTCACTCGAGTTACTTGTATTATTATTATCCCTATATATTAAACATTTCTGTTTGCTGTGTTATTGTAAGCTGCAGACTTCATTGAGTAATAGTGTTTTCACATAAAGACAGAAAATAATCCAACAAAGATAAGACTAATAGTTTTAATAACAGTAACTAATAAGAAAGAGTTATGTACGTTTTAAATATAATTAATTTTGATTATTAATAAAATTGTTTTTAAATTATAACGCAGCTCAAATGCCTTTTTAATTTCTCGTGCATATTTTTATTATGTTAATCTACCTTATTTTATCAGGCGTAGTAATATTAATTTAAAATTTATATTTTTTATTTTATAAAATATGAGTATAAGAAGTATATATTTTTGCAATAACAATTATGAGAAATTAACTATCTATTTTTATTTCAAACTTATAATTAAGAAGTATCAAATTTGTTTGTATCTATTCCACAACACAGTTATCTAATACTGTAAATCAAATAAAGGTTATTCCTTATAAAATAAATTAGTTTAAATACTGTCATCATATTTTTATGACAATTTCTCGCGTTTTTTTCTATTTTAACGATAAAATACCTAATTTTGGTTAACTTATGTGAATAACATAATTCAATGAGTAATTTATTTGAATGCATAATATTAACTTTTTTAATAACTGTTGACAATATTTATTTTATTTTACTCTTTTATTCATAAGTAAACTATTGCCATTGTCGAAAAAAAAAACTTTTTACCAAATAATTAAAACTTTTTGACGATTAAAAACTTTAATCATAGATAATAGTTTTATTAAAAAATCAAATATTGGTAACTCGTTAATTTGATTGAGATTGAAAGAATAATGGAATAATAGTTAATTTTTTATCTAAATAAAAAGATGTTCGATTAGGTAACACCTAGCTCTGATCCTTACTAAGTACTTTTTTCTTTGCATCTAGTTATAAAAAATTGTCGATTCCAGTTAACGTTAGTCCATCATCCTGTAGTTAGATCCTTTGATTCTATTAATAAATTAATAATCAAAGTAACAGAATTATTGCAAACGGAATGTTGAAATCATTAGAATAAAGAAATTAAAAATTGAATAAAATTATTATTTAATTTTTCCTTCTCTAATAATTAGAATATATAATAATAATTATGATTTATTTATTTTTCAAAAACATTCCTAATTAAGTCTCTCCTGAGTCCTGAAAGTGTTCTCTCGGTGTCTTGATGCTATTAAGGTTTATATTTTATGTGTTCCATTGAAAAACAAAACACGTCTTGGTTATTTTATTGAATAGTACAATTATTTTTTTACAACACAATTATCTTCGCTGTGTCACATCACACATGTGTGTAATTTGATCTATTTACTCGTAACCTACTTCACATTCACCTACGCATTTTTTTTTTTTTATTTGTGAGAGAAATATTGATTAAACAACACCCTCGCGTACCTGATAATCATTCCGCAAATATAAACCACGTATATTAAGCGTACCTACCACCTACTTAGTTTAAAACCTTTGCAAACTTTATACACACATAATATATGACAATAGTTGGTTAAACTTTTAACAGCAATAAAATCATAAAAACTATGTCTAAAAATTCTTCGGCGGTGTCACCGGTGGACTACTTAAAGGAACAACAGGAATCGGTAATTTTGCATTGTTGTCTTACGGCTTGTACTGAAACAACTCTTACAAGTTTACAAACTAATTTTATTCAGCGCACTGATTACTTAATTAGGTACATTACTATATATTTTATACATAGTTTGTATTTTTAATATTATTGCAGTTTTTTAATAATAAAAAAGCAAATAAGTTATATACTTGCGTTGTATAATTTAAATGATTTTTTTGTTTTTCTATTTAATTAAAACTATTGTTTAATCTGGTACATAACCAATTCGAAATTCAATTAGATAATATCTTCAGGGTTATGGGTGGTCTCTCTTCACAAGCCAATCATGTTTCTTTCTTTCTTTTTCTCTTAATAGCTCAAATACTTACTGTAAACAAGTTATTTACAGACTGTGTTAAACAGTGTTAAAAAAGTTGATTATTTAGAGCATGCATTTAACATTTTTAAGTAATATAATTTCTATTGAAATACATAATAAGGTTTTTCTCAAGTCACATTATATATTTTTTGTAAAAGTAATGTGGGATTATTAATTTGAATATTAAATTTTTCATAATATGTACAATATAATATAACAATACGCGAACCCATTCAATGTGGAACCCTTTTTTTTAGTTCGTGTGGTAAATATTGCTTGTATTTTTTATGATGTGGCAAAAAAATTGGGAAATAAACACAAATGTGATTATTAAAATACACATTTATTCTATTTAACTGCACAACCATTATTATAATTATAATCGTTTTGCTTATAATGTTTATACTCTCTGTCCTTTATAGTAAACCCCCATAACATAATATATATATATTTCATTGTATACTTTAAAATTTAAATAGTGAGTATAACTATAGAAACAACGCAATTATTATGAAAAATAAGATTTTCTATTTATGTATTAACAATAGGGTAGGTAGTTATTAAAATATGATTTATATGACAATAATGCAAAAAAAAAAGTTATTTTGTTTTGATGTTTAGTTTCCATGCAACCGAAATTGAACTTGCAAATATACCTATAACCTAATTGGTTTCCATTTATTGAGTAAATACTAATTATCAATATTTAACGTATCCAAGTCCCCTCAATCATGTACTACTCAATCAGTTACTTACTAATTTTAATAGTACTTTATTAGGCGGAAAATTAAAAAAATTTACCCCTTCTCCTTCAAAATCGATAAAAACAATTACATTCTTTTCAACTTAAAATATCGGAACGGAATAAATTTTTAAAAAATAGATGTATTAGATCATAATTTTTATGGGATAATGGAATAAATCCTTTAAATAAAGTGTTATAGATATACATTACATACGCCAACCAAATATCTGAAACCTTTTCCCTAAAACGAGTTCGAACTTCTCCTTTATTTCTATTAATTTAGGGCGTGAGATCTGAAAATGAGGATCGGGGAGGCCACTATTTTTAGTAATAATTTACTATACTTACTTTATCAGACCAAGCCGTTGGACGTCAATCGATATGCGACCAAAAAGACAATAGCTCAGGGATTGCTGGACATTGCACTATTGACCGCCAACGCTAATCAATTGAAATATATACTGCAAGTTGGAGAAAAACACGAATTTTACAAACCGCTTCTGGTCTTAATCGCGACTTCCATACTGTTGCAAGTGAGTGAAAATAAATGAAATACAAGAATAGTTCTGATATGACATATATAAATATACATTTTTTTTTTACATATGCACAAAGGTTTTCATGGGAGTAATATTTTTGTCGTTGAACTTAATGCGAGACTGCCGGTTTCATTTGATCGAATACAAGACATCGTCGATTTTCATTAACCAAGTGCCGGTCGTTTGTACCTTTATGGTGTTCGTCATAAACATTGTCATAGGAGCTTTCGATTCCGGATTAGCTAGCATAGCCCCACCGAGCACGTTTAACGCTCCGCCTATTTCACTGGGTTCAAAATAATCCGAAAAATAATAATTCGTTTGTTATTTGTACGGATCTTGTTATTAAAAATACAATATGTTACCTATTTTTATTAATTAATAGCACCTAAAATTATATTGTTTGTATCTTGTAATGATTTATGGGCCAAGTGGGAAAATAAATATGTAAGAGCTAAACGCTATTATACTAAGTTGATATTATTAATAGGTATAATAATCTTGATACTTTATTAAAATAATACCCTGAAATAACAGGATGACAGGTGCCACCGGCAGCCGGTTCATGATTTTGACGGATTTGAAGTTAAAATTATTTGTTTACAAAAGTGTGAATGACTTTGTTGAAAATTAATTCTTTGATTAATTTGGATTTTGCAAACCCGATGAAATAAAAGTATTACTTTTAGGCTATTGTAATATATACAAAGCGTTGTGTTATAGTGGCTAGTTAAAACAATTGAAAGCGGCCGTGTTTTAAGGAGTTTTATATAGGCAATATACAAGAAAAAGTTTTTAATACATTTCTTAACTCGCCGGTCAAATTTCAATTGAGTAAAAATATAAAACATTGTTGGTCTCTTTGCCGGGTTATGTAAGTAACCAATTTTAATTTAAAAAATGAATTATTTTGCGATTAAAAAAATTAAGTTTGACAATTTTTATAATTTAATTTTATTGAAATTTTGACAAACGTAACCGAAATTGACAATTTTTTTATATCAAATAATAAGTTTTCAACTTAGAGCCAAGAAAGTCGTACATCAGATGTCTTAATAGAATTGAAATCGGACCACCGATTTTCAAACCCCTTAAGAGCAAATTTACATTTTTATATAGTTTGACAGAAGTTAATTCCGGATTCTTAAAGCTAGTGTTTGAAAATTTCATGAAATATAAAATTTTCTAGTCTTGTAAAATAGTTAAACTAAACAAATTAAATATTTCATGGTTATACATTTTTTTTTCAATTTTAATTTTTAATGTATAATATGTTATAATATATTAAACTTTTATTTACCAATATTAAAACTATTTCTTTTGCTATATTATTTTGATTACAATCAGTCAATATTTTTTGACTTGTGGCATTTTTTACTGTTTTCCAGTTGCAATAATTTTTTTTTTTTTTATTAGTATTTTTTGGGAAATATGATAGCTCGACAATTACAAATTATTATATAACCAAAAGTAGAACAGCGTTACAATAGGTGATTCTTTATTACAGTTTTATTATTTTTTGTCTCTTCTAAATTCCGAAACACTTTATGAATTTAGGCACTGTGTTTACCCATTATAAATTTTAATATTAAGAAAAAAAAATACAGTAATTTACACAATAACACTTAATTAAACGTAAAAGTTCAATTACTTTAATGTGTCGTAGTGATGAAAATTATTTAAAATATGATAATACTGTCATCTAGTTGTCTCTTAAATTGGTGGGATGACTATATAGTGTATAATATGTAAGGTAGTAAGGCCAAATAGTTAAATAATTAACAAAAATCCAATATTTCACAAAATGGTGAAATATTTCATACTCCAAACACTACTTAAAGCTTATTTTAAATTATTAATATTTCAAATAAACTACCGCTTTTATTCCACTTGACATGTTTTATCCCAATTATTAGACGGTTAGACCATTCTGTTCTATATTATTATATTTTATATTATATAGGTGCTTGTCGGTGGGATATTCTTAATTGTCGGAGGGCTGGACATTAATAAACTGAAGGATCAATGGAAATGTTTGATCTTAAACGACGTTTCTGTCATTATGGTTTTCCTGATCACCGTTATAAACATAACCATATCAGGATTTGGGTTCGACGTTAGTTCATCACCGGATACAAATTTGAAAAAACAATGAACAGCAAATAATCACGTCCGGTCGGCGGTTGGTACCTAACTTCCTATTTGTCTTATTAAAATTAAATATTATAATATTACATAATTTGTGTTTACGATGAAAGATAAGATTTATTTTATTAATTAATGTACAACTGGTAACAAATAAAGAATACATATATATTATTATTTATGAACAATTTGTTTTGTATTCATTTTAGCTTCAATGCTGAGTAGATAAGGTATTGTTTTATGGTCTAGAGTCTAGACCCACAAGGCACGATTCTCCTAATCAGCTGAATCGATTTAATCATGTTGTTAGTCTCTAAATCAGAATTCGTACCTCCAAGGTACTTTGTTCAGCCAAACATTAAAAAAAATCACCACTTTCCTTTCAAAACATATAATAGTGATATGTAGCATAACTTATTTCATTTTTAAAATGTTTTTACAATAAGTCATTCAAATGTTTGTATAAATTAAACAAATAATAGTTAAATATTTAATTTAATTTCTCGTTTTCGATTAAAATATTCTCGAGTATAGGATTTTTTTCTAATAAAATAACTATGAACATAAATTAGTATAAATAGGAGTAAACTTTCTTAAAGTATTAAGACGTTTGATCTCAATATGAGAAGGCATTTGTGTATAATTACTAACTACTGTAGTTTCTCTGTGTTAAATATATGTAATTTTCCAGAAGCGTTTCCTCCCACATAAATGGCTTGTGAAGGGTGGACTTCAATTACTGGACAGTAGGTTGTCATAACATCATCCGTATAAGTGCATGAAACAATGCTCCCTTGGAATCATAAACTTACATTTATAAAAAAAAGACATGTTTACTCAGTTAGGCAATTTATAGTTTTATACGCTATGAAAAAAAAAATTGTATTACAATTTAATATTTTTGTGACTAATAAACTTGTCAAACAAGTGATCTTAACATAATATATTTGAAAAATTATTAACTTAATCTGCAGTTAAAATAATCAATTGGTATAACTCTGTTAATTATTTTGACTCTATTTGTAAATGTGTAAATAGGTTGCCCAAAAATGTTCTAACGGGTACAAAAATTGAGTTCACAGCTTAGTCCACTGTTTATGAATCTTCCATGGATAACAAACTACATAAAACGTGACGTTCATAAATTTTAAGGTCGTTTCATACCTAACGTTTCCCTTGGAAATTCCGCGTAAGACTTAAGGACCGACGAGATGTGAAACAGGCTTAAAAGTAATTAATTTACTCAATTCATTGGCCTTGGTCAACCAACTATTCAAGAATATTAAGAAAATTAGAAATAAATATTTGCGAAATTATGTTTTTGGCATAGTTTAATATTATAAGACGTTTTGGTAGCTAACAACTATCTTTATAGGTCTATGTTTAATATATTTTGTCAATAAGGGTATGCTGCGCTATCTCTCCAAAAATAAAGAAACGAAATAGCGGTTGCCATTTGGGATATTGCCGTGGTCTATCTATATGTATTTAATCTATGCCACCTTGCACAGAATATTTGTGTGTGCAATAATGGCCGAGAGTTGGGGGTAGTTCTTCCAAAAAATGATAACGCGTGATAAGAAATAAATGTTACATAACCTATAAAATCTGTAATACTACAGACAGTACCAACATCGATTTTACCAAAAGCCCGCCAAGAGAAATTTCGTATTTTAATATCAAAAACATTGCCTTTAGTTAGGTTCTTATCTTTATTGCAAATTGTAGTTCACGGTTAAAGATAATATAGTTGCCCAACGAGCAATATCGCCAACGGCCAATAAAGTACTCCAAGCAATTATTTACATTATTATTTTGAATCGCTTTAATTCTGGTGACTTGGATACAAATCATAAATTTCAGTGAAGTTTCATTTTGCGGAATAAAACGGTGCTGTTGACTAATTTCTAGACACCTTTTTGCATTCTTAAGAGGTTGTTTTGATTTTTTTCTAAATCAAAGCAGTGTTCTTTTTCGTAATATCCTTATAAAAAATTTTTCAAATTTTTAAGAGAACGTCGCACCGTCCATTTTTAAGGAGTAAAGTATAGGCAATTTTTTAAAAATCTTAATTTAAAGGTTAAACTGTAATGTGTAATTATTAGTTCAATAACTTGGACTCTATTTTGGTAGTCTGATTTTTGGACTATCACAGCATCCTTGAAAGTGATTTAAAAATGTTTTTTTATCTCTACATGTTTAAGCAGACTGAAAATAACTCGCTTAATTTTGATTTTAGAGTAAAAGCACCTATTATAAAATTAAAAGAAACCAATATTCCGGTGGGCAAGACGGTGCGTTTTTTTCATTATTCTAATTATAACGCTCAATACATAGTTTAGAAATAACGACTATTTTAAAATTTTTAAATAACTGTAACTTTTAAAAAAATTAATTTAAAAAAAAAAAACGAACCGTCTTGCCCTCCGGAATATTGTTTTCTTTTAATTTTGTAATGGGTGCTTTTACTCTAAAACCAAAATTAAGCGAGTTATTTTTAGTCTGCTTAAACATGTTTTTACTACTGAAAATCATTGGTGCGACGCTCTCTTCAGTAGCTAAACATTGAAAAACAAAATTAAATTTATATAAATTTCATTAAATTTGTATGCCGACTTGAAGTCGAATTGAAAAAAAATGTTTTGTTTAATTCTGACACACCTGTAATCACACTTTATATATATATATATATTTTAAATGTATAAGTAACTTCAATGATTGGTATTTTACTAAAAAGTGTAATATTTAAGAGCCTATACATTTTTAGGGCTTGAACAAAATATTCTGAAATTTGTACAACACTAACTTTTATGTATACAGAACATCTGGTAAACGTTTTATAACGGAGACTTATTTTTACTTGAAGTTGTAAGAACTTGAATAAAAAGATGTTATACGTAGTTGCTAGTTTTAAAAAACGGAATTTGAAAAAAAATTTATACTTACAACTTCTAGTAAAAATAAATCTTCATTACCAAACTTTTACCAGATGTTTTATATACATATAAGTAAGTGCTATATTGCTATACAAATTTTAAAATTTTTAGTTTAAATCTTGGGGCTTAAGTAATAGGCTCTTGAATATAGCACTTTTAAGTAAAATTTAGCAAAACTTTGAAGTTACTATACACCATTAAAAAAAAAGGTTTAAATAGTTTTAAAAGTTATAAACCAAAAGAGTAGGTAGTTTGATGTGTAAGAATAAAAAAAACATTTTGAAACATTGAGTTAGTATACAAATAAATGAAATTTATAAAATTTTGAATTTGTTTTTTAAATTATTACAATTATTGATATATTATAAAATAAAAATACTTAATAAATACCTAAATCGAAGCACAAGGTGGAGCTAATAATTAATATGTAATCATAATATTTTATTCAACATTTAAAAAAAAAATTGTTTCTTAAACAGACAATCGTGATAAATTTTGGTTTTATTGGGTTCCCAGTTTGACGATTTCTATAATATATTTTTTTAGCGATCTATTAGTAAAAAATGGATGATCGTATGAAATGTTTTCTTATAACCTATTCTGTAGGCAATTTAATTTTATAAAATAAAAAATTAAATAATTAATTAAAAAGTTTATACTTTACCTTTACTTTAACCAGAGTGGTCTGGTCTCAGCCGTCCATCAACAACGTACCAGGGACGTGAGATTTATTGGCCATTATTTGTCAATATAGGTTTCTATAGTAAATAGGTTTTATTATAATAATATACGATATGTTATTCTAAGTTTTTTGTCTTCCGAGTTTTATTTCCCAAAAACAGGCAGACAAGCACTTGTATAATAAGGTCACAGGACTCAAAACTCAGATACCAATTATTATAGTCTTGCTTTGATAATGGTATTAGTTGAAACACGCTTTATTATTTCAGGAAAAACGGCAGATAGCAATTGTATATTGTACACATATTGAATACCTACAGTCAACAGAAAAGTAAGTCGTACCATTGTATTGTTCTATTGCACAGACCGAACCAGTGATCCAATAAGCAATCTAAAAACAGATTTGAATTCACCATTTGAGTTTACTTATGATCGGTCAGGGCACTTTTCCAATTTTTTACTTTAACCCTTTCCAAATTTGATTTTAAAGTTTGAAATTTTATATAATATTGAAACGCGTTTAAATACATAGTAGGAATAATATATCAAAAATGTACCCTGACTGATAATAAGTAAACTTCATGACGAATTCAAATCTGTTTTCAGATTACTTATCGGATCACTGGTTCAGCCTGTGCGATGCAACAAAAAATATATGTTATGCCGGGTCCACACAGAGCGAACAATATTCAAACAAAACAAAAACACGATGGTTTTTGACAATTTCTAAACAACTTTGTTTTTTTCCAACAAAATGGTCTGTTTTTAAGAACAAAACCGTGTCCCGTTCGTGGTGGGAAATTTTAATAGATGTTTTTGTTTTCATGAACACTATAGATCGGTGTGGACATAATTATCTTTAGGCAAGTTAACTAAAGACCAAGTTTCATTTTGCTTAACCCAAGCAGCAATTTACCAAGGGAGCAGTACTGCGCCCGTACTGGCGTAACTCACAAATGATAACGATATTCTGTACTGACAGCCAGCACTGGCCCAGTACTGATAATCGGTACAGATTTTTCGCTGGTATAATAATGGCGCAGTGATGGCACAGTTCTGGCATTATAAATAATTTTATACCGGCAGAATAATAGCGCAGTACTGGCGCAGTAATGGCACAGTGCTGGCATCATAAATGATATTATACTGGCAGAATAATAGCGCAGTACTGGCACAGTAATGGCACAGTGACACTAAAACCTACATAAATTCTACATTTCTGCACCAAATTCGCTCAAACTTAGACCAAACTCAAGAGAATTTTGTCAGCAATCAGAATATATGGTCAAATTGCCGATTTGTGTGATTTAAATTGTCAAAATTTTGAAAAAACCAAAATTTCGACCTAGCTCAAAATTTTAAAAAAACTGAATTTTATTCCAAAAATACCACTCCAATATGGCTGTACTGTGGCTTAAAAGATTCACAAAAGTCTCAGCTTGCCTTTTAACCTATACATGTGTGTTGATTGTACAAATATTTTTATATAGGAAGAATAACCTAGGTTTACCCAAGGTATGTCCATAACAAAAACACACTAAAACCTACATAAATTCTACATTTCTGCACTAAATCCGCTCAAACCTAGACCAAACTCAAGAGAATTTTGTCAGCAATCAGTTACTATGGTTGTGGTTAATAAGGTTACCACAGTTGTGGTTACTGGTGTTTCCATGATTGCGGTTACCCAGGTTATCATGGTTGTGGTTATCTAGGTTACGATGGATGTGGTTACCGAGGTTACCACAGTTAAGTTTACTAAGGTTACAATGGTTGTGGTTATCTAGGTTACCATGGTTGTGGTTACATAGGTTACCATGGTTGTGGTTATCTAGGTTACCATGGTTGTGATTATCTAGGTTACCGTGGTTGTGTTTACATAGGTTACCATGGTTGTGATAACTAGGTTACCATGGTTGTGGTAACCTAGGTTACCATGGTTGTGGTTACCTAGGTTACCGTGGTTGTGGATACCTAGGTTACCATGGTTGTGGTTATTTAGGCTACCATGGTTGTGGTAACATAAGTTACCATGGTTGTGGTTAATATATATGTGGATTATTATAATCCACAAATTTTGATTAGGATACTCAGTGTATTTTTTTTCTTTTATTGTTATTATTTTTTGTTGAGATTTTATTCTTTTATTATGTCGGTACTCAGAATAAAATAGAAAATACCTAAGATGAGAAATTTAATTTTATAAATTTTAATAAAGATTTTATTATTCTATAAAATTAAAAATAAATTTAAATTTTTTAAAAATACACATCTTACATTAGCAACTCGCTAGTGCAAGTGCGTACTTTTATAATTTTTCAGATGTTGATTGCTCCCAAATGGATTTGGTATTGAAAGAAAATATGACAAAAAATCTTTTGCATAACGGAGATATCGCACCGACTATTTCAATAAAATACAATCTATCATTATTTGCATGATCAATATATTGATAGTGTTACAGCTAGAGGCACGGTTCACCTAACTTTTATGTGTTTATTATCTTAAAAATACAAATTTTACCAAAAAGAAAAGAATAATCAAACGGAATATTCTTTTTACCTCGTATGAATTAACCTTAACCTAAAAATTATGTTTGCCAAAAATGTATTCGACCTTGTATATTTGCGGTTACTTGCGAAATTTATCATGCTCTTCATTTTTTGTCAACAACCGAAATTTTAGTCTAATGTGTAAGTATTATAGTTCTTGACATCTTGTGGGTTAGAGGTACATATCTATTATAGTGGTTGTTCTCACTGGATACCGTAGAACGATCACTCACCGGTTTCTAAAATATCATGACAAGTCGTTAACGGTTAAACTAATTAAACTTATCAACTTAGTGCTATTTTTTCTTCTACAATCAATATTTAAAAATATAAAATACATAATTTCAGTTATATTAACATTTTCACCAATGTCTAAAATACATTTGAATATAATTATATAATATTTTTATACTCAACTATTTTTGAATGTATTAAAATTAAAAATATTACAATTATATAAGTATTATAAAATAATTTTCAATTTTATTTTGGGACATTTGTTTATTGCACATTTTCTGGCATGTTATAAAAATGTTGTATACAATATGGTTGACAGTCTAGACCTTCATCAATGGATAATTGTAATTTACAATATAAAATAATATCCAACTAAAATAGTAACTTATGATTAAAGTGCGTTAATGACGATCGTTCTTTTCGACGGCGGTTTTATCGATAAATTATTCGCGCAACGATCTGTTCAACGATCATTGGTTACACAAAATAACCAATAAGTACGTGCGTGTTATTAATATTAACGATCGTCTTAGCCCTTCGCAAACCTATCAAAGACCATTGTGGTGGTGGACAGCGAATTGATGAACAAAAAAAATATACGATTTAATTACCCCGAGCCGGGAGACTGTAGACAATTTTCATTAACCCGGTGCTGATATTGTTGTGTGTGTATTTATAGTTTTAATGACACCAGACGACGATGCAATGTCCGGCGTGCCGTGTTTATGTAATACATTAAACACCGGCGAACATTGTTTGAAATTGTTTCCGTCGCCGGAGCCCTCCCCTCGATACCGCAACCCCTTCAGTCGGCGACCCTCCCCTCTGGGCGAAAACCCGTCCCCTCGGTCCCGACCGACTGGATAGTGTTAATCACGCAAACGCGGGATGTCGGCCAAGTTCGGCTCGTGAAAATACAGTTTGTTTCACGTAACGTAAACGCTCACACATACAGACACAAACGCACTAACACACTGCCACAGCAAGACACACATACATTCGGCTTTTGTCGGGCATCCGAGAAGCCGCGCTTTGCCGATTCGCCGGCACGTCAACCACGATATAACACACACAAAAAAAAAAAAAAAAAAACCGCATCCCGCTGAATTGTATAGTGATTTTCCGTTTAAATAATAATACAATTTTTTTCTCTCTCGCTTTCTGTTTTTTTTTTTTTTGCATAAATATAATAATAAAAGAAAAATGACCCCTCCGGTAATCGTTGCCGTCGAGAGGAAACGGACATCCGGGAAATTCGTACCGAGCGGTCACAGAAATCAACGTTAATACGGTATATACAGTACTGTCCAATTTGTCTGAGAATAAGACCGCGGGAGAGCCCAAATCAATTACACCATGTACGGTTTTACAGCCTACAAACTGCATACGGTCACGCCGAATCCATGTGAGTAACCAAATTCAGTTATGAATAAAAAAAATATGAGACTAACAAACCAATAGACTTGTAACTTTACATTTGATTCCGATGTACATTTATTAACTGTATTTACTGTTAAACAACCATAATTATTATGGTTAATATATATATATACACAGTACATATTTTAAAGTTGAAATAACTAAATAAATAGTTAGGCCAACTAAATGTTTAGTTGACCGAATCATTAGTTCAATCTGTTTAGTCGACTTAACTGTTTTTTATTTAGTTATTCCAACTATAAATGTTAACTATAATAACAGACATTACCGTTACCGTTTATCCATTACCGTCGGTCATACTACATATTTTGCGAATATTTCGCATTTGCACCATACATTTATTATTGCATTTTTTATTGTTATTATTAAAACGGTTATTGCGGTACTTACTTTGTAATTTGTTTGCAATAAACTTGTAAGTAATTTTAAACTGAGTTGTGAATTTAGGTCATAACTACTTTTTTAACTTTTATGTAACAAAAAAGTTTATAAAAAATAAGCATTATAGTTTTATAATGGTTGATGCATCACTTCTTATTTTTCCAAAACAACATGCGAGTTGTAACGATAATTTTTCGTTTTTATTATATTCCTATTTACCAGCCCTCGAAAGTTTCTAAATTATATAATTTTTGCTAAAGAAAATAACAGGTATAATAACGATCACTTTTAAATACATTTGTACGAATATAGTAATGATCAATTGCACTTTACAAATTTAAAATATTGAGCTAAATCTTTTTGTTAAATAAATATACAATTTCGTTTGGGATGCTTAACCTCTAAAATTACAAAATTAGACAACCAACCTTATAAAGAACTCTGTTTTGAACGAGTTTAAGTACTGTCCTTAACAGATGCTCTATGATAGATGCCACTTAGTACTTTTATAACTTTTGAACCACTCTAAAAATTGATAACAGTATTTTTGAAAATCACAATTGTATATAAAAAAAATTAAAAACTCGTTTTTAAGAATATTTTGTGTAATAATAATAGTATAGTTTTTTTCAATGTAGTGTCCCAATATTCTATAATCGTAGTGTATTACATTTGTTTTGTGGTTAGTAATGAAAAACGACATGTAGCAGATAGTTTATTAAAATTGATGAAATACTGATTGCTTATGTTAGGGTCGAACAAAATTTATTTTCAAATCAGGTACTGGTTTGAAATTGATCTCAGTTTAACCAAGCGGAAGCTTAAGACTTAAATTAAATTACTGAGTTCAACTAAGGAACGGAGTTAACGAAGTATAATAAAGCAAACTTGATTTTAGACAGGTAATTAATCAAGTAAACTCCAGTAAAAACTAACTAGCTGGTAAAACACTGATTGTGACTAGGTAATGTAATTGGGACATTTAAACAAATATTTTATATTATAACAAATAATTAATCACAAAAAAAAAAAATAATAAAAGCCAGTACAGTAGGGTCGGGGCATAGTGGGGACGGAGGGGTCACAGGTCAACAGATTTTATTATAACTGAAAGTGATAAAATTACTTTTAAATAAACGCTTCGATGCGAATCTGTGAACAGTATGTTTCAAACCAGTTATAGCGAAGATATCGTGGGACCAGCAATAATGTACTTAAAATTTAATATTTAGTCTTTTGCAGGGTGGATACGATAAGGGTTGATCGTCTGTCTATAAAAATGTACTGTCATAGTTACCCATACATCGTAATTAACAATATAATGAAAATATTTTCATTACTTGTTGACTGTTGATTCACTCACACATAGCAACCTAGAAACTGACTACGGCCAAAGTGTAAATTTACCCTATTTTTGGGGTTTTTCCTTAAAAAAAAAAAAATTTTACTACAGATTTTTGAGAAAATTGTATATGTTATAGTTTCATTTTAGATCTACCTTCGGTCTAATTGTTAGATCTAAATCTCAAAAACTGCTTGAAAAAGTGAAATAAAGAAAAAAATTCTATCCCTTCCAGGGGAAAGGGTTTATGATATTTTTTTGGTTTGTTAATGTTTATCGATAGTACTATGTTTAAAGAACAATTCATATAAATTTGGAACTTTTTCGACTATTTTTAAAAAAGTTATAGAGCATCGTATTTTTAAGTAGAAAAATGTATACATTTTTTAGGTGTTTTTCTCGATTTTGATCGGGAAGGGGTGACTTTTTAAAATTTTTAGCCCAATAAATTACCTTTCAGATATGATTTCTAATCTATAAAGTTGCTACACGAAGAAATCGGTTCAGCGGTTTACGAGATATCGTGGGTCCAGACACAAAAAATAAAAATAAAAACACATCATTGTAAAAACAATACTTTCTCAGCTCCATATCGAAGCTAAAAATATAGACCCTTCTAGAAATTAAAAAAAATACCTAAGGTTCAGTGTAAGGTAAGTATTTAAAAACAATTTCAATACCAAGTATTTTCGTGTTGATTTACAATCAGTTTGTTTTCTATATTGGAAAAATGGCTAAATACATAATTGCATTTAGTGCGATTAGATTAAGTTCATTGTACAGAGTAATTTTTTTGCGAAAAGTTGTTATAAACAATATTGTGGAAAAATGGGAATTAATGTTTTAGCACGATGAAATAATAGTATTAAAAAAATTGTAAACGTTCAAAGCTGGTTTGTATATTTATTAATTTATAATTGAAATTGTTCGTGTGCCCGGAAGTGAATAACCTGGTTTTTACAAAAGTCGACCTTTTAAACTTCTGTTGCTGAACTAATGGCCTTTTGAAAAAGTGCTTTTTCATGATTTGAACGTATAATTTTACGACTCGGTGGCCAACAAAATGTTACTGCTGCTCGGGGGTGTGTGTATGTGTGATAGAGGTTAAGTAAGATGAGTATGAACCGCAGTACTCATATCTAGTTTATATTATAGGGGTAGACAATCATTAAGGTCATCCATACACAGGTGTCGTGTTTCGAAAATGTTAAAGCCGCACAATGGCGAAAGATGTTCTCTTTGTTTCATTTGATAAACGTTTAACAATTACAGTCAAAGATGGGTTATTTGGTGTGCACAAGAGCGTAATACGTCAAGCCAAGGTATGCAAATAACATGCGTGACAGATGACATCTGTCATTTGGCAGGGCCACAATTATGTGAATATTTAAAAAAATATATTCTTGCTGTTGTTTTTGCACAATCTTTGTTGTTTTTGTTATGTTGTGAGCTCTTGTTTGCACAACAAATTACGTAATTGATAATGCGTAAGCCAATTAATCGACACGGGTTCATAAAAAATGCGTGAGGAAGACTTTGGGGACATTTTTGTCCATCTTGTAAAAATATCTATGAAAAATATAAGACCGCAGTATTTATTACTACATTTTTCTCACCTCTTCGTAAATAATGTAGAAGCAAAAAATAGCAACGGGAAATTAACAATTTTTTCAAAATCTAATAAAACAAACATTTTAATGAGCTTATAACCAAACTATAAGAGAAGAATAGAGGATCAATATTATTGTGTCAGTGGAGAACAATTCTCCGTCAAAGAATTTAATTATAGTTTTATAATCTTAATCTGTGGAACATTAAAACTTAAAATTAAAACAAACAACGTTTCATAAATTGAAATACAGATTCGTTCGATTATGTTTTTCAAGACGAGGAAAGATTGTTTAAAAAGATAATATTATTAAGCATTTCCCATTTGGAATAAATGTGGCTATATGAAATTTTTGCCAAATAACAGACAACAAAACAAAACAATTTACATAAGATACATATAAAATATATTGTAATTTATAAAATATTAATTTATATTATAGAATATGGATATTAACATATTGTAACAACATTAATTCTAAATTGAAACAAGAATAAAACAGCAAGTACATTCTGAACAATGACACGAAATTGCATAACCATTAAGTTAACACTAATAGTAAGGGTTCAGTGCATTTTTAATAGATTTTATATGAGATAATATAAAATAGGTAAGATAATGCATATAATATATGTGTTACCTATATTAATATACTATTTATATTGTTGAAATTTCGGTAATAAAAAATTTGCTTGATAAAAATTGAATAAATAATTTATACAATTATTTAGTTCCTAGTCAAAATCATATAAATCCCTGAAGTGAAACGAAATAGCAAGATTCATAATTTACTACTGATTTTCTTAAAATTAATTTTATTTACTATTTATGCCATATGCGCATCAAGTTACTTTTTTTTTTAATGTTTTTTCTTCGCCTTTAGTAAAGTTGTCAACTTTCTTTTAGTTGAAGTTTCTTTCGGTAGTTTCAGTTCTTGGGAAATATATACTTTTATATACATTAATAAGTCATCATTATTCGACATCAAGAATAATGCAGCTTGGTGGTACTTTTTTTGTTTTTCTACATACATAGTTTTACTTACTATAATATAAATTATAATGTATATAATATAATTTAAATATTTGTATTTTTTTATTTATTGAAGTGTTGTGCAATGTGATTGGTAAAATTAATATAAAATAAATCCATATCATACATACAATGTATGTGCATTATCATTTACCATAATATTAAAAACAGCCATATGCTAAAAAAAAAATAAAAAATTGTAAACAATGAATACAATCGTTATTAAATGGGCATGAAAATCTACTAAGCTGTTTTAATGTTACACTTTATAGATTACGCAGACTTCAAAGTCGAACGTTATGCATACAATTTATATAGGTTAAATATGTAGGTATGATATGTTTTATGGAAATAATAAAATATATAAACTGTCTTGTTAAATGTATGTACTCGACATCCCTTTAAATTTTAATTTACACCTTCGTTACTATTCTGTAATTTGATCATTTTTTGAAAACTAAATTTTTGTAAATTTATTCGTAATTTTTTTTAACAGAATTTTCGCTGAAATTTTAGTTATTGCTTGATAAAGGCAGAGTAGGTACATAAAATTGACATCTGAGGTTTAAAAAAGTTTAAGTTTTTTGCAGGCATGGAAGTATGGGTGGTATAATAGATGTTTTAGAGTTATCAGAACTATTGGCTATTGATTGCCAATAACGTAATTGACGCATTGATTTTATTTTTATACTTTCATATGTTTACAGAGTATTGTGGGCAGAACAACGCTTGTGTGAGAGGTCATTGATTGATTTGGTTTATTTTTCATTGACAAATGTTTATCTTAGGTTATTAATGAGTTTAAGACAAAAGGTTTTTAAAAACAATACAATACGTAGTTTTTGAGTATCTAAGTTTAGAATATTGTATTCACTAAACATAATGTAGTTGTCAAAAGCAAGAAAGAAAATCGATTCATAACCACCGCGGTTTCTAAAGCGTTGCGTTGTTGCGGTTTTCCATAGGAGGCAAGTGTAATTGGAGTTTAGACCAACTGGCTTTCTCGTGGGCATCCCAATAAAAAAAAAGGGATATATATATTGAAAAATAATATAATAGATTGATCGTTGCAGTAAATTATACAGACGGTTCACGGTCATTCGGGGGTCAAGGTTTTCCATTTAGAAACGGCAGCCGTTCAAAATTTCATTAGCCGGCAGCCGGCAGCCGCCAACACGTCCCGAAGCAATAGCAATAAACCCAAAAGAGTTTCGATACCTATAATACTGCCATTAGGTATAGTAATAATTCTATAATATAAAACAAAAAGGATATTGCCCGGGCACACTCAAGTAGCGGACAGGTTATCGACGTTTGACAAGTTACACAAGGTTAGGTGAATTATTATAAAATTTATTTTTTATTCGAAAATTAATTTCAGGCCGGATTTTTATTGTATTAGTTGATTTGATGAACGCACCAAGAATAAATAATGCCTTTCAGCCCGTATGCAAAAATTCCGGAATTGTTACAGCTACGTTATGATTTTGATTTATGCTCTATTTAATATTGTGGACTCCCCTTTTAGGGGTTGTATAGTATACGTCGTGTAGTAATGTTATATATTGACCATGTGCTGTAAACCGTCGTCATCGCTTGTCGAAGCGAATACTCGCATCGAAACACAATCGAAAATGGGTATACATTATACGTTATATACATACAATACAATACAAACCCTATTATATGTATTGCAGACAGTATCGACATCATTTTAGCTACGGTTTATTAATGTGTTTCAGGTCGTTCAACGTCCGACACCGGGAGACGGACATCTACGACTGTTCATTTTAATCCGAAAATCCCATTTAACGGTGCGGTCGACCACGCTCACAGGTCTAAAGATGTGAGTACCTATTTATTATTATAACATTATCATCTATTCTCGTATTAAATGAAGTCTCAATCACATGATTCATTATAACCAACAGGACTTCTGACCTGAAAAAACTACCATCCCAAGTAATTTGATCATCTCATCCTATATTTTAAATAATCTTGAAGTTGGCTCCCAAGTTGATGCTGTACTTACAGACTTTAAGAAAGGGACTTTTAATGCGATTGACCTTGGTCCTCTTATAAATGTTCTAGACAATCTTGGTATTGGCAACCCTCTTTGTTCCTGTCTAACAAATGGATGTTTCCTATCTTAACTCAAAAAGAACAATTTGTCTTTATCAACAGTATACTCTCCGATCTAACTATCATACTCTCTGGCGTTCTCCAAAATGAGCAACTTAGGCTGCTTCTTTTCATCATAAATATGAACTCTTTAAATGTCTCTCTTCTGCTAAGTATTTTTACAAGCCGATGACATCAAAATATTTCTCTAATTAAATTCTCTATCTGACTACTTATTTCTCCTACAATCTGGCTTTGATTCCTTCTGTGGCTGGGTAAAACAGTTTAATCTTAATGTTAATTCGGGAAAGGTCACGTCATGTCTTTCTCCAGAAGTCGTTAGTCTATTGCTTATTCATATTCACTTAATGGATCCCTTGACGATTGTGTACCTTTAATTATATACTTAGGTATGTATCTCACGCTCTTTCTCTCTTCAGATCATCATATCAATGTCACGATCGACAGAGCCTTTGAAGTCTTAGGGTTCATCATAAGTAACACCACCAATTATTCTTCTAGCTAATGTCTCCGTAGGTATTCTTTATTTCTTCCTAGTCCGTTCTATTCTAAATATGGGATAGTAATCTGACATCCATACTAGGCGCGTGATCAGCTGTACATCGAATGAGTGCAAAATAAGTCGTTTTTCTTTGCTGCCTTTGTACTGACCAACTGTCCTTGAAACATACTTTAGTCTCCCACCGCGTTAAGGCTGAACACTCTTTCATCTCCTCTCTACTGAACGGCTCTCTTGATGCACCCAACTATCTTTTCGTGTTCCCTCCCAGTGTATAAGAAACCATTCTCTGTTTCATTTGCAATACCATCATTTGTACGGCGTTATTATTACATAAATATTTACGTTTATGCAGCTTAATCCGATCATACTTTACTCATCTGTTGTCGTGTTATTACTATTTTAGTTAGAAGTAAATATACTTTCTGTATTAAAGTCAATGCCTTTCACGGCGTATATAAAATAAAATAAATAACATCATATAATGTAATATTGTATTATAATATATCAGTCACAGCCATCTCACAATACTAGGTTCTTATTACCCATCGCGCAAAATGTCGTTACTCAAAATTTCTCAAAAATTAATAAAAAAAAAAACAATAACATTTAGGTTAACGCTGTCTCTTTCTGATAAACAGGTGATGAGGGTACGCTTAAGTAAACTTAAACTTACCACATTTAAAACTTTCAAATAAATATACTCTTCCGCTGTATAGGAAAAGCTTGAAATTAAATTAAAAAAATTTTTTGCGGAAAAACTATAATTGACATAGCTATTACTTAATTAAATTATAAAGATAACTTCATATTTAAAACACTTTTTTCCCTAATCAAATTCATCTAAAGAATAATTTTTAAAGGTATTAAATGAAGCATGTTCCGTGACATCTCATGTATCTAAAATATAATTTAATCAAACACATTTTTTACTGTTCAAATTTCTAACAAAAAGAAAATATTAAAAGATAAAATTACTTAATTCTATGGGAACCATGACAGTTTTAGTTATACTGTATAAAATGTTCATTGTACAAATTTTGAAATTGTTTCTCACTTAAATCTAAAATAAATAGTCTTATAGCTAAAGTTATCGCTGCTAGATAAGTTTACCGTATCTAACCTACGCCCACATAAAGATCTATCCATCTACATTTTGTCTTTGTTGATATAATCGTTTTGCTATTCCATAACATAGCAATTGAAAAGTTTTGAAATAAACTTAAGCAATTATAATAATTGAATTTATAGTACGATGTACTATAAAGTTAATATAATTGTAATGTAGAAATAAATAACATTTTTCCAATAATATTAATCAAATAATTATATAAATGTTTCACACACCAATAAACGATTTAGTTAAAAACTCAATAAATACTTTTGACTTTAACTGCAGATTATAGGGTCTTCTAGAATTTCTAGTCTTGATGAGTACCTAATAAATCACGGTATCGGGGTTTACGGCATTGGATAATTAAAAAAAAAACTAAACTTAAAAAGGTAGAAAAGATTTAAAACGATAGTCTGAAATCTAATAAAATACCAACTTGAAAAAATTGTACAATTGATTTCATTAATTTAAACAGAATGTGACTTGACATTTAAACTAAAAGATGACGCGATATTGTCATATATCGATATATGTGTAACCCTATATATAGGTTTAATGCATTTAATAATATAACATCGTTTTGCGTCTTTGGCAGTATAATATAATATTAGTCATAAAACAGAATTAGACTAAATTCTTTAGCCTTTGTTTAAAAATTAAACGATGTACATTATTTTTAGATACTTAAGTAAAGAAATTGAAATTAGTTTTAAAAAAACGGGTTTCTAAAACGAATAAATAATTCAAAACTATATTTGTAAAAAGGTGTTGTTATTTATTAATTACCTTTTGTAACTTTACAGTTAACAAAAAAAATTGTATTTTAGGTGCTGTGCCATTGTTAACAAATAAATACACATTTACTAAAATACGTGTACTGTTACATTTGTTGTTTCAAGAAGATGTGGATATTATAGGGAGTCTTTACATGCGTCTGTCGCCCACGTAAAAAAGTTTGGACACAGTGAAATGACAAAAGAATAATACACATCACAATAGTATATTATTTCATTAACACTGGCGCGTCACGAAGAGAAGTTTTACTTTTGTTGTTTCCAAACTGTGGTACTACAACAAGTCTTTGTAATATTATGTACGTACAGTGAGCTCAAGAAGTAGCACAAATAAGAAAATATTTCTAAGCAAAATGGGTTAGGATATTTATTTATTTTATATATGTGTACATATTAAGATGACGTTAAATAATTGTATTTTCGTTATTTTAGACTATTTATGTATAACCTAAGTGCAGAATATATTTTATTGTAATTTTCTATTATTTTCGGACATTTAAAATAATACAACTAATTACTTCATCCCGTTTTGCTTGTCAGTTAGGAAAACCAACGTCCAACTGAATTCATCAAATGTGATGCGAAAAGCAAAATGGGGTCATCACTTGTCTGTGTTTACCAAAATTGAGTTAGTGCTATTTTCTGAATCTTGAATGATTTTTTAACAATTTGACTTCTGGTAGCTTTTGTCTGACATTTGTAGCTAAAACATGACAGGTTATTGCACTTTAAAGTTTGCGACTTTGTAGTCGACCGACAAGGGACCGCCTTTTCCCGAGACCGGGAAAAAATCTCATACTTTTTTGGGCTATTAAAGAATTAGATTCGATGTTTTGACTTATACCCTAATATTAGAGTCTCCAAAAAATGCAATTATTGAGTATTGATACTTAGTAAGAAATCGTTACCTTTGATTTTAATCAATGTTTCGACGTTTTTCTTGAAATCAACTGTCAAAGAGTTTCTTTTTGACATGGATATGTTTTATGACTGTGGGTCATTCTAAAAGTTTGTCCGTCACGTTTTGAGCGACATGTTAAGTGTCACAGAGGAAGATTATGGAGGGAGTATGGAGGAGTATGGAGAATGATTATGGAGGAATTATGAAGGAGGAATATTGAGGTGAATTAAGAGAGAATAGATTGAGATTAGTATTAGATATTAGAGATACTAGATTGCAGGACATATCCATGTATTGATGTATTTGCAAGAAGTGTGGATACTCTTTATTTATAAAAATACTTTCGAATATTTGATTTCCGCATCACAAAATATGTCCCCAATATCCATGTATGCATTACCATTAATAGTCAATATTAATTAATCATTGCACTTTTATAATATTATGCTTCATCGATTTTTGGTATTATCTGAGGATGATCATGCGGTCGATGTATATAACATAAGCCTAATTATTATTTATGTTTTAGCCAAAACTGATTAAACTGATTCTACTTGGAATTTAAATTGATTTTTCCATCGTTGAACTTTGTTGTATTTTTTTTTTTTAGAAAAACAAAATACATACCTACCTAGTGATAGACAAATTTAACATACTATAGAATTTAGGTAGGTATTTACTACTCAGAGAGTACTCTGTATTCGCTTAACGACACGGCATATGTAAATTGATGTGTGTTATTCGAGTTAAATTCTTTAGAAAACCGACAATACACACAACCAACGTATTCAATAGGCATACGGTACCTTTATATGTATACAATTTCGTAGTAACACATACAATTTCAATATGTTATTAATCATTTATTTTTCTGATACATTATACTAATAACGCGTGCCACAAATTTCCTTTCAATTCTGCCTTAGAGAAATCCATTTATGCGATTTGGTCGTTTTAAAATGAGGACTATAAGGAAATATATTATACAGAATCGAGTGTGGGTAATGTTTGACAAAATAAAAAAACAAAAACCAACAACGAAAATGTTCTTCTCGTTTTATTATTATTATTTGTTTTATTCGTAATACTGTTTGTGTCGTCTCGTCATATTATGATATGATATTATGGTAGGATTGAAGTAGCATTTTTTTTACATCTGTTTTTCTTTACACGCTAGTATAATAATATGTATGTGGGCGTTTTATTTGCAACGGCGGCCTTTGGGGAAAAAAATTAGTTCGGCACGGTCTACTGCAGGACGGATGAAAATGTCAAATTACACTGTGCACCACTCCCTGTACCCTATACCAGCACAACAATGGTCTGCGCGTTTACGTGCCCTTTGGGTATCCTCGGCGTTGTTGTTTTCGCGTCCGCCGCCGTTCTTCGGATTTAT